CTCTCTCTCTCTCTCCCTCTCTCTCTCTCTCTCCCCTTCTTTCTCGTCCTCTTTCCCTGTCTCTGCAAACCGCACGATCAACCTCTCGTTTCAGTCCAGGCACCAGGCCGAGGGCTCCGTGGACCAGCCCAGCCTATTTCGGGATCCTGAAAGGATGCGCTGCGGTGTTGAAGACGTAGTCGTCGAGGCTGAGGATCTCCGGCGGGCTGAAAATAAGGTAGAAGTACTTGAGCGTCGCGGCCATCCAGGAACTCTACCAGCAGCAGTCAGTCAGGCGTTCAGTCAGTAATGCGCACACAGATACGCACACGGAAACAACACACGGGGACAGGTCCCAAAACAAACAAGGCAAAACAAGACAGCAACCAGCAAGTAACAACCCCAACAGCACTCACCTCCATAACATCAATCTTAATCATCGCGCCATCCACAACCGTCACATCCTGCAACGCGGCGTTCGCCAGCCTTGTCTCCGTCGCCGTCACCACGCTCATGAACATATCCCACGCGGCATCACGCAGCTCCGTGTCGCCCGTAGCGCGGAAAACGACGAAGGCGGCCTCCGCGGCCTCAGGCCTTAGGAGGTAGCGGCGGTCGTCGAGGCGCGCAAAGCCCGGCTGCAGCCGGCGGCGCGCTATCAGCGCGTCGTCGTCGGCCGGACTGGTGCCGTGTGCGCGCGCGATGTGAGAGTGCCAGAGCGTCGTGTTCCAGGCGCATGGGGCGGAGGAGGGGGGCGCGCCAGTGCCAGTGCCAGTGCCAGTGTTGGTGTTGCCAGTGGCCGGACACGGCACCATGTGCGCGCGCTCCGGCATCACGCCCCCGGGGAATGCCGCGTACGCGTAGTGGCAGCCGTCGGCGAGGCGCGTGCCAGCGGCGACGTGCGCCGGGCGCGCGAACAGCCGGCCCCCAAGCGCGAACATGCCGCCTGCGGCGCAGGCGCGGTGCTGGATCTCGGGGACGAGCGAGGCACTACCACCTGCACCCCTTTCTCCAGCCGAAGACGACGACGACGACGACGACGATGATGATGATGATGATAACGAAGCGCTGCCAGCAACCGCCGCGCCCGCGACCAAAATGTCCGCGCCTGTCGGTGTCATCGGCTGGAAGACGAGGTGCCGCAGCGCGGCGTCCGCGGCCTTCTCGTACAGCGTCTTATAGACGTCGGCGCGGCCACCCAGCAGTGCCCACGTCTTAGGCAGGAGGGCGTAAGCGGCGGCGGCGGCAGGGCCGAGCGAGAAGCGCGCGGGAGTGGTGGTGTCCGCGTCCACGAAACGAGCAGCCGCTTGCTCAGCGTTGACGGCGTCGGGCCACAGCCCCGGCAGGGCGGAGCGGTCCTGCCAGGCGGCGAGGACGTCGACCACGCCCGCCGCTGCGTCGTAGTATTTCGGGTCGTGGGTGAGCTGGGACAGGCGCGTGAACTCGAGGGATAGGGAGGCGAGGTCGGCGAGCGGGACGCGCGGCGCTGCGAGCTGCGGGTCGTGCCCTCCTGGCTGCCACTGCGTGAGCGGGAGGTGGTTCGGCGTGTCGAAGGCGGGGTAGAGCAGCAGGTCGGCGAGCTCGACGGCCTTGCGCAGCAGGCGCTTGTCGCCGCTGAGGTCGTGCGCCGAGAGCAGGCCGCCCAGGTGGCGCATCGTCGTCTCGGCGACGTTGATGGTTTGGTTGGCGGCGATGGGCGTGAAGTCGACGTGCATGACGGCATTGACCGCGCCCTCAAAGTCCGTCTTCATGTCCAGGAGCCAGAGCATGTCCAGCGCGTCGATCAGCGTCGTCGCCCAGCCGCCCTGTGTCGTCTTGCCTTTGCCGCTGAGGGGCGCTAGCTCATCTTGCATCCATGCGTACGCTTTGTACGAGCGCCAGCACTTCTCGAACACCCTCCTGACTTCGCCGCGCCGGCTTTCTTGCAGCTTCTGCGTTGCTGCGTCTTCTTTTTGAAAGCCATGCTGGATTTTTGGCAGCTGTTTTGGTTTCCCTGTTGGCAGTTGCCGGAATTTCGTGACGAGATATCGCAATGGCCGGTTCTTCAGGTCGACGAACTTGGGATTGCTGTCGAGCGAAGGGGAAAGTGGGGCAGGAGGCTGGCCCGGCAGTTCGTCACGGGCGAAGATGCCCAGCCGGCGGATGTTGTACAGCAGGAACACGGCGAGAAAGGCATTGAGGATCAACCTGATAGGCCGTGCCATTTTGGTTTGTAAAAATGCATGAAAATGTCTCTCACTCTCGCAGCGACCGTGGCCCTTCTTTTACAAATACCTCCACCTTCATGCCGTATAACGGTTTGAGTAAATGTAGTGCTTGGCGGTGAAGGAACAATGAAACGTTCGTCCGCACGCAATAAGGTGCACGGAATGCTGTGTCCAATGCTTTTGGTAAACCTGCCAAGGCTGAGCCCACGCACGTTTTCGGCGTCCGAGGTGGACGGTAGGCAATTCGAGGAGGCTGGATGTTCATTCTCTAGGGTCGGACTAACCATGCCTTTGTCTGAAGAAAAAAAAAAAAAAAAAAAAAAAACACCCTTTTACTGGCACTGCCTTAGGTAGATATCTGCAGTTTCAACTTTAGTCGAGCGATTAAGCCAACAGATACGTGCATGTCGTCTTAGCTTTATGTTTGTTCCACTACCCCTCGATGTTTCATTATTTCCATCTCTGATCGTTTTCTTATGCCGTAGTCACTGCATGAGGTTGGGAGACACTTATATTTTCCATGTGTGCTCCGGGCTGTTAAAAACAATTTATTGCTGCGCAAGTGTCCGAAGGCTACTAACTAGTTCTCTTGCTGGCCTAAATACCATACGGGAGCGCCCGATATGGCTCGCCTTCCCGGATACCACCTCTGTATCTCCCCTACTTTGTCGATAGGGAAGCAATCAATTTCTAGGGGTTCGACTTTATACTTTTTGGTAAGACGACTGAGGTCCGTTTTTGTGTAATTGCCGTAATCCCCGCGTGTTAGCCGAAGTAGGATCCGTCCCATTACAACGTCCGGTAATCGGTCTAAGTACCTTTCGGTCGCGTGAAGCGCAGAGAGCTCGGAATCCCCTAAAGTACGTTCCTTCTCTTCAAGTGCAGCTTCTTCTGTTAACTTGTGCTGGTAGTACTCAATCGTAGCGCTCCGCACCCCAATACAACGCAGAAGATCCGTGACAGAAAACTCTGGATCGACTAGGTGTTTCTTGACAAACTGTATCAGTCCAGTGTCGTCACGGATTTCTCCGGAATAGCGCACCATGGCCGCCACCACGTGGACCCAGGCTTCGATTTCCTCGGCGTCAACAGTGCCGCGGTGTTGACGGAACTCAATCGTGCCCAGCTGGGAGCGGCGTTTGATATCGGTGTAATAGTGTTTAGTAGAGTACGCGTAGTTGCCAGCCACTAAGTGAGCGAAATCGTTCGCTCTTATCCAGCGGCACCAGGCCAGTGGATGCGGCTCAATGTAGCCTAATTTATATTTCCCCACAAGCCTATGATCGTCGGGATTTTCTAGGTGTATTGAACGTTTTGAAAGGAACCGACCGGAAGTGGGTTTACAAAAAAATGCGTTTCGAGGTAAGCGGTCTGCCGAGTGCAACTCGTCGATAACCCGCTCAAACGCCGTTGTCAATTGCAGGAGATTCCTTACTGTAGTCAGGGGAAGGCACAGGTCACCCAGACCGACGTGGACGTGCAGGCCACAGCTTCTGTTAAGTAGGATACGGAAGTCTGTATCGTTGGCTGGATCGTTGAATGCAACGTGCACACTCTTAAGGACGTGCTTGAGTTGGTTCGCCCAGTCGTCGTGGTAGTACCTATATCTGGGGCTAATTAGTTCGATGCTGAGGATTGAGACCCTGCTGGGACCTTGGTGTGCCGGGAGCATTTCATGATAGTCAGTTATGGGCCTGACAGTGCCGTCGCCATGGACACTCCATTTGGAGAACTTTGGTGAGTGAACAGTGTCAGCGTCAGGGTTATCTCTAGGATGGTAGACTGGAATCCCTGCTTGATCCAAGGCGTTTATGACCATCAAAACATGATGAGTTGAGTTGTATAAGCGCTGCCCTTGCAGCGAGGAAAAGAGAAGGAGAAACTCGATCTCGAAGCCAATGGTCAGTTCGGTCAGTGGGTGTTCTGATGTGGTTTGGCCTTGGACATCTTGAGTGTGGCTAGTGGCGGAATGAGAGTTTTCTGGTGTGTTTTGCATGGTTGCTGGTGCTGTGTTGCAGTATGCCTGGCTGTGCTGATTGCTATACGAGATGTGTTGTGCCGGTATGGATGTATGGATGAATGAGAAGAAGTAGAGAGAGAAAGAGAGAGAGAGAAAGAAAAGAAAGGCTTACCTACCTACCTTGGGAGGTGCTGGAGTCGAGGGAAGTTCTTTCTTTAGGCAGTCACGGCAGCTAGGCAGCCCGCACCGTTGGTCGTAGCTGCTGTTTTGATGAGGTACAGTCGCTGTCCGCGACCGGGAGGAGGTGGATGCTCTTGACATAGCACCATGGTTCCCGGGCGGGTCGATGGTGTTCCCGGCGGAGCAAAATACGTCACTTATGGCTGCAGGGCGCCGCATTGAGCGTGGCGGTTGTCGCCGTTTCAGCACCGGTCAGGGATTGGCGAACCGAAGGACAACGCTCCGCGCACCACGTCGCCCCCAAGTCTTCTAGAAAACGACATGAGCCGACGGGCGCCCCCTCCATGCCGCGCAAACACGTGGTTGGGTGACGGCGGGTGGTGCTTCCTCTCTGGCACGCTTCCCCCCGAGATCGTGGTGCGCTTTCTCCACCGAAAAAGCGACATGGGTGCCGGCACCCCCTGAAACAATTTCCTTATAATTTGCGTGATAGGACGCACGGAGGGCGCTGAAAATTATGCCTTTGCTAGCCCCCGGCCCGCCCGAAACACTAAAGTAGAGCTCTACGTCTGTTCTTTGCTGTCGTTCGCCGTCGCCATGAGAGCAGGTACGCGCCCTCTCTCCGCAACCGCTGTTGTGCCCGTCGATCTAATCCATGATCCTGTAGACGCCCCAGCCCGCCCGGAGCCCCCCGCATATCAATACCGCCCTCTCCAAGGCCCCAATTCCTTGCGCCTGCTGCGCCTCGAGCCCAGCAAAGGCTTCAAGAATGCCACCCTCCGCGCCTCGCTCGAGGAGGTCAAGACCATCAACTACGCCCAGTTCGACCGTCCCTCGAAAAAGTACGAGGCCGTTTCCTACGCATGGGAAACCCAGAAGCGCGACAGGATCCTAATCTGCAAGGGTTCCGCCCTGCGCATCACGCCCAACTGCGAGGATGCCCTGCGCCGCCTCAGGAAACCCTTCACCCCGCGCATGCTCTGGATCGATGCCCTGTGCATCAACCAGGACGATGATGCAGAACGCGCCCAGCAAGTCGCCATCATGGGCTCCATCTACCTTGATGCCACCCAGGTCGTGGTTTGGCTAGGTAAGGGTGACGTCCACAGCAAGACTTGCTTCCGCTTCTTCCGCCTCGCCAAGGGCTTCGTCGAAACGGGAAATTCGAGACACAAAAGCCTGCAAGAAATCTCGCAACGAGGCGGCCTCCCTGTCGCCGGTTCCCTGAGGGCCCTCCTCCAACGCTCGTGGTTCAACCGGACATGGGTCATTCAAGAAGTCATATTAAACCACAATGTCGTCGTACTATGCGGCGATCAGGAGACCGATGCGAGGACGTTGTTCAATACTATGCGCTACTTCCGGACGCACCACCCCGACATGCACCTCCCACTAACATTCTTTGACAACATCGAGATCCTTCGCACCGCTCTGTTGCATAGCTTTGACTTCACTCCGACTTCTTGGGGTCCGTCGGTGCCTCTGCACATTGCTTTGCAATGCTCCCGCTCCACGCTCACGACGGATTCTCGGGACAAAGTTTACAGTCTCCTTGGCCTCTGCAAGCGCTCGAAAATAAAGCCAGACTATACCAAGCCGCCCGAGGCCGTGTTCATTGACGCCGCCCTCTGCTGGTTCCGAGAGACGCACGATATCACTTTCCTACGACACACGGCCAGAACAAAGGAAACCTCTGCGAAATTGCCTAGCTGGGTACCTGATTTTGGCTCGGCTGGCCCAACTCCATGGTGCGGCCAATGGGGCCGATTCGGCTCCAAGAAGGTCTCCGTTTTCAAGACGTCCCGCGACCGCCACCACATCCAGATTCAAGGCCGCGCACTGGACATTGTCAATTTCTGCTCAGAAACAATCATTCCGCCGCACGATGCTGTGGAAATGCGTAAAGCGAAGACCGGATCGCCACTGGAGCAGTACCCATCCTTGATGACCTGGATGGCCTGGTACGAATTCGCAAAGCTCAGTCTCCCCGAATACCCCGAGGGGGTCATCAAGTGCGCTTTCTGGTGGACACTTTACATGTCGTGCTCCGACATGCCAGCAAAGACGGTGGAGTCATGGCACGAAGACGTGAAGGAAAGCATCTCGAGCGGCAAGCTCACGTCGGGGCTGGTGTCACGGGCAAACGAGCTCACGGAGGAACAGAAGGGCGGCGACACGTACACGGACACGTTCAGCACGATGCGCGCCAACACAGCCGGATGCGCATTTGGTATCACGGTTGGCGGGTACCCCTGCTTGTTGACTGGCGCAGCAAAGGCAGGCGATGTGATTGTGGCGCTGGACGGGCTGGACGAGCTGTTTGTGCTGCGCAAGGACGGGCCCCAGTTCCGCGTCGTGTGCCGGTGTTTTGTCAACATGCACGAGGAGATCTACCCGACGGGCAAGATGAATGGACTGACGCTGAAGTGAGGAGTGCGGGCGGGCGATGGAAGCTCAATGAAGGGCCGACGTCAATGGCTAGCTACGCACACAAAGACAAGACTCGGGCGGCAGCTTGTAGCGCCGCGGAGAGCAGACACGGATGCGTCCGTAGGGCAAGTAGAGCAGGCCGGGTCGGAGATGGCCCACTGCTGCTCGTACGGGCGACGAGGGCCGGTGGCGGCAATGGTCGCTGCGTGGCGGGCTGAACGCGTCGTCGGCCGAGCAGATGGCGACGCCACGGGACGGGCAGAGACGCGTGTGGTGAAGCAGGGCGGAGCGGGGCAGGGCGAGGATATATTGGGCATTGGCAAGGGAAAGAAGAAGTATTGACAGATGTCGGATGATATAGTAGTAATTAATTGCACGAGGACATGACCAGTGACGCGTTTCCCGCAGCGCGCCCATGTGACGTGTAGATTTGATTGACGGGCAGAAGCCTGACACCCTGACACACCCCGCCTGCTTGCTTGCTGCTGCTGCCCATCGTACCCTACTCGTACTTACACTACAGTACATGCCCTTGCTGCCCCACCTCGCAAAAAAAGACGAGTTTGCGACGAAAAAGAAAAAAGTAGAGAGAAAAAAAAGTCGCGTCCACCACCACCTCGGCCGCCCGAGCCGCACTGCGCCCACCTGACGTACTTCCCGACCTGTCCACCCTTCCCCGCGTCTTCTCCGTCACCGCCTGCGCCTTCGATTGGCACTCCTCCCAAACAACCATGTCCAATTCTGACCCGCGCTCCCCCGTCCTCCACCCTATTTCCAGCAGTCCCAGCGTCGGCCACCGCCAGAGCTTCGCTGAGAACTTTCGCGGCATGCCGGCCTCACCGCGCTCCTCGCGCCACCCCTCGTTGTCGCAACAGGCGCTGCAGGAGCTCCTGAGCAACCCGCCCGTCAAAACCCCAGCCAACAACCCCTTTGCCGGCCGCGACTGGCGCACCATCAAAGTCGGCGAGGTCATTGAGACCGATCTTGTCCGCTTCGTCGAGATAGACACGAGCGTCGAGGAGGCTACCAACGTGAGCTGCGACGCTGCTTCGAAGAAGCTCCGACGACATGTGAGACGCTGACTCGGCCGCGCAGGTCCTGGTTTCCTCGGGCTCGCCCAATGTCGTCCTCATCCGCGAGAACAAGGAGTCCCACGCCGCGATCGGCACCTTTGACTACAGCGACCTTAACGCATACCTGCTCCTCGTCGTCGGCCTTGCGCGCCCCGACGAGTCCGAGGCTGATTCGTTCGAGGAGCTGGCAAAGAAGGGCAGAGAGGGCAAGCCGGTGCCGCTCAAAGATGTCAAAGATCTAGGCAAAAAAGAACCGCTGATTACGCTGCCGCACACGGCCAGCCTGATGAAGGCCGTCGAGACCTTTGGCAGCGGAATCCACCGTATTGTGGTCGTCAGGGAGCACAGCTCGGACGTTGTGGGAGTATTGAGCCAGTTGCGACTCATCGGCTTCTTCTGGCAGAACGGACGGAGCTTCCCCAATGTCGACAGCCTGTACCCGCAGACGCTGAGGGACCTCAATCTTGGATCCCAGGCTGTCATTGCGATCAAGTGAGTGTCTTTCCCTATGTTTGATTACGAGGCCTTGGCTGACACCCGTCCAGCGGCGACAAGCCGGTTACCGATGCTTTGGAACTCATGCACAACGAAGGAATCACTTCTCTCCCAGTCCTCGACAACCAGAACAACGTCGTGGGCAACATTTCCCATGTCGACGTCAAGGTGTGAACCGCAGCATCCTAAAGAGACGAAGTTCAAGGCTGATTTGCGCCACGCAGTTGTTGACAAAATCGACATCGGTCCCTCTCCTCCGCGCATCCTGCATCCACTTCATCTCCGTCATTCTCTCTGAACGCGGTATGAACGACGGCAAAGACTCGTTCCCAGTCTTCCACGTTACCCCGCAGTCCACCCTGGCACACACGGTGGCCAAGCTGGTGGCCACGAAATCGCATAGGTAAGCCGCCACACCAACCCCGACCCCGCCAACCACGCAGCACCTGCCTAACGCGCCCGCGCAGGATGTGGATAACGATGCCGCCGTCGCCGGCCTCGTCCGGCCCCCCGACCCCGGCCATCGCTCCCTCGCAACCGCCCTTCTCGCCCACGTCGTCCGCGATCCTCTCCCCGCCCGCGACCAGCCCAATCAGCACGTCGTCGACGAGCGCGGCGATCCCGATCCCGTCGCCCACAGACCCCGGCGCAGCGTTCGGGGCCGCGTCCGCCACGCCGCCCTACCTGCACGGGCCATCTGTGGCGTCGCCGACGCCGTCGATATCGGCGGCCGCGCTGCCGGGCGCCAGCCTGTCGGGCCACCTGACGGGCGTGGTCAGCTTGACGGACATTCTGAACCTGTTTGCGCGCGCGACGGGCCTCTCGCCGCAGGACCCGAACGAGACGAGGCGCGCGCGCAGGCGCAGCTCGAGCGTCTCGGTGCGGAGCAGCATCGATGGGCCGCTGTCGGATGTGGCGGGTAAGCGGTAGAGTGGGTTTGGGTTTTTTTTGTGACACTGGGCGAGGGCTTCTTTGCTTTTTTGGTCTCTCTTCATCCTCTCTTTTTTTTTATTCTTCTTCTCTCTACTATTTTCTTCTCTTTTATTATGCGCGAGTTTTTTCTGCGAGGAGTTTCTTTTTCTTTTTTTCCTCTTTTTACCTGATTTGGTTGGGTTGGGTTGAGCGGAGCGGATCTCTGTGCGCACAAAAAAACTCGATATGCAAGGTCGGCAGGCGAGTAGGCGGGAGGCGGGTAGGCGGGTAGCATTGAACGGACGGGCGGACGTCCGGACGGATGAGGTGGGCAGGCAGTAGTCGAGTAAGTCGGTCAGTCGGTCATTAGTGATGGTGGGATGGGATGGGATGGGATGGGATAGGTTGGAGTGGGTTAGGTTGGGTTGAGCTGGGTCAGGTCAGGTTGAGCTGAGTTAGGGGAGTTGGGGTTACAAGACTGGTGCTCTGGTGTGATGTGGTGTTGGTAGCGGTAGCGGATAGCGGGTAGCAGCAACGAGGGCAGGAGTAGCACACACGCAGTATTTTATTCTTTCTGCTTGTTCTCTGCTTGATTGATTGATAGCCGGCAATGCGAGGGCTGGTTTTGGGGTCGTTTTGCTTCATGGGCTTTTATCGTCTTTGTCGGATGCGGATTAAGATTCGGCTTCATCTTCGAGCGCTCTCTGCTAGCTCGTTCGCTCGCTTTCGTTCTTTCTCACTTCTGTTGTTGCTGTTGCTGTTGCTGTTGCTGTTTTGTGGTAGGGCATGGTATGGGTATGGGTATGGGTATGGGTATGGGTATGAGTATGAGTATGAGTATGAGTATGAGTATGAGTATGAGTATGAGTAAATGCATGGAAACGGACGAATTGATGGATGAATGGATGGTTTTGTGTCTTTGCCTAGCTTCCTTACCTAGCTTACCTGGTTTCCTTACTTGCTAGTTTCCTTGCAGGATTGGTTGTTTACCTGGAGGTCGGGCAGGAGCGAGGAAGGAAGGACTATGCATATGCATGCATGCATGCATGCATGCATGCTGTGTGGGTGGATAGGATAGGTGGATGGGGATGAGGACGGGGACGTGGACGCTTGGCGAGTGAAGTTCTTTGTTTGGTAGGGACGAATGAAAATGAAATTTGTGTCGTTGGTTGTCTTTTGTATGTTTTATGTTGTGGATTGAGGGGGTGAGTACCGAGTACTACCCACCCATACGATAACCGCTCTCTCTCTGTCTAGGTAGGTGGGTAGGTATGGTATATATATACTTACGCTATGCTGTGGGCGAGGCGGAGTGAGGTGAGGTGAGGTAAGAGAAGAGGTCATGTAGCAAAAAACACAACAATATATAATAAATAATAAATAAATAAACTATCCCCTCCCCCCACGCCTCTCCTCTTCCTCCTCCTCTACCAACCACCAACCACACGCACACGCACACCCATTCATTGATTGATTGATTACAGAAAGACAACAGAGTCCGTACCTAGGTCTGTGTGTATTACTCCCTCCTGCCCCTGCCCCTGCACCAACTTCCTACCCTACACTACACCGCTTGCGTGCGTGCGAACTGCTCGCCTACTAGGCACCAGGCAGCGCAATTCCTACGTGCGGCGCACTGCTCGAGGCGCGCGTGGTTGTCTGTGGTTGTCTGTGGCTCTTTCTTTCTTTCATCTTCTGCGCGCGCCCTTGCCTCCCTCCCTTCCTCTTCGCACAGGGCCCGGCGTGCTGCTTCTCCTCGCACTCGTACCTATGTAGGTCCGCTGCCCCCATCCGTTTGTTTGTTTGTTTGTTTCCGTCTCTTTCGCTTGCTTGCTTGCTTGATACCTAGCTTGCCCTTCTGCTCGTACTCGAGCAGCACCAGCGGCGCCACACCACCCCCACCCCAAAGCGCCAGCCACATCGCCGCGCCACAAGCCCCGCACCACATTGCACTCCGCCTCGCCCCGCCACGCACTCAACGCCGCCGCCTCAATCCAGATCGTCCTGGCTCGTCTCGACCTTCTTGGGGTAAAACTCCAGCTTGCCCTTATGGCCCAGCACGCCGGTGCGATCATACAGCGACCTCGCGCGCACGTAGGGATCAAGCCGCCAATAATTCTCCCTCAAGGCGTCGGCCAAGTCGGCGCGCTCCTTCTTCAGCGCCGGGGCAGGCGCCGCCTCCGCCTGCTGGATCCATGCCAGGGTCGCGGCCTCGTATTTCTCGACGAGCGCGGCGCGCTCCGCCTCGATGGCGGTGCGGGTAGCGCTGTCCGCTAGAGCGGCGTTTTCGTTGGCTGCGGGCTCGACGTAGTTGTAGGACCAGGCTTCGGTGCCGCCGAGCTCGGTGGGGATTTGTGAGAGCGGGACGAAGGAGGACAGCTCTTCCGTGTTTTTCGTAAAGTGCACTTTGCCGGCTACGACCGGGTCGAGCCAGCCGCGGATTATGGACCAGATGCCTGTGCGGGGAAGAGCGTGTTAAAGTGAGGATTTCTTGTGTGGGGAGAGAGGGGAATTGCCGTACCTTGGAAGACCCAGGGGGCCTTGTGCACCAGGACGGCGCCGAGCGACTCCGGGTAGTTAGCCTCGAAGCACTTGATCATAAACTTGACGGGGGTGTAGTCCATGTTGGCGAGCGAGAAGCCCGTCATATCGAAGACGATGGTGGCCGTGTCGACGGGCGGGCGCAGCATCATGCGCGCCGTCTCGATGGTGTAGACGGTGAAGCGCTCGAGGCTGGGCTCGCTCTGCTCGCCCTGGCGGTGCAGGCGCACGCGGACAAAGCACATGGGGCGGCCCTCCTTGTCGACGCCGTGGAGGAAGCTCTTGCCCATGCGCAGCTGGGCGAGGAAGTCGTCGCCCTCCTTCTTGGTGTTGGCGTCAGCGCTGCGGGCCTGCTCGATGGCGCCCAGCTCGCCGACGCACATAATGTCGTCGTCGACGTGCATCTCGGTGGCGCGCCAGTGCATGGTGCTGATCAGCATGATCAGCGCGGCATTCACGTCCCACTTGCGCGCGCGCAGGAAGCGCAGCAGCAGGCCGTCCGGGTTGTCGTGCTTGACCATGCTCCACACGGCCTGGCGCAGCTCGGCGGGGCTCAGGTCGGCCAGCGCGGCCTTGAACGCCTTGTTCTGGCCGTGCTTGTCGTCGTCGCCCAGGCTCAGGCTGCTCACGTCGACGCCGCCGGTGCTGCTCGCGGCCGAGTCGACGTCGCTGCTGCCGGCACTGTTCTTGCCGTCCTTATCGTGGTGCTTGCGCTTGAATACGTGCAGGCGCGACTTCTTCTTCTTGCCGTCCTTGGCGTCCTTGGTGCTGCCGCTTTCGTCGGCCGGCCCGTCATCGTTGTCGGCCTCGTTGTCTCCGCCTTCGTTATCGAGCACGCCCATCAGCTTGGCCAGGGCGGCCCATAGCTCGCGCAGCTTGGCTTCTTGCTCCGCCGTAAGGTTGCCCGGGCGGCCGGGCGGGATGTCGGCGGGCATGTCGTCGGCTAGAGGCGGGAGAGGAGAAGTGGTGGAGGGCGGGCGCGCAACGAAAGCGACCAGGGCGCTGCCGGCGACGAGGGTGACTGCGACGGCGGCGAAGGTGGAAGTGAAGGCGCTCTGGGCGACTGGGGCGACGGAGGTGTGCGGGCGGCGGGGTAGAAGCAGGTTCAGGCGCGCGCGAGAGGTGAAAGTGCGAAGGGATGAATTGTTGTTGCGCAGGGCAGATCGGGGGAGGCGCGAGAGCATGTAAAAGGAAGTGCGCCGACCGGGAGTCAGCGGAGATGGTCTTTGGGCGGCAATGGGACAATCACGCCCGCAATTTAACGGGCTTTGACAGGATTCTCTGGGCGTCATCATCATCGGCGTACAGTATGATAAACCACCGACCGATACAGTACCTACAACGATCTACCTAGCAACAACAAAAACACCACAACACACCACAATGGCCTCAACAACCCCCACGCCACACTCGCGCTCCGCCTCACGAGGCCGCGCGCCCTCCCGCCCAACGACACCCCTCCGCGCCAGCTCGCGCTCCTCACTGCGCACCAGCGTGCAGCACGGGCACGGCTCGCCCTCGCACCACCGGCACAGCGGGCACGGGCAGCACTCGAACAGCAGCACGCCGCTCGAAGCACTGGAGCCGCAGTTCGCCGAGTTCAGCGACAGCATGGCCGACCTCGAGGCCAACCTCATGCACCTGCAGCTGATGCACGAGTCGCTGGCGCGCTTCTCCGAGAGCTTCGCCGCCTTCCTCTACGGCCTCAACATGAACGCCTTCTGCGTCGACTTCCCAGAGGCTCCGGTGCCCGAGAGCTTTCGCCGCCAGCGCGTGCGCGACGCGGATGCGGCTGCGAACAACCTGGCTGCTGGTGGTGGGGGTGGCTTGATGGGCGGGCTGCTGCCCGCTCGCTCGCGCGACCACGACGACGCCGAAGCCACTTTTCTGTGCGTACCTCCCTCCTCCCCGCCCAAACAGCAACACAACCCCCTCGCTAACCCATCCCCTCGCACCAGCACGACCGACACCTCCTTCGTCGAGAACCCGCCCTCCTCCAAACAAGCCTCCAAGTTCCGCTCTCCGGCAGCGCCAGCGGCACCATCCACGCGCGGCAGCACCCGCGGCGGACGGGGTCGCGGACGGGGCAGCGGTCGGGGCAGCGGCCTCCCGCGCGGCAGCGGCATTGCGCGCGGCGTGGGGCGGGGGACGGGGCGGGGCGGAGCGCGGTAGGCCAGGCCAGGACAAGACAGCCGCAATGGAACGCTCGGGTTGGCCTAGGCACCGCATACCTACCTACCTACCCACCGAAGGAATGGCGGATCGGGTGTGGTAAAAAGGCGCAGCTAGCCTAGCTGTGCTTGCAGTCCAGTCCAGTCCGCATCCAGCATACATAGATACCACGACGACCCTCGCGCCGCTTGCTTGCGCCATCTGCTGCTGCTGCTATCAACCGCCTTTGAACCAAATGTCCAAAGACAGTGCAGTGCCTAAAAGAACCAGAGCCAGAAACACACGGAAAAGAGTAAAGAGTAAAGAAACAAAAAAAGTCACAGGCAAGAAGTAGAGATACCCAATTCATGATATGATCTGATATGATTTAATTTTCTGTCGCCGTCTTGAACTGGACGCTGCTGTTTATACCGCCGTCCTGTCCTCCTACTTATCCATCTAACTTCATCTTCGTCTCCTATTATTTTTCTCTTTCACTCCTTCACTCACACACAACAGCAGCACAATATCACCAGCAGTAACAACAACAATAACAATAACAATAGTACTCCTAGCAGCCAGCTAACCCTCCCAGCACCCTCCCCTCTCTACCATCACCACCACCACCACTAGATACAACTAGGTACAGACACGCACCAAAGCCGCTGAGGTCGAGTGAAGAGGACGAGACACAAGAAAAGAATGGGTATTACGACCAACCAGCCAGCCAGCCGCCGACGCAGCTAAGAAGACACAGCATGCCATGCCTAAACCCCCCTTCTCTCACACAGCCAGCACAAGCAGCCAGCACCAAAACCAACCAACCAACCAACCAACCAACAAAGTCGTCTCATCCCAAGCGCGAGTGTAGAAAAAGAAAAGAAAAAAAAAAAAAAAAAAAAAAAAAAAAAAAAAAAAAAAAAAAAAAAAAAAAAAAAAAAAAAAAACAAACCAACCAACCAAAAATCCGCGCGCGTCACAGCAGTGGTATCGTAGGCGTCAAAACAGGGTCATTACACAATCCAGCAATCCGGGCAGAAACCAAAGCCAAGCAACAAGCAACAACAACAACCAAACCAAACCAGTTCTCGTCAAAGGTCAAGAGAAGAAAATAAGAAAACGAAAAACACACAGACAAAAACAAACGATGACAATAATAATAAGCATAAAACATGGACGTGACGTAACGTGACGGGGCGTTGTAGATACGAGTACGCGTAGCGCCGGGTCGCGCGACATCCGAGATCCGGGAGCGCTCGGCCCGGGCGGCGCGGATGTCGGGTGTGCCGGTCGGTGTCCATGGGTGGGCCGGGAGGAGCGGAGGGGAGCGGAGCTGAACCTGAACCTGAACCTGAACCTGAACCTGAACCTGAACCTTACCTACTGCGTATCTAGGGAGAGACCTAGCTAGGTAAAGGTAAAGGTGTCATCTGGCACTCAGCCGCAGCCGCAGCCGCAACCTCGACAACCCATCCACACACACACACACACCTACGCACGGCACCAACACCCGTCCATACCTATGGCGGAGCGCACACGGAACCTCGGAGCGGGTGTTACGGCCCAAGCAGCAGCAGCAGCATTTACGGCAGAGCGGCAGCGGCAGCGGCAGCAGCGACGCTGCCGTGCTTGAGGTTGCTGCCCGCGGAGCCGGAGCCAGCGGACTCGCGGCGCAGCGCCCAACCGCGGAACGCGAGCATGACGACGGTCCAGGTGAGGATGAGGCAGGTCAGGCCGATGGTAATGACAAAGGTGAACATGGCGTCGAGGTCGTAGGACTCGAGCGCCGAGACCGTGTCCTTGTTCTGCGGATAGCGTCAGCTTCGTCCCCTTCTAAATGTGTGGATGCTGGAATGCTAGATACTTACGCTGACCATGAATGTCAGGCCGCCCGCTACGAGGCAAAAGGCGCTGATCAGCTCGGTGATGGGCCGGCTGGGCAGGTACGACGTCGGCGGCTTCAGGTACAGGATTATGTACGTGGCGGCACGCGCGATGCCGAAGCCCACAAACATGTTGCCCCATTGCATGTGGATCATGCTCGACAGCATCGACGCCTGGTGGTGCGAGCCCATCATCATGCCCAGCAGGATGATGACGAGCCCCGGCATCGGGTTGTACGAGAAGCGGTACGTTGCGGGCTCTTCCCAGTGCTCGTCGCCCGCGTGCGCAATGTGGTCGCGCGTGCCCAGGATGGACGTGTTGAGGAGCTCACGCACCCGCTTCGACTCGATGAGCATACCAAGCTTCGCATCCTGTCAGCATAAAACGTTCCTCGAAATCGAAAACTCCATCCGGAAACTTACAGCGCCGCCACCGAAGAACATGACGGAAATCGAAACATGCTCCAAATCCTGCGCGACCCATTCGCCGCCCCAGGCAGCGAGGTGCTCCAGGAAGACGTTTGAAGCGCCGTACGTAAAGATGACCAAAGACTCGGTAAACTCTGCAGTAGGGATGGCTGCCTTCCAACGACCAACCGTGTCCGCGGTGGGTTTGACGTTCCACGCCCATCCAAACTCCGCGAAACATCCCATCCAGCGACCGAGAGTCAACAGGCCATACCAGAAAAAGATGGCGCCCTTGACGAAGTGGGCCAGGATGTTGAAGATGTGGTCGCCGCGCTAATTCGAGACGTCAGTTCACGCTCGAGCGTGTGTCGCGTTGCGAGGTACTTACAGCAATACCGCCCATGGCGCAGGCACCAGTGGACAGCGAAACGAAACCGAGGATCAGGATTGTGCGCTCAATAACGACATAAAAGAAGTTCATAACGCTCAGCGTCTTGCCGACAGCGAGGCGGGGCACGTTGCGGGAAAGGAAGCGGTCGACGCGAGTGTCGCGCAAGAAGCCGCGCTTCTCGACATCCTCGACATCCTCATCATCGTCGACGTTGTGGAACGTGGCCGCATGAGCCTCCTCGAAGTGGTTGTTGTCGGACTCGTTGCTGGGCGAGCGGGAGTGGCTGAACAAGGATGCAGAGTTGCGCTCGGTACCCTGACCCGAGTCGTTGGACCAGCGCGTGGCCGGTTGGTGCACCTGTTGCAAGCGCTGGTACCGCGCCATGACGGCCGCCGAAAGCGGCTCGCTCGCCGAGTCCTGCTTCCCGGTGCGGCCGGTATAGAGGTTCACCAGGCCCAGCGCGAACCAAACGACCGAAATCCACATCAAAACCCACCGGAGCCGGTTGTGCGCGTTGGCCGGGTAGAGGTCGGGCGTCTTTGCGTTGTAGACGACGCCGAGGAAGAGAGCGAAGCCCTGCGAAGCGAGGAAAACGACCTGCGCGGGCAGGTTGAAGCGTGAGCGCGCAGAGCTCAACATCACAGCTGCTGCAGCGTTAGTACAGTCGCTTTGCATTGATTGTATCTGAGGCGTGCCGGCGCACCTATGGGACACAGAACGACCCAAGTCAAGAAGCAAAGCGCGACATATGCGTAGAGCAGGCCGACGTGCTCATTGAAGCTGAAGTAAGTCATGGGCCAGTCGCTCGCGGGTTGCGCCTCGGCCGGCGCCGGCGCGTCGTGCATATCCATTCCCCCCATCTCGTGCGCGTCGTCACCGTGGGCGAAGGCGCGCGGCAGGAAGGCGACTGCCGCTGCTAGGGCGAGGGCTCGCTGGGCCGGCATGTGTGGGGATTGGGAGGGAACAGGCAGAGCAGAAATGGAAGAGTAGTACGGTAGCAGGGGAAGAGAGAGAGGGTTTGGGGAAGAGAGACGTTTTGTCGTCTGGCGGGACCGGATGCGGTCGGAGGTGGTTTTTTCAATAGCAGGCGCGGCGGGGTGACGTGACGAGCGGGCAGTCATGGTTGTCACGAGAGACCAGAGGAAAATCGGCATCGGAGAGAGGGGCTTGTGTCAGACATAACCTACCTATGATCCATGAGGGTCGTCTCGATTTGTGACGTGGGATCCATAGGGCGCTCGGCGCGCGCACTAGCCCTCCGAAAGATCCGTTCAGTGCCCTTAGTCATGATCGCCCCGGGCAAGCCACCAAAAGCTTGACTGACCGGCGCCCGGATGTGCCCGGAATTAACGACTTGGGATGCCTAGAAGGTACTCTCTTCGTTTTTTTTTTTTCTCCCCCTCTTATTTCACGCGGCCGAGTCTCGCACGAGGTTATCGACGATGATGGATCATAGATTCCGTTATACCGCACTAGGAGTACAACACAACAACAACAACACAAGAAAACTCAATATATATAGTGTCTGACTCAGGTGTGGCTTCCTGCAGTGCGCCGCTGTGGGGAGTCATTCAGTCCGTCCTCTGCTGACCAAACGGCCCAAAGAGCGTGGAGACGAGAGATCCGGGGTTCGCGGCGGACGAGAGCCGAGGTGGAAGTGAATGGTGTTGACCGTCACACTGCATATTGAGAATCGAATTAATGTCCGATTGCGAGCAGCACGCGGCACCCGTGCATCCCTGCGCCCCCAACCACCACCCTCGCCCGCTGCTGCATATCGTTCGAATCGACGGCAATCCGGCCCCGAGCCCCCTGCTGCGACGAACGAACCCCTCTTCTTGCTTGCTGCTGCCTCTGAGAGACTGATGAGTCTGGCCTGACCTCCGTGCCTCTCACCTGTTCGTGCCATTCTGCCGCGAACTGACTGATCGATCGGGGCGCGCGCGGTCCAAGCGTCCCGTCACCCGCTCGCTCGCGAGCGTCCAACTCACACCTACCAACCAACCAACCCCTGTGGGTGGGGATTGTCCGACATTTTCTTCACTGGCGCTGACCTTTTTTCCGTGCTTCGAACACGTGCGAAAATTTTCCCCTACCCACCGCCTGCGTGAGTGCCCATTCGCGCGTCCAACGTCGGCCTTTTCGGCTTCGGCTTCGGCCTCGGCTCCGTCGGCAGCTGTGAGAGACTCAGGGTTTGGATGGATTTGGATTTGTCAGGGTCCCTGTAATCCGTACTATGACTATCTTTTTTCTTCTCCATTCCATGCATTGCGCTTGGCGCTTTAAACGGCGGAGGCCATCTGACATCTCCGCGGCTTTGACGGCACCGGGCTTACTAGGTAGGTTACTGTTGTACTCGAGACGAAAGCCGATCTTGATCTTTCTACTCCAGCTGTCACCAACGATCGGATGCCGACGTTTCTTCACCGGCGACGATCTCGGCTTTGCGTTATAGGCCAACGTCACACTGACCGTGAAATCATTGCCTTCGAACTATCTCACATATAGTTCTCGACTGTGTTATTGTCGTTGCTTGATCTTGTCTCTATCCAGTCCGCGTTGCATATTTACTATAGGCCCAAACATATCCCCGACCCCACGCCAAAAGCGGCCACGACTAACCAGACCAGGCCTCGACAAACATCAACAGTAGGTACATAAATATACCTCTAGTGTTCAACCCTGCGGGCCAAAACACCAACACCTCCTCAAAGGGTCGCACAAAGACAGGTACCCGGAGGTAGGCAAGGTAAAACACAACCCCCCCCCCCCAAAACAAAAACGCAGCACGCAGCACGTACACCAGTCCAAGCAACTCGCATCCATCGTACCGTCCATCGCACCGTACAACGTAGGTACAACGTAAAGCACAACGTAGCGTAGCTTCTCCGCCCGCAGAGCACTTATAAGTTGTCGGCACTAAAGCGTCGATCAGCCGCTCCAACGGCGACGTTGGCGTCACGACGCAGAAGCCTTACCGAGGACCCTGGCGGCCCTAAGTCTAACGGCCCTGCGGCGCCCTCTTAACTCTTATATCATATAGGTACATAGGAGTCGGGAAACTTGTCAACAAAGTAAAGCAGCTTTGGTGTAGCCCTGTGAGTGTATTTCTTACTCATACATGGCGCGGCGATGTGGATGGTGGGTCGTTCTGTTTTGTTTTGGTTTGGTTTGCAGCCCGGCAAGGGACAGCGACTGGCTGTCGCACTGCTGCGCGGTGCACCCTTAGCAGATTACATAGGTATGTACAGAGGCACTTGCTTGGGAGGGGAGGGCGCGCAGAGCAGAGCCGCACACCGGCACGTCACGTCTCGTCGCGCACCGACAGCGGCAATGGCGTAGCAACCACCACCGCACCGCCGAGACCAACAACACCCAAGCCAAGCCAAGCCAAGCCAGGCAAATCCACCACCGCCGTTCCTTTCTTCCTCCCGCCCGCCTGCCTGGCTGTCCTATGGAACACAACCTATACTACCTAGCCAGGTACGCCGGTGGCCCGGCGCAGCCCTGCGATGTGATATCGCGTTGCGCACGGCAGGCCTCGGCAGCCGCAGCAGCAGCAGCAGCACCAAACAGGCTGCCCTGCTGCTGCTGCTGCTGCTGCTGCTGCTGCTGCTGCTGCCCTTTGCTCATTACGCAACCACCGCCGCGCGCTCATCACCACCACAGCGTTGGTGTTGGCGTTAACATTGGCATTGGCACGGCACGCATGGTACCTTAACAACGACAACAACACCTCCATGCGCACGGGCGTGACGCAACGGCACGCACAGTCCGCGAAGCACTGCGCGCCCGATCTCGCGGTACCTAACTATCGTACCAACTACGGCACACGCCAACCCCATAAGTGGACAGCTACAATAGGTCCAAGGCCATTAAACCCGCATTGAGCGCGCACGCACGAGACACACGGGAGCCGCGGGCATGCCAAGCACCAGCACCTGGCACAACCGGGACGCAACGGGCGCGGCGCGGCGCGGAGCGGGCCGTGCGCACCACCGCAACCGGGCGAGTCAGGGCCGTGTTCGCGTGAGCAGCTGCTGCCGTGCCGTGCCGTGCGATGACGTGGGCGCTGGTGGGTGCAGCTCATGACCAGGTGCTGGGGCTGGGATCGAGATCTCTCTGTTTTGCGCGCCGCGCGCGAGAGTCAGAGAGAGAGATGGAGGGAGCGAGAGAGTCAGTTTGTCAGACCTACCTACCTATGTGGTAGAGGGGGAGAGGTTTTGAGGCTCAGGCCACTGCTGCTGATGGGTGGGAGCGTATGTACGCAGTGTTGGATTTTGAGAATTGATCAGGTACGTGTTTACCAGGGTACCTACCTATACTTACATGGCACGCAGCACGCAGCCTACGGTAGGTAGGTACACAGCTCGCAGGCATGCCCTGTGCGTTACTTACTCCTATAATAGTCACTGAGAGGAGAAGCGTACAACGTACACCGTACAGTACAAGACCTATGGTGCGCTCCACCAAGCACTAACCACTAACCACTAACCTCTAAGTACGCACCACCTAGGTACCTATCAAGGTATTACTCGGAACCCAGGCACGCAGGTAAGCACCACAACCACGACAACGACAACGACCACGACACCCGGTATCCGTCGCCGTGGCTACCCCTAAGAACAGAGCGTGGGCGCGCGCGCGGACGGCAGAGCACGGCGGAGCACGGTGTAGGTAGGCGTCTTTTCGTGCATGTACGATGTACACACGGATAGGGTCATGGATATCTAACTAGGTACGTACCTACCTACCTACGCGGAAGGAGTCGCCAGACGAACAGACAAGCAAGCAAGCAAGAGCAAAAGCACACGACCACGACACCAGCACAGCGCGCCCACACACACATACAGCCATGACGAATCCCTCCCGCGAGTCTTGCTCGCCTACGCTTCCCCGAGCACGCACCCACCCAACCCCCAGGCTCACGACACCCCTCTCGTCCACCATCTCTACCTCTCCGCTTCATCGCGCACTTCCCCCGACAAACGGACCGTACAAATAGGGCTCGACACCCAAGCCACTAACTACCTATTCACCACAAGCGATGGCAGTGGAGGCAGGTAGGTAGGTAGGTAGGTAGCTAGCGGCCTAAATATCCATAGCCCTGTAAAGGTAGGTAGCTAACGACATGGGTTGAGTGTCACTGATATCATTGTAATCTGCTGTTTTCACTGGCTCTTCCTACTCGTACAACGATTAATACTACAACTGCCTCCGCTGCTGCTGCTGCCACCGCTTCTGGAACCACTGCCCCTTCCCTTTCCTTCTCCTCACTCCTCTTCTCATTCTCAATCTCAATCTTTACTGTTGGCACAACCATTCAAAACACAAAGACACCAACACAGCGCCGAGCAGCCTACGACGTGTCCGTGCCATTGCGGCAGCGGTTGGCAATGGTATCGCAGGTCACGACGGTGCCGGGACAGAGGAGGCGCTGGTTGTACGCGAACTGGGCCGCGACGCCATCTACATCAATAGTCAGCGTTGCTCGAGCAGACAGCAAGGAAGAAATAAAAGAAGGAAAAAGAGAGGAAGAAAAACAAAGGAGCAGTTCGAGAGAAACCCCCAAGCCAGAAAAACAGCAACAGCAAAGACAGCAGACACGACCGCAAAAGCCGAAAAGCACAAGCATAAACACAAGTACAACGAAAAGAAAGCGGGCAAACTCACTCCCTTGCGCACCGATACTCGCACCAACGCCGTTGCCAGCGACGGTAAAGTACGAGAAGCGCACAATGTTCGGCAGCCGCGCCTCGTACCTGACCTGGAACTGGTGCAGGCTGTAAATGTCGCCCGCGGAGCCAAGGATCCACTCGACGTTGACAGTCTGCGCGACCGGGTCAACCTCGTACCAGATGCCGTCGCTGGCCTCCTGGAACGGCAGCACCATGTCGCTCCACAGCGGCGCGACTGAGTACGGCGGTAGTTCCGTGCTTGGCAGCAGCTTTGGCGCGTAGGCTATCGTTGGACCAAAGGAGAGAACCTGGAGCAGGTTGTTAGCCAGGGGTCTGCGGTGATGATGGTAGAAAAGAGAAGGAACACTCACCCCGTTCGTCGACACAAACAAAGTCCGCGCGCTCTCGCCGTAAAGCTGCATCGGGAATGGCAGCGTCAGGTTGCGGACTTCATCGTCGTAGTTGTTGAAGACGTCAGTGCTGAGTAGAGGCGTTGGACTGGCGAGATGTAGCGTCGGCGATGCACTGCCAGTGCCGCAGGCTGCAGCCCCTATCGACGATGACGAAGAAGGCGCCACACTGGAACTCGGGGCCCCAGGGTTGTTGACGGGCGGGGGTGGATTATCCGCTGGCAGCACGACGAGGGCGTTGCCGCCGCTGTTGACAAAGCCCGTGTTGGTGGACTTGAGATAGCAGAATGTGCCCACTTGAGACGCCGTCGCGCAGCCGTTCGTCAGTGAACAAATTTGTCCACAGAATACCAGGTTAGGAGAGTACAAGGGCTGATTGGGTAAGTTGCCGCCTGCATCACTTCATCAGCTTGGTCAAGCTCCCCTTCACGCACTTTAATAAGTGGCTTACCGTATGGCTCCCTGAAGCACATCAGCGTAAAACGCCGGCCGGCGAGGAAAACCGCTTTTCCGTCATCCTGAGGACATGCAAGGTTTGTCGGCGCTGCACCAACTGCCAGCGTCGAGCTGGCTGACTGCGACTGCGTAGCCGTCGAGATGAGGTTTGTTGGCGCACGGCTGATCTCCACGTCCTCTGAGACCTGCAAACACTGGCCAAAGCCGGATTGGCACCCGAAGCCGCAGTACTGCGTGTCGTTACCGCTAAGTAGGCTGTCAGTATCTTTGCTTCTTGACAATGTTTTTCTGTTTTTATTTAGGGATCTGAAAGTCTCACCAGAAGCCGAATTGTGAGCAACAGGGTGCGGAGAGGGATGTTGAGCACACAACTCCGCCGTTGTTGCTACCGCATGCACCGAATGGAGCTGCTGGTAAAGAAGAGGCACTGGATGAAGCTGCTGAAAGACTCGAAGGAAGGGGCGTGCTGCCTGGGGTCGAAGAGGAGGCACTGATTAAACTGAATGACGGAAACAAAGTAGAGGAAAAGGAAGAGGTTGCCGGTACAGGTGTCACTAGAACCGAGCTAACAACTTGCGTAGTGGAGGACGCACTTCCTTCGGAATTAGCCAAAGACACTGTACCCGAATTCGCCGTGCCAGAAGACGCTCCGACAGACGAAGACGAAAGCGAAGTCGAAACTCCCGAGCTCTCGGGCGGCGTATAAACAGAACCCGAGACCGTAGGCGCAGGGGCGAGGCTCTGCGACGAGCTCTGCGTCAACGAGAACGAGAACGAGACCGGCGGTGGAACTGCGCCGCAGTATCCGTAGCCCGGTTGGCAGCCGGTGCCACAGTAATCAGACCCAGCGCCACAATAGCCCCATTGGCTACAGCAAGCACCGCGCCCACTGCCCAAGCACGACTTCAAAGCGACGGGGCCGCATGAGCCATCGTTGCTGGGCACGGTGCCCGGCACTGGACACAAGCCGAAAGCGGACTGGCAGCCGGGGCCACAAGCGGCAGCAGTGTCAGCACTGCGGCGCGGGGGCCAGTTAGTGTTTGCCTGGATAGAATAGGGCGAAGGAGCAAGAAAGGATTCGTCCCGTTGTTTGGAGACTCACCATCGGCTGTTGGCGCCGCAGCATGCCCCGAACGGCGAGCCCCGGCACTGGAAACTGCCACCGCACAGTCCGTCGGGAGACACGCTTCCAGGGGGCGAGATGATGCTAGAGCTGGCGCTAGCACTGGCGCTCGTGCCGAACACGGCCGAAGAGGAGGATGGCGATAGGGAGAGTAAGTCCTCGATGCACCGCGTCTCGTAAACGGTAATGATGTCCGCGCGGGCTACGCGCGGCCGGGCCAAAAGGCCGCAGCAAAGAAGGAGGGTGAAGCGCCCGGGCAGCATGGGCGCGAGCAGTCAAACGAGCGACAACGACGACAATGATAGCACGCGCGCCGCAGCTGCGGCGGAGAGGCCTATTCATGGCTTTCGAGACTGTTACACACGGCCGCGAGTCTTGTCGCCGCGCCCCAAGCCATTGAGAATGGTAAACAGGCGCGCAAGAACGCGGTGCTGGGCGTCGGCCACCGTCGCGCTCCAGTGTCGTGGTCTTGAGAGGATGGCGGCGACGTCAACCGCACCATGACGGGCGGATAGACAACGGATCCGACTTGCCATGGTCGAGCACCGCACGCGTTGAGCCGGGCTGAGATGGCTGCGGCCCGCGGGCTGTGATGCTGGGGCGGTGCTAATAATATCGCGGTTTGAATTTGGCCATGGCCAAGGCCGAGAAAAGAAGGCGCGTCCATTTGGCAAATACCTCGATGCAGCTTGGCCGCGATGGAGCCGCGCTTGCTGAGGAGACGCCGGCGGCGGAATGTCACAAAGTAATCTCGGCGGTTGTGGTATCTAAGATGGGGCAATTTTGAATAAACTCCTGACCATTATTGTATGCTTGGGTAGCTAAGGACAATTCATGTCTATTGCTCACGTGCTCGCTTTAAAAGAACAGCACGCCAACTCACTCAGCAAGGACAGACCGTAGGGATGGAACCACGCTGAACGGAAACCAAACTAAAGAATAACACCGGAAAAGATTAAACATTGATGATGATAAAGCAAGAGCAATCGTTCTATTCAACTAATTGCATAAAAGCAAAGTGCAAAAAGGTGTATATCTTCATACAAGCTCTTAACCCAGAAGCCATGTCCAGCAAGCCGGTGTCAAGACGAATACCCAAGAAAATGCAAGACCGCTAGCAAGGCCATTGGTCGGAGGTGTAAGCATGATATGCTCAGTGGAGCTTTTTACAGAAGGATCATGCCAGCGCCAAGACCCATGGCACCGACAGCGTAGACACCCATCTGGAGCATGCCGAAGTCGAAGCGGGGGACGGTAAGGCCGGCAGCAGCGCCCTTGGAGCTCTTGGAGTCGGAGCCGCCAGCGCCGGAGGCAGCAGCAGTGCTGGTGGGGGAAGCGGTGACCTGACCAGTGCCAGCGGTACCAGCCTGAGCCATCAAGCTAGAGCAGCTGCCGGCGGGCTTGGTGGAAGAGGCGAGCTGAGCAGAGCCGCTGAAGGAGCAGGCATCAGAGCTCTTGTCCTGGAGCTCGTAGTAGCGGTTCAGGGCAAAGGCAAGCTGCTCAGTGGAGTTGCACATGCTGTAAGCACCAAAGTCACCAGTGGTGGCGTTGTGAGCAATGCCCTGGCAAGCCTTGTTGTTGAGACCGCAGACGGTGCCGAAGAGCTCGCCGTAGTCCTCAGAGTCGACCTTGGAGGAGACAGTGCAGCCAAGAGAGTTGTACATGCAAGTGCACAGCTCACGGTTGGGAGAAGGCGGCAGAGGGGAGTTGGTGGCAGCCCAAGACTTGTCGACAGTGGGGCACTTGGCACCAGCAGTGTTCGAGGGGGTGTAGCTGGCGCTGTTGACACCAGTGGGAGTGGCAGACTGGATCTGCTTGGAGTAGTAGCTGAAGTCCTTAAGAGTGCTGACCTTGTTGTCCTTGATGGTGACAAGGCCGTAGTCGTTCTCCTCCTGGAAGTACATGTAGACGATACCACCGGACCAGACGTTGTTCATCTTGTCACCGAAGAGAGTAGGGGTGTCGGTGAACTGACGGGGAGAAACATCGTTGCAGCCGTACTCAGCGAAGAAGACGGGGACGGAGTAGTCCTCGAACTCCTTGGTGCGGACGTCGTAGCCAGACTTGGTGAAGGAAGAGTCACCGCACCACGAGTAGATGTTGTAACCCCAGAAGTCGATGCGGCTGGCCTCGTCATCACCGCAGTTGAAGTAATTGGCCATGTTCTCACGGATGTCGGCGTCATCGTTGGTGGCGTAACCGACACCAATGGTACGGTAGCCCTTAGCCTTGATGTAGGCCTTGCTGTCACGAACGGCAGCCTTGACGAAGGCGCTGGCATCGGTGTTGTTGGGCGAGTTGGAAACCTCGTTACCGGCGAAGAAGCCAAGCGTGTTGTTGTACTTGGCCATGGCGTCAATGACGGCAGTGTAGCGGGCGTACAGCTCGTCGTTCCAGGCGGCGTCGGAGCGGTCAATGGACTTGCCGGGGGACGACAGATCGGAAACGACGTAGATGCCGGCATCCTGAAGCATCTGCATGCACTCATCGTGGTCCTCGTCGGGGTTGACGGCGTAGACACGGATGGTGTTGGTGCGCAGCTGGGTCAGGTAGGGAATGTCACGCTTGCAGTTGTCGGGCTTGCTGAGCGGGTCGGTGTAGTCATCGTTGCCGCTCGAGGTGCCGTTGGTGCTGTACTCCTGCTGGTAGGCAACACCGCGCATGTAGAACTGGGTGCCGTTGTTGGAGTAGAAGAACTTGGAGCCCTGGGCGACGCGTCGCGTTAGCACGGGCAGACCTAGCGTCGGCTTCGAGGCAGCGCAAGTACCTTGATCTCAATTGGGGGGACGTCAGCAGCGACGGCCCTGGCGAGGAGGGCAGCCGCGGCAGCGGCAATGCCGAACGACTTCATGATGGCAAGTGGGTTAAGGAGAGTGAGGTGCGGAATGCAGCGGAAGGAAGAGGTAAAAGTAGTGGAGGCGGAGCACACCACGAGCGCTAGTGGGAGGCAAACGAGAGGTCGGAAAACGAGAGGTCCGGTAAAGAGTGTGTAGGAAGGGTTAATGGAAAGAGGAGGCTGGGCCCGTGGAGTCGAAATAAAAGGAAGAAGGCAAATGGTGGAGGAGAGTGTTCATGGGGAGATCACTGCGCTCAGGGGAGTGGGCTATTTCCGCCCAAAGGAAATGACCGAAACGAGCCGAGTGGAGCCGCCTGTGTTGTAGGGCGAGTCCGACACGCAATCGGCGCGCGAGCATGTTCCAGAAGCCGGAGGCTGCCATTCGTCGCAACAAATCCGCCGCCCTATTGCTGCTCAGCTAGCTTGCGACGACGACGCGACGCGGGGGCCGGCGACTTTGGCGGCGGCGGCGGCGGAGAGGGCCCAGGGGGGCCGCATTGGATACGGCTTCTCAAATCTCAGCACTGCCACACAGCTCGCGCAACACACGGCGAATCACATGCGCCGCACTGGGCTGCCTAATGTCCGCCACCGTCTCCTGACGCCGATCAAGCGTCAAGCAAGCTTTTATGTACGAGTAGGCCACGCACCGAGCCGCAACCCGGCAAAAGGCACAGCATCGACGCTACACCAACCGGGAGCCCGAACAGGGGGAGGGGTCGAGGGGAAGGGGCAGTCGAGGGTATGGGGGTATGGGAGGCGAGAAGGGCAGGCAGGAGGCAAAGAAGGACCAGGAGGAGACAAGGCTTATAAATAATGAATCCTTTGGCAGCGGAAGGGATCGGTGGTTGTTCCCTTATGTAAACGGCAACTGTTGCCCCTATTCTGGCGGAAGCGTGTTTCGGGCGTGCAGGGGTGCGCTCCCGCCACTTCATCATGCCCTTATCGGAAGCAAATTCAAGGTGCGAGAAGTGGTGACGTCTGACAGGAGTTGGACGAGTGGGCGTGGGATGCCTGGAAAAATGGCGCGACAAAATTAGCAGGCGTGGCAGGGTGGTGATGGGGATGTGCGCCAGCGGTCCTGGGCCGATCAGCTTGCATCTTCGATTCGCGCCTTCCGTGCTGCCGATGCTACGCTAACCGCGAGCGTTGGGAAAGGCTTGATCGCCCCCCTGCCCGCGTCTCCACCCGTCGCGCGCCCGGTCCTTTCAGGCGTGACAGCCGCCCGGGAGGCGCTCCCTCAAAACTGCTGTCGCCCATTCCAGCTCCCCTTTTCCCCTTCCCTCTTGTACCGTCGACGCCGTCGTCGCTCACCTTCGTTCCTTCACCACCAAGCCTCAGGACCGCTCCGCTGTCCTTCTTCCCAAAGCTCGCCCACTGAGCCGCAAGGAGGAAGCCCAGCTGCGCGCCCCGGCCATCCCAATTTCGGCCGCCAATCACGCTGCCAAGTCCGACTCTCAATCGCCTTGGCCGCGCGTTTCGTCAACAACGACAACGACCACTCTCGTTCTTTGCAACTTCTCGACGTTTCCGGTCGCCGTAGCCTTGGAACCGCTGCCGCCACTACCCCCTAATAGGTACGTCCTTCGCCCCCGCACCCGCCTGACCTCCTGTCCTTGCCCGGCTACCAGGACACAAGGACTTCGCACTGACTGCCGCTGGCAATTAGACGTTCGGCTACCCACCCGTTCGTTGTCAACTCTACGTCGTTCCCTCAATTGTTCAATTCGCTCCCACCGATTGTCGCCTGGACTTCACCGTCGCTAGGTGAGCTTGTCCAAGCTTCCGGAAGCCTTGTCGCCATCTTGCCAGCTGACCGCTTTTTCTTTTTAGCCTGTCACTATGTCGGGCCATCCGCAAGGAGGCCACTACGACGATGGCTACGGCCACTCGGGCCAGGACGCCTATTATCACGATGACCCCCAGGGCTATTACGACGGCCAGCATGGGGGCACCGATTCGTACTATGATCAAAGCGGCTACTACGACGATGGCCACGGTCAGTACGCCCAAGACGGCTACTACGACGAACATGGCCAAGCCGGCTACCAGGACGAGTACTATGATAGCCAATACTACGACCAGCCTGGTCAGGCCGCAGGGTACGGGTATGTTCCAAGTGCTTCTTCTCCCAGAAGCGCCGGAGGCTCGTAGCTGACACTATGTAGTGGAGGCAGGCGCGGCAATGGATCCGAGGATGACTCGGAGACTTTCAGCGACTTCACTATGAGGTTCGACGCGGCTCGCGCAACAGATCCAGAAAATCACGGATATGCTGACAAACGGTTTGTGACAGTTATGCCGAAGGTCCAGGTGGCCGTGGATACCGCCCACCTTCTTCTCAGGTCTCGTACGGCGGAAACCGCAGCTCTGGCGCCTCGACCCCTGTCTATGGCGTGGACTACGCAAACGCTCTCCCTGCTGGCCAACGTTCCAAGGAGCCATACCCCGCCTGGACATCTGATGCGCAGATTCCCTTGTCCAAGGAGGAGATCGAGGACATCTTCCTCGACCTCGCCTCCAAGTTTGGTTTCCAGAGGGACAGCATGCGCAACTGCTACGATCACCTGATGACGCTTCTCGACTCCCGTGCCTCGCGCATGGCGCCGAACCAGGCCCTTCTTTCACTGCACGCCGATTACATTGGCGGTGACAACGCCAACTACCGCAGGTGGTATTTTGCCGCGCACCTGGACATGGACGACGCCGTTGGCTTCGCAAACATGAACATTGGCAAGAAGAAGAACAAGAAGACGGCTAAGAAGAAGAAGGGAGGCGATGATGCTGCCAATGAGGAGGAGATGATGGAAGCCTTCGAGGGCGACAACAGTCTCGAGGCCGCCGAGTACAGGTGGAAGAGCAGGATGAACAAGATGTCGCAGCACGATCGGGTGCGGCAGATTGCCTTGTTCCTGATGATTTGGGGCGAGGCCAACGTTCTCCGTTTTATGCCCGAACTTTGCTGCTTCATTTTCAAATGCGCCGACGACTTCCATACTTCTCCGGCCTGCCAAGCCCGTGTGGAGCCCGTTGAGGAGCTTACTTTCCTGAACACCATCATCACGCCTCTGTACCAATACTACAGGGACCAGGGTTATGAAATTGTGGATGGAAAGTACGTCCGTCGCGAACGTGACCACGCTCAGATCATTGGTTACGATGATATGAATCAACTCTTCTGGTACCCGGAGGGCATTGAACGCATCATCTTCGAGGACAAGTCTCGCCTCGTTGACCTTACGCCACCGGAGCGTTACGAGAGGCTGAAGGACGTTAACTGGAAGAAGGTCTTTTTCAAGACCTACAGGGAAACGCGCTCTTGGTGGCACATGCTTACCAACTTCAACCGTATCTGGGTCATCCACTTGTCTATTTTCTGGATGTACACGGTCTTCAACTCTCCGACGCTCTACACCAAAAACTACCAGCAACAGATCAACAACAAGCCGCCTGTCGCGGCTCAATGGTCTGCGGTCTCTCTCGGTGGTACTCTGGCTTCTTTGCTCATGATCGGTGCTACGCTCTGCGAATGGGCGTACGTCCCCCGTAAGTGGGCTGGTGCTCAGCATCTCACCAAGCGTCTCTTGTTCTTGCTCGTTGTCTTCGCCATCAACGTTGCCCCTGCGGTTTACGTTTTCGGTGTCAATCGGGAGAACAAGATCGCTCTCATCCTTGGTATCGTCCAGTTCCTGCTCGCGCTTATCACGATCATCTACTTCTCGTTCATGCCTCTTGGTGCCCTTTGGGGCAGCTACTTGACGAAGAACTCGCGTCAGTATGTCGCCAGTGCTACCTTTACGGCTAGCTGGCCGCATCTCAAGGGTAATGCGGTTTGGATGTCTTACGGTCTCTGGGTCTGCGTTTTCGCAGCCAAGCTGTCCGAGTCCTACTTCTTCTTGACTCTTTCGTTCAGAGATCCGATCCGCGTTCTGTCGACCATGAAGCTCAGCAAATGCTACGGTGAGAACATCTTCGGCAAAGGAAATGAGGACATTCTCTGCAAGAGGCAGCCTCAGATTCTGTTGGGCCTGATGTACTTCACCGATCTTTGCCTGTTCTTCCTCGACACCTACCTGTGGTACATCATCTGCAACATGTTGTTCTCTGTTGCTGGATCCTTCTACCTTGGTATTTCGATTTGGACGCCTTGGAGGAACATCTTTTCCCGTCTTCCCAAGCGTATCTACTCCAAGGTTCTGGCCACGACAGACATGGAGATCAAGTACAAGCCCAAGGTTCTGATTTCTCAAATCTGGAACGCCATCATCATCTCCATGTACAGGGAGCATCTCCTGGCCATTGACCATGTGCAGAAGCTGCTTTACCACCAGGTTCCTTCCGAGCAGGAAGGAAAGAGAACGCTGCGTGCTCCGACTTTCTTCGTCTCACAGGAAGATCACTCCTTCAAGACCGAGTTCTTCCCTGCGGGTAGTGAGGCTGAGCGCCGCATTTCTTTCTTCGCGCAGTCGCTGTCTACTCCTATTCCGGAGCCTCTCCCTGTCGATAACATGCCTACTTTCACTGTTATGATTCCTCACTACAGTGAAAAGATTCTTCTTTCTCTCAGGGAGATTATTCGCGAGGACGAGCCTTACTCCCGTGTCACGCTTCTGGAGTATCTCAAGCAGCTGCACCCGCACGAGTGGGACTGCTTCGTCAAGGACACCAAGATTCTGGCCGATGAGACTTCGCAGTTCAACAATGGCGATGCCGAGAAGTCTGAGAAGGACACGCAAAAGGCCAAGATTGACGACCTGCCCTTCTACTGCATTGGTTTCAAGTCTGCTGCCCCTGAGTACACTCTCCGCACTCGTATCTGGGCTTCTCTTCGCTCGCAGACTCTGTACCGCACGATTTCTGGTTTCATGAACTACAGCCGCGCCATCAAGTTGCTTTACCGTGTCGAGAACCCTGAAGTCGTCCAGATGTTCGGTGGTAACTCTGACAAGCTGGAAAGGGAACTTGAGCGCATGGCGCGTCGCAAGTACAAGATTTGCGTGTCTATGCAGCGTTACGCGAAGTTCACCAAGGAGGAGAGAGAAAACACCGAGTTCTTACTTCGCGCGTACCCCGATCTCCAGATTGCCTACCTCGACGAGGAGCCACCTGCGAACGAAGGCGAGGACCCGCGTCTCTACTCTTCTCTCATCGACGGTCACTCTGAACTTATGGAGAACGGCATGCGTAAGCCCAAGTTCCGGGTTCTGCTCTCTGGTAACCCCATTCTCGGTGACGGCAAGTCCGACAACCAGAACCACGCCGTTATCTTCTACCGTGGCGAGTACATCCAGCTTGTCGACGCTAACCAGGACAACTATCTCGAGGAGTGTCTGAAGATCCGTTCCGTCCTGGCCGAGTTCGAGGAGATGACCACTGACAACGTTTCGCCCTACACTCCTGGTCTTCCTCGCTCGGACTTTGACCCCGTGGCCATTCTCGGTGCCCGCGAGTACATTTTCTCTGAGAACATCGGTATCCTTGGTGACGTCGCTGCTGGTAAGGAACAAACGTTCGGTACCATGTTTGCCCGTACTCTTTCCCAGATTGGTGGCAAGCTGCATTACGGTCACCCCGATTTCCTGAACGGTATCTTCATGACTACGCGTGGTGGTGTCTCCAACGGACAAAAGGGTCTGCACCTTAACGAAGATATTTACGCCGGTATGCGCGCTCTTCTGCGTGGTGGTCGTATCAAGCATTGCGAGTACTACCAGTGTGGTAAGGGTCGTGATCTTGGTTTTGGTTCCATTCTCAACTTCACCACTAAGATTGGTACGGGTATGGGTGAGCAAATGCTTTCTCGCGAGTACTACTATCTCGGTACCCAGCTGCCTCTCGACCGCTTCCTGTCGTTCTACTACGCCCATCCCGGTTTCCATTTGAACAACATGTTTATCATGTTGTCGGTGCAGTTCTTCATGTTCGTTGTTCTCAACCTCGGCGCTCTCCACCATGAGACCATCACCTGCAAGTACAACAAGAACAAGCCTATCACCGATCCGTTGTTCCCCACTGGTTGCGCCAACCTCCAACCGGTCATCGACTGGATCACTCGTTGCACGGTGTCTATTTTCATCGTCTTGATCATTGCCTTCATCCCTCTGACTGTCCAGGAACTTACCGAGCGTGGTGCCTGGCGTGCGGCTACTCGTCTCGCGAAGCACTTCTCTTCTCTCTCGCCTATGTTCGAAGTCTTCGTCTGTCAGATTTACTCCCAGGCTGTTGCCAGCGATCTGTCCTACGGTGGTGCTCGCTACATCGGTACTGGTCGTGGTTTCGCCACTGCGCGCATTCCCTTCGGTATCCTGTTCTCGCGTTTCGCACCCCCGTCAATCTACCTGGGTGGTCGTATGCTCATGATGTTGCTGTTTGCCACGATGACCATCTGGGATGCCTGGTGTGTCTACTGGTGGGTCTCGCTTCTTGCTCTCACCATCTCGCCGTTCATCTTCAACCCTCACCAATTCTCCTGGGACGACTTCTTCATCGACTACAGAGAGTATCTCCGCTGGCTCTCTCGTGGCAACACCAAGTCGCACAGCGCATCTTGGATTGGATACTGCCGTCTCACTCGTACCCGTCTCACTGGTTTCAAGAGGAAGGCTCTGGGTGACCCGTCTTCCAAGATGTCCGGCGATGTCCCTCGCGCCTCGTTCGCAAACATCGTCTGGGGTGAAATCGTTGGCCCGATCTTCCTCATCGCCGTCACCATCATTCCTTACCTTTACATCAACGCCCTGACCGGCGTCAAAGGCGCCAAAGGAAACGATGATATCCCAGATGATGAGTACCACGCGACTGACTCTATCATCCGTCTTTGCATTTGCGCCTTTGGTCCCATCGCCGTCAACGCTGGTGTGTCTGGTATGTTCTTCGCCATGGCCTGCTGTATGGGCCCTCTCTTGAGCATGTGCTGCAAGAAGTTCGGTGCTGTCCTGGCTGCTATTGCTCATGCGGTGGCTGTCATTATCATCATCGTCTTCTTCGAGGTCATGTTCTTCCTCGAGGGTTGGAGCTTCGTCAAGGCTCTCTCGGGAATGATCGCCGCTGCCGCCATCCAGCGCTTTATCTACAAGCTCATCGTTTCTCTTGCACTCACTCGTGAGTTCAAGACTGACGCTGCAAACATTGCCTGGTGGACGGGTAAGTGGTACAGCATGGGTTGGCACACGGTAACGCAGCCTGGTCGTGAGTTCCTCTGTAAGATCACGGAGCTGGGAATGTTTGCTGGCGACTTCTGTCTTGGCCACATGATTCTGTTCATCATGCTTCCCGCTCTGTGCATCCCCTACGCCGACAAACTCCACTCGATCATGCTCTTCTGGCTGCGCCCAAGGTACGTACAAATGGATCGCCACTGGAAGAAATTAATAACTAACTGGACCTCTAGTCGTCAAATCCGTCCCCCCATCTACTCACTCAAGCAAACCAAGCTTCGCAAGCGTCGCGTCATCCGCTACTCGATCCTCTACTTCACCCTGATCCTTGTGTTCGTTCTCCTTATTGCTGGCCCCTTGATTGCCGCCAAGTTTGTCAGTGGCCTGCCCACCAACAGCTCGCTCGGTCTCAGCAACATGTACATCATCCAGCCTACTGGTATGGGTAACAACGACACCAGAGGTACCGTTGAGACCGGAACCGCCGCTGATGGTGCCGCTGCTACTGGTGGCGCGGCTGCCTCAAGTGCCGCTTCGACTGCGAAGAGGCTCTTGCTGGCCAGGTCGTATTAAGAGGGGACTACACGTGTTCAGGGACGCATTTTCGTGGGCGGCGCAACGGGCTTTCGAGCGTTGTTACGCTGTACAAGCAATAAACATGATGCCGCACTGCCTTCCGCTTTAGCGGGGGTCACGTAATGACTATAATCATCCCCAGCCTCAGCGATTATCCATCTTTTTATTTCTTAGGAGGGTTTTCTGATGGGACAGGGACACTCTTTTTTTTCTTGAATTGCTTCGACCACGACCTCGTGGTTGAACATTTCTGCACATAAAACAGTACAAGCATAGGTGTGGATGGTTTCAGGTTCATGTGTTAGATATTGAATGCATTGGCTTCTTTGACAAAGTCGTGGTCAAAAATCGAATACTTATGTGAAGTGAGTAACATAGCTGGCGGTGGCAGAATTCAGTTATCCGGCAATCCGCGTCACGTGCCGGGGCGATAAGCAGGACCCCTAAGTAAATTGAGCCGCGTCAGGGCTCACGCTTCCATTGATCGACACCTCCGCCATGGATTTACACGACGTGCAGCAGCAGGCAATGAGCCTCTATAACGAGGCGACTACGCAGTTCCACAGGATACCCGGTTCAGCGATTGTCCTAAGATACATCAAGTCCTCTTACCAGAATGACCCGGTGCGGTCCGCCGTCGAGCTATTTCTGTTCCTGTTCTTCGTGCGCTACCTCTTGTCGCCCAAATACTCGACACAGAAGCAGAAGATTGCTCTCACAGAAGATGTATGGAACTCTTCCTGCTGTACGGATAGCGGGACTGTGCTGACCGTATCCATAGGAGATTGATGAACTGGTTGAAGACTGGACTCCGGAGCCCCTTGTTGCACCGCAGACAGCACTCGAGGGGATGGACAACGACAAGCGTCCAGTTATCGTCGGGTAAGCCTTGTCCGCTCACGCTTGGAGTACAAGGTGCTAATGTCATGTCTCCAGCCCGACCGGTCCCAAAACGAAACTTTCAAACGGCCGCACAGTGACGAACCTCGCCTCTTACAACTTCCACAACTTTTTGTCCAGTGAAACGCTCAAGGAGAAGGCTATCAACACACTGCGCACCTATGGCGTCGGTCCTTGTGGCCCCCCCGGCTTCTACGGCACACAGGATGTACACATGAAAACGGAAGCGGATATCGCCGCGCATTTGGGCGTTCCGGCGTGCATCATCTACGCTCAATCTTTCTCGACCATTTCTAGTGTTATCCCGGCTTTTTCGAAAAGAGGCGACATCATTGTGGCCGACAACTCCGTCAACTACTCTGTTCGGAAGGGCATTCAGATCTCTCGCAGTACTGTCAGATGGTTTGAACACAACGATATGGATGATCTAGAGAAAGTTTTGGAAAGAACCGTTAAGGAACAAGCTAGGAAGCCTCTCACTAGGCGGTTCATCATCACAGAGGGTCTTTTCGAGAATGTGGGAGATGTGGCTAATCTGCCCAAGCTGGTACGTTAGTCCGGACCGAGAGAAGCGCACTTGCTAACTGTATTTCCGGTTCAGATCGAGCTCAAGCTCAAGTACAAGTTCCGTTTGATCCTTGACGAAACCTGGTCGTACGGCGTCCTTGGTCGCACCGGCCGCGGTGTCTCCGAAGCACAGAATGTCGACGCTTCCGAAATTGACATGATAATCGGCTCGCTCGCAGGCCCCCTTTGTGCAGGTGGTGGTTTCTGTGCAGGCTCCGAGGAGGTCGTTGAACATCAGCGCATTTCCGCAGCCGCATACACGTTTTCCGCTGCCCTGCCGGCCATTTTGTCGACCACAGCCAGTGAAACGGTAGCCCTGCTACAGGAAAACCCCGATTTGCTGGTACAATTGCGCGAGAATATCAAGAGCATGCGCGCTCAGCTTGACCCCCGCAGCGACTGGGTGAGATGCACGAGCGTGGTGGACAATCCAATGATGCTGTTGTCACTAAAGCCGGAAGTTGTGGCCTCGAAGAGGTTGACGGATATGGATCAGGAGTTTTTGCTGCAAGAGGCCGTTGACGAGGTTGGTGTGCCAATGCCAAAAACGAAAACACAGTCATAGCTAACGTTTTACCACAGTGTCTCTCCAACGGCGTCCTCGTTACGAGGCTCAAGGCCATGCCGCCGGCTGTCGGTGCGGGTGAGAAGGAGAGGGGCTGGCAGCCGGTGCCAGCAATCAAGGTCTGCGTGACTTCGGGCCTGTCGAAGAAGGAGATTGAGAAGGCGGGTGTGGTCATTAGACATGCCATCACCAAGGTCATGACTAAGAAGAGGTGATGAGAGACGACATGAATGCGGGAGAGGTTTTCACAGCATAGCAGCAGTTGTAATAATGCTTAATCAAGCTACCGATAGGTGGCGCTGTTTTTTCCATCAGCCACCAGGAAGGTTGGCATGCCTCTGTTCCTGGCGGTGGCTGGCAGCTTCCCAGCCATCGCGACGACCAACCATCAGGAACCGACGTCGCAAGTGCGTCACGCCTGCAGTCAGCGAGCTCCTCCTCCACTCCCTTATTCCATCCTCCTGCACTTATTCTGTCTCCTGGCATCCGTCTTCCCCCTCCTCTCCGACAGCAACGTGCAATACTGCTTTCGCGCCATTGAGCTTTGGTACCCGCTCCCGCTCGCCAGCTCGCTTCGTCCCGACCCACCGACCGACCGATCGACCGGCTATCAGCGTCATCGCCGCTAATCACGACCGCCCTCGCCTGCGCTGCGTTGCCTATTGTGGTGCCGGTGGTTGGAAACGCGTAGCTCGTCGTCGGATTGTACTCTGTTTCTACTGTGTGCTTGACCACAATTGGAGTGCGAGACTGCCTGCGGACCACTTGTTGGATACGGAATATCGGCGAGCTTTGCGACAAGCTTAACCTTACTGGTTTCCTCGAAAGAGCTTCACTCGCGCACACTTTGGAGAACGAACACTCGAAAGGATCTCTACAGGTTACTGCCTGTTGTCTGAGCAAAACTTTACGCCATGGCTCGATCAGTCGTGGGACGTGCAGTGGTGGTCCGGGAAAAATACTACTGGCCGGACATACAACTGAATATTTGGACTATCCTTATGCTCGCAACTGCCGGTACGATTCTGGGTATATTCGCCGAGTTTATGCAGATTCATAGCGCATTCAAGGTCGGGTCACCATGGTGAGTGTTTCTCTACCCAGCAGAGAGCAATGCAAAGCAGCACAGTCGCAGGCTCTATCACTGTATTTCTACGTGGAATTCGCTAACAAGGCCAATGCAGGCTCTTCCCTTACGGCGTGACGGTCGGCGCTCTCACCATTGTCTTCATCATCATTGAGATAATTCTCATTGCACAGCGCCGCTTACTCCCAGGCGTCATGATGCTAGGCGCGTTCATCTTGCTGGTTCTGTATCTTGCGGGCATCATCGAGACGGGCATCCAACTGTTCGGTTCCAGTAGCAACGTTAATGGCAACTGCCAACGCTGGGTCACCAACAACAAGGTGACGGGGCCGAGTGTCGAGACGTTGGCTTGGCTGCAGCAAAACAACATATGTAAGTTTTATATTCTCTCGCTCCAGAATCTCAGGAGAAGATGGCATTCGTGGATTGGTTTCTGGCGGTGGCTGACCCGAGGTGAACAGGTTCATGCTGGAATGCTGCATTCGCTTTCTGGATAATCGGCGCTTGTCTCTTCATCTGGATGATAATCATGGGGAGTCAAGTGAACCAAAACCAATTCGACTGATGATAGAACTTCAGCGGGTCCCTTGGGTCTTCTTCTTCTGATGCTTCTTCTTTTACACTTTTTCTCTTCTTCCTCTTCTCTCTTGACTTTTCCTCTCTTTTCTTGAAGTACATTTTGCCTGCCAGGCCTTGGTTGGGACTTTTAACGTGGACCTCTAAATCAGGGGCACGAGCTTACGGTTGTACGCTGTATGACGGACGAACGAGAAACGAACACTCCTCATTTTCTTTTCCCTTTTTCACGCCCATTGTAATCCCCAGGCTACAGCGGCGTTAGCGATTTACATACATACCACCGACGGGCAGACACGAAAGGATACGAGCAAACGAGCTGCTGGGCACGAAAAAAATATCCCACAATAGCAGACGGACACAATACCTCGGCGCAATTGTCGACATAATCGATAGTTAGATACCCATAGTTAATCCATGAACATCTATCCAACCACCCTCAGCCACACATCCACGCGCCACTTGCCATCCATATCCATGCACAGCAGCCCCCACGACCACGGTCCCAGCTACATCCCTACAACACCCAACGCACCCCGATCCTCCGAGCTCCACGCTATTGTACCTGAGACGCGGTGCTTGTTTACATTCTACACAAGCCGTAAGAGCAGCAGCGGCCCCCCTCCCTGACTCTGATCTCTGATCTCCGTTTGCGCCGCCGCGCGGCCGTCTCCGCAAGGATGACACGGCCACGGCCGCCGCCACCGCAGCAGCAGCCACACGTCTATCCGTGGGCGGTGCGTGGGTACTGTACGATATAGCGAGCGAGACGAGACGTGCGTGCGCGCTTGGGTACACTGAAGGAGTATTGTAGGAGCAGGATCGCGCGCTGATAGCGCTAGGGACAGGCTTGCGGGCCTGGAAGCCTGTCTCACGCTGCCGCAGCAGCAGTATATTATAATTATATCATTCCACGCCACCGTGGGCGGTTTGATTGCGCCGTGGATTGGGTTGCAGGGTGCGGTGCGGAGCGGAGGGCAGGGCAGGGCAGTCAGGGCAGAGGAGGACGTGGATGGATGTGGAAGGATGTGGTTAGGCGGTTAAGCGCTCACCAACGTCTTTCCTTCCTCCTCGCGCCAGGCAACAGAAACATCGTAGAGTGCAGATAAGCACGCACGCCCGCCCGTACCTACCTAGGTAGCCAGCTACCTACCTAGTCGGTCTATCGTACATTATCTACCCACGACGCGCCCCAGCCCGCCCGCGCGCGCGCCGACAGCCAGCGAACCGCGCCGCGCAGCTCCACCGCTCATCTCGCTCTGATCGCGTACCCACGCAGCTCATCTCATCTCATCTCATCTCGTTTTTCGCCAGGTAGTAGCTGCGCTCGTCAAACAGCGCCGCACGCGGTTAGTGGGCGCTTCTACCTGCCTGCCTGGATCTCTTGGTTGCCGCTGCGCGCTCTGTGCTGTATGTACGATAACTACGGATACATAGAATAGAATGATGGTAAATGGGCAATGGGATCCATATTGAAGATAGCACGGATGCTTGTACGTGCTGTGTTTGTATGTACAATGGGATTATTGTACATGTCGTATGCATGCATGCCTTGACGACCACCGCTGCTGCTGCTGCAGGTCCCGTGGGAGGGGTGCGGACAATAACGCGCAATACTTCTCTGGCAGCTTATGTGGGCTCGCGTCGCTGTGTGCGCGATCTCAGTGGTTGTAGCGGTTGTTGCGTCTCCTTTTTCTTATCTTGTTTTAACAACGCGCTCTCCGGTTCAGCTCATTTCGGCACTGCACTGTCGACTAGAAACGGCATGCCGCGCCGGGTTGAGTGCCGGGGACCGCGGTGGAGACGGGAGGTACGTTTGGAGATTTGCACGCACGTACGATATATTGTTGTTGGCCTGTCTAGAGTCTACCCGCGCCGCGCGCTGTGCTTTCTTTATACGGCATGCCCGTATGGAGATCTCGCCGTGTCGATAAGTCTACATACTGCGTACGCTGATTAACCCTCGGCGGCCAGCGCGACGCGCAAGCGGCGTCTCGGTGGTAGCCCAGTCGTCTAAGAAACCGACATCGGCCCCGTCTCGACATCTCTGGGCCCGGCTTGTCCAGGGAGAGTGTGCCTGCCCGGGTGGAGGTCAAGAAAAGCGGAGCAAGGTCCGGTCGCCGTCTTTCAGCCCAGCGTCCAGAGTTTGACTTCGCCGTCGTCGCCCGTGCTGATGATGACTTCGTCGTCCTCGGAGGTCCTGTCCTTGTCGCGGCGTGGTGCCCAGCAGACGTGGTTGATCTCGAAAACGTCGTGGGCGCCCTCGACCTCTGCGACTACAACCCACTCTGTCAAAGTGCTGGGGCTCTGGCCTGCCTTCCCCTCGCCATCAGGCACCGCTTCGCTGGACTCTTTGCCTAGGTCGTTCCTCCACTGCTCCTTGTAGACCACAATCTTGCCGTCGCTGCCTGTGCTTGCGATCATGCCGGACTTCTTGCTCCAGGCAACCGAGTAAACAGCCCGCTCATGTCTCCTCGGTAACACTGCCTCTTGAACCCACTCTTCCTCGATGCTGTTATTCCGCAGAATGCTGGGTACGCCGTTGTTGTTCCCTGCGTTTCCCGTGTCCTTTGGTATTTTCCTCCATATCCTAACCGTCATGTCGTCCGAACCGGACACCAACCGGGAGCCGGCCGCGACTCTGTCCTGAAGGAGCTTCTTCTTCGCAGCCGAGACCTCTTCGCTGTCCCCCTCTTCCACCTTCAGCGGCGAGACCTCCACGGCCTCAAAATCCACAGACCAGACTGTAGCGTCGTGCCCACTCATCACGGCGACGCACGTCCAGTCGTCCAAGTCCTCCCGGTAAAGTCTTATCGTGTCGTCGTAGCTCGCGCTGGCCAGGCAATCTTCGCTGGGGTGCCATGCGACGCACTTGACATCGCCCTCGTGCTCTTGGAGCACAGCAATCGTCTCAAAATTATCGTCCTCCATTTCCTCCCAAACCCAAACACTCTTATCACGGGAGCAAGTCGCGAGGAACTGGCCGCCAGCACTCCACGCCAAGCTCTTAATCTCGCTCTCATGGCCATCCAAAATGACACTGAAGCGCCACTCGTCATCGTCCTCTTCTCCATCAGCAGTAGCAGCAGCAGCGACATCGATCTCGGTCTCCTCCTCATCCTCGTCGTCGCGCATCCCCGGCGCCTTCTGCTGCTCCCACCGGCGCCAGATGCCCGCTGACGCGTCGAAGCTGCCCGTCGCCAGCACCGACTCGCCCACCATGCCGGGCTTCCACGCGCACGCGCGCACGCTGCGCTTGTGGCCCCCGCCGATCGTGCTCAGCAGCGTGAACGACGTCAGGCTGTACACGCGCACCGTCTTGTCCGACGACGCCGTCGCCACTATCGCCTGCGTCGGGTGCGGCGCGCTCATCCATGTCCGCGCGCTGCTGGCTGGCGTCAGCGCCGCTAGCGCTTTCAGTTCCGGTATCGTGGCCATGGTGTTTGTTGCTGCCGTTTGTTTCTTGCTTGACCGGGCCGCCGGAGATGCCGCGGGCGAGTGTCTGTTTGTTGAAGCCGGGGGCGATGCGTGTGTGGGCTGGAAACTGTCCGTCTGGATGTTGGGCTTCCAATGAGCTGCCGAATGTGTGCCGTTAGTGATAGCAATTCGCTGGGCTGTAGCTATAATCGAGAGGTTTTTGGCGCCGCGATGGCGTAGGTTCGCCGTCCGCGCACAGGCACTGCCTCGGCGGACATTTTAGCGAGACAATGACATCGATAAACACCCTCCTTAACTCTGCACTCAACACCAAATTTTTGCGAATTTACATTTATTTTAGAACCACTAAAGTCACAAGCAGCCTCAGGTTCAGTTTTACTATAAATTATACAGGGTGCATTGTGTTATTCTTTTCCATCGCCTATCTATGCCTACCCTACTCGTACTTTGTGCAAACCGAGCCTGATGCACTGTAAATCCGTAGCGTTTTATAGGTCAGGATACCCTGGTACACCAGCCGACTGCGACTCCAGGGCCCGGTACTACATAGGCACGCAAGGCAACGCGGCGCGCGGGCGCTGCATCACATCATGCATGCGGGTGCAGTGCGGCTGTGCAGACCGAAGATCTGCGACGGTAGCGGCAGCGGGTGCGGCAGCGGGTGCAGCAGCGGTAAGGCTAGGATTGGGAGGGAGGGATGTGTGGGCAGCTGATGTGGAAAAACAGAGGGACGGATACGGGAATAAAGAGGGGAGGGGGTTGGCTGATAATGAATATCAGGTGGACGTGGGGTGTAAGAACGAGCTCCGAGATGGTGGTGGAGGAGGGGGCCGCTCGTGTCTGCGTGCGTGGGTACTCGTACCTCCGTAGCAGGTGCGGAGATGGTGGGAGGCGGGCGAGGGGAGGAAAGGGGTGAGCGTCGACGCAGAGCCACGAGTGACGATGATGATGATGATGAGGTGCGGTGCATTGGTCTCTGCGCTGTTCTTCTGCTGTTTTACTTTTACTCTGTTGGGGTTGAGAGCATCATGTTCATAAGGCCACGAGAGTCAGTTACCGAGTCCAGCAACCAAAGAGGCAAACGGACAAGCCTCCTCATCATCTCAGCCACAAGCCACGGCTCGTCTACTCTAGCCAAGACAGGCCAAACGCGCTCGACCCCGCTGGCTAAGGCCGCCCGTCGCAAGCGGCAGCAGTGGCTGGCCTGTCCCGTTGCGGAAACAGGAAAAAGAGACGACCAACGGAGACGGCAGCGAGCTGACGAGTGCGGGTGGAGTAAAGAGAGCTGCAGACAGCCAGACGTCAGCCATCGGCGGCCGTTGTGCCGACGAGCTGGCTGATCGGCCAGCACTCGTGCGAGGGGGCCAGGTTGATGCTAATTTAGGCCTCGGACACGGGAGCGTAATATCGCCAAGACGAGCCTGCTGCAGGAGGAGTGAGCTGAGAGGGGCAAGAAGCAATAGTGGCAAAAGATAAGGGGGGGCGAAGTAGAGGAAAAGTAGTTCGTGGGGCAGCAGAAGAAAGCGTGCAACAACACGATATCGGCAGGCCAGCCCTTCGTATATCCGTACTTCCATCGCCAACGCAGCCAGGACGCAGCCCATCATCCGCCGACCGACCGTGCGCGCGTACGTGCAGGCATTTTCGGCTGGCCGACCGATCTGCAAAAGCGCCGCCTCGATCCCCGGCTCTACGCCCAATGAGGCAGCATTTCTGACGCCCCGCGCCACGCCGCATCCATACTTCCGATACGCCGGTGCTGTAACTTACCTCGCTGACGCATCACCGTTTCCCGGTCAGAACCCGCTTTGCTCGTGTGAGAGGGGACGGAGAGCGCTAACGTTGCCCCTGCACTTGCCCCCTGCTCTCCCCCCGGCAACGCGTGGCGCTGGGGCCACCATGCGTGACGCGCCACGTCACCTCGTTCAACGGCAGGAATCGCGTTTGCGGGGATTCGTTCGTTCTGGCGATTCCTTCCGCTGGTGTGAGATGCACCTGCGTCATCATTGCTACTGCTAGTTACTGGTGCTACTTCTCGTTGCTGCAGTTACTTGATACTAGTGCTGCTGCTGCTGCTGCCTGCCATTCAGCTGATGATGCTTCGTTTGCTTAGCGTTGGGCCGGGATGACTGTAGGGACGATTTGTCATAAGGAATGCTGCTTTTTGTGCTGCATAGTCGAGGGGTATGGCGGCTGAGATATGCGACGTTACGTGTGCGATAGATATGCCCTTCTCGGCATCCATCCGTGCGCCAGGAGTCGGTGTACTTTCTTATCCTTGCCTTCATTCGCTACCGTCCAGCCTATCAGCTCTTCAAGGTGGCCTAATATATCACATCTTTGCTGATATCCAACGGTTTAGGGAATTTCTGATGATAGCCTAAATGATTACGCTCATTCGACTGATCTACTGTGACAAGTGCACAGCTTCGCCAGCGTCTATCTACTGCTACATAAAGCCCCAGAATTACTGTCTTCATGGGGCAGAGCTCGCCTGCGCAATACACGTCTGCGGCCCAAGCTCTTGTTTAAAGTTGTGAAAAGCATGCGTGCCGCCCCTGCCCAACCCTTGACCCCCAAGTTTATAAAAGCTATGCTAATGTTTCGCTCGCTGTGCGTGGTATCCTAACGTGAAAATGAATTTGTGCTGAGACTGGTTTGGAAAAAAGCAATTTTGAAAGTGTCAGTAGAAGCGTGCAGCTTGCAGGTAACCAATTGAAGGCATTGCTAGACAACACTAAAATGAAAAGTAGCATCACGCCGTGAAGACGCCGCAAGGATATTGGTCCTTTGCATATGGCTGCTCGCGACGCATGTTCGTGGTCGTGTTAGCTCATCAGTCATAGACCCCATCGAGGCAAGACGCAATTGGGGTGAAAACGCTCCAACGTCCACGGACGTATAGTATACGTATGCTCAGGAGACCAGCTCCCCGCCTAGGTCCATACCCAGACCAGTAGCCTTCCGGTCAAGTCCCCCAAGGGTAGGGCTGTTGCTGGTCGGAGGCAGAAGGGTGTCGAAGTTCAACCGTTTGCGAGCTTCCCGAGCTGCAAGAGGTGTTGGGCCGCCAGCCACAGGTGTTCTCATCCAGTTACCACCAACCTGAGCAGGGCTCGGTGTCATGTTGAGGAAGTCCGCAAAGTTCAGATTGCCACCTGGAGTATGGAGACCAAGTCCCGAAAAAGGGCCGCTACCGCCACCGGGCGTGGACATCATGGAAGACGGGAGAGGTGTCATCTTTTGCGGAGGAGTCGAGGGCGGGATGACATGTGTCTTGTTTCCGCCATTGGCTGAAGAGGGGGATGTTGCCAAGTACATGAGCAGATTGGCGTCTTCTTGGCCATTGTGATTGTTGCGTGGCGTTGCGGTGAAGCTATCGTTGCGAAGACCGGCAGAGCGGGAAAGACCGGGAGGCGGTGTGCGCGGACTCTGAAGAGGAGGGGAGGAGCGCATATGGGAGGCATTGAGTTGGAAGGATGAAACTGGAAGATCCTCGTCGTCGGCTTCTGATAGGACTGGAGAGAGGGGGTCATCGGGTATGGTGGACGTCTCGGAGACAAAGGAGAGGCTCGGAGGTTGCGAGACAGAGAAGTGTACGGGTTTGCGGTAAGCAGGCGATGACTCGGGAAGCCTGTATGAGCTCTTCCAGGACGAAGCCTTGACGCTCCCAGTACGGACCTTTGTTCGAGCATGGTTGCTGGAAGCTGGACGCCTGAAGTTGTCTGGTTGGTATCTCATCCTCTTTGCCGAACCGTATCCACCTCCTCCCGAACGGTGGACGTCATCAGAAAATATGGGAGGTGCCAACGGGGACGAGTCGAGGAAGCCGAGGGGGTGGTAACGGTCGGTCGAGATACTCGACGAGGTGTCGGACACGGTGTCGTGGCTCGAGGTCGGCCGCTTCCGCTTCAGCTCCATCTCGATACGGGGTTCAATGGCGTCAATGTTGAGGTTCTCCCAGCCGTGCTTCACCTTGACGTTGGCCAGGGCCAAACGGTTCTGCAAAGCTCTGGTCATCTGGAAGCGGGGTCAGTCTCTCGACGGAAGCACTTGCAAGATCAAGTGCTTGTTTTACCTTGGACACCTGAGCTCTTCTCAAGACTCTACTCGCAACCTCGGCGGGCTGGTCGTGCCGCTCGGTGGAGGCCGTGGAGGCCATGGTTGCAGAGCAGAGGGAGCAAGTTGGCGGGGAGTTGACGGGACGTCAATGATGACGCTTAGAGGACGGCGACAAGGCGAAGGTGTTCAGATTTTGTGCTGGCTGAAGTCCGGCAAGAAGCCTTATGGATCCGCCGTGATGATCGCCCGACGATGGGTCTTGCGGCAAGCACAGGAGGGCCGTGTGTCTTTTCGGACAAGGACAAAGACGCGCCGGGCGCGTCGCGGCGGTAACGGGTGTGTCAGCGGAAACTATGGTTTACAATACGCGGCGGTTCCGTTACGACGGCGTCCGGCACTCTGGCTCAAGGCTCGTTTGCCCGGCTCGTCTAGTGGGTGAGTGGGTGGCTGGGGCCTGGCCCGTCCCATCCCTGGCAGCGCACTTCGTCATCGTCGCCGGCAGGCTTGCAAGGTGAAACGAGCACGGCGCCGACCGACATTTGTTTCATGGAAGCGATGCCATGCCCACAGTGAGCTCTGCGATGAAAGCAGAACGAACAGGGCCATGAGTCTGACGGCTGCCAGATGATGCCACGCCTTTTTGATTTGGTTATTATGCGCCAATGCACGTCATGGCTTGCCCGCTCGTACTCGAGTAATACCAACAGGTCCCCTTTAGCTTCCTTGATAGTAGCGCACCACCCTCCCTCCACCGTCGGCGCGTCGCTCTTCTCTCTTTTTGTTCGAATAATCCTTGTGCAATTCCCAACCGCCCGTTCGGCAGCCTGTCTGTCCCTCGTTTCTCAGCGCGCAACCTCAGCTCAGTTCCCGAGCGCATCGCATCCTATCCGCATCGCCAGCTCCCGCCCACCCTCTCACGCCTCCTCCCCCATCCGCCCTCCACAGTCGCACCTTGTCGCCCACTCTCCAACCTCTCGTCCGTCGTACAATCGCACACCGAGGTCGCCGCTCTAGGCCACCATGCCTTCTTTCCACTGGAACTTCCGTCGAAAGTCCTCCAAGAGCACCACCGCCTCCAACGCCAGTAGCGATGGCTCCACCGGCGTCCCTCCCATTCCTACGAGCAAGTCGTCCTCTACCTTGAGCTCCAACCAGCAGACTACGCCGCCTCCCTCGCTTCCTGAGAATGGCGTCGCCTCTAGCAAGCCCATGAATGGCCACTCCAGGCAAGCCACCGTCAAGCGACCCTCTACCACCAACAACTCCTCCAAGCGGCACAGTATGATTGTAAGCGCCCCACTGCTTATAGCCAACCCTCGGGCGTGGCAGATGTTAACTGCAGTTTTGGCTACAGAATCTCTCTGGCAACAACTCCCCTCCTCCCACTGGCATGCCGCAGCAGCGCCCTCCGCTTCCTCCGACGACGACTTCGCCCTTCTCTCCGCACGTTACTTCCATTGGCAATAGGGAGACGGTTCGTATGCATGGACCATTCAAATTTCGCGGTGCTGACAGTTTGCAGGTATATCAAAAGATGTTGCTGATCTCCGGTCAGATTGGCGAGGAAGGAACCAAAGCCATGGATGGTGTCTTCACAATTAACCATTTGTCGGACACCTCATTTCCGGCGAGCACTTGGCCTGTGAACGAGTCCCACTTCAAGGCGCTAGTCCACCTCCATCCCGGACCTAACAGGCTTCGTTTCGATTTCGCATCTCCGAAACTATCTACGGGAAATCCCTCCAAGCCCCTCCATTCCACATTCTTCGACATCACTTACGTGCCGCTCAACAATGCACCCCCGCTCCACCTTGCGATCCTACTTGGCAAGGACTCGCCGGGTACCTTTGATGCTCCGCCAGACAGGATACAACGGGAGGGCAATGACTTGGACACTGCTATGCGCAAGTTCCGTATGGCTAGTTATCTGTGGCAAGCCTTCACTGGAGAGCAGATGTACCGGAATGGCTTCGGTCGCCGTTGCTGGAGATATGAAGAGGAATGGCAGCCGGGAACTCTCACAATCGCTGATTCTGAGACCAGCCAGTACCGCAACGAGGCCAAGATTCACATCATCAGGACCGAGAAGACCGTTGAGGAGATTAGAGATTTGAACAAGGCCCAGCAGTATGACCAGGCCACGGACAAGGGCGCACTTTTCGGCATCGCTATGGAGGCTGTAAAGGCGCACTTCAAGCCTGCACCGGGACAAAAGCAGTACGTCTCTTGCATGTTCCTGGACACATGCTGGGATACGCAAGCCAAGGTCGTTCGTGGCCATGCAGCTCTTGGTGGCGGTGATGGAGAGGTCGGGCTAGCAATCTTCGGATCGCATGCTCTTCACTCCTACCCATCTTGCATTGAAGAAGTTGTTCCTACCTTCAGCGACTGCACGCGGACAGACACGAACTTCGTGGCCAACGATTGCAACGAGTCTGGGAGCACTTGGGAGGCTGCCAACATCGGTATTGGCGCGCACCTCCACGAAACCGGTCACCTCTTCGGCTGCCCGCACCAAGAATCCGGCGTTATGCTGCGTGACTACGTCAGGTTCAACCGGACCTTCGCCACCAGAGAGCCATACTCCACGCGCACTCAGCAACACGGCAAACTTGTTTGCTCCACGGAAGACGAGTGCAACTGGCACAGATTAGATTGTCTCAGATTCCGCTTCCATCCATGCTTCCGTCTCCCGCTTGACAAACAGCTGGCTTCGGACAACGATGTTCAAGTTTGGTCTGGAGACAACAAAGAAATTCTCATCACCACGGATACCGGTGTGGCATGGATGGAGCTTTATCCGCAAGGCGATGACGTATGTCACCATTGGATCGACTATACGATGGAAAGGCAACGTCGTAGAGATCTCTCGCTGTCGGAGGATGATCTGCGGAAGCTACTGCCTTCTGATAAGCGCAAGAAGCCCCTGAAGATTGAAATCTACTCATTCGGAGGTGGCAAGCATGTCGTAGATGACTTTGACCAGCTCATTTCGAAGACGAAGCGGGTTAAGCTTCCAGGCGGTGGCAAGGGCTTCATCGCGTCCAAGCTTGGCTACTCGCAACTCGAGGGATCTCAGCCGCAAGAAATTGTGCTTGATTGTATCGAGAACAAGTTGCCGAAGAGGGTCCTCATGTCAATCAGAATCTACCATGGCTATGCCATCGATGGTATTGAGTTCATGTATGACGATAAGACCAGCCAGCTGTTTGGCAAGCGTGGAGGTACGCCTGGCGGCTCCGAGTTCAAGCTTGATTTACCAAAGCATGAATTCTTGGTTGGCTTCTACATTCGTGCGGGCCTTTGGATCGATGGAATTCAGATTATCACAAACCAGAGGAAGAGCGAGATTTACGGTAACCCAGTCGGCGGTAGCGGGTAAGTTTTCGTCGGGTTAGACTTCTCGATGCAAGTGCTAACAGTAATTGCAGCCATAAGCTTATCCCTCCCTCGACCTACAAGATCGCCGGTCTGACCGGCTCCTGTGGCTCTTGGCTCGACGGCTTCGCTTTGATCATTACCCGCTGAACGACGGACACTTTCAACTAATGCACACAACCACGGCGAGCGCTCGACTAGACGGCACTCGCGCTTCGACAAAGTCTTGCAGCCCTGTAACATAAAGATACCAGCCTTCAACTGCCGAGTTTTCTTTCTGTTAACCGGCTAACGGCACCTCACTTATCGAAAGCATTATTGCTCTCTCAACCCTAATACAGAACCTCTCCTAAGCACACACATAGAACCAGCGCACCGCCGGTCGGCTTGCATGCTGGTATATCTAGTCTCCTAGTTTCCTTGCACTTTCCGTGCCCGACTTCTCAGTTTCCTTGAGTTTAGCAGCAATCTTGCATAGAAGCATGTCAGCCACATGACTGCTGAAGGCGCCCTTCTGGCTTGGGCTGGGTTGGCATACCCTCTGTCATTTACTTTTCCGTTTACATTGGACGCGACGTTTTCGGATCGTTTGGTCAGGCGGGCGGTAGCGATGCACAGAATCGCTTTTTCGGAGGCAAGCAATCATCCTGCAACATCATGGTATTGGGATAGGGCGTAGCAAAGGCTTTCCTTTTCCTTGACCCTGGAGTGCAGTGCGGTCCGTTGCATAATGGGAAATAATAATAATCTTCCTCACCGCCCTGCTTGCTGTGCGGCCGGACACGGATGGGAGATGTGGAGCCTGACTCATACCCTCTTGTCCTTTTCTTGTATACCGTATGTTGCTCGATATGGCGATCCGGGGGCTGCAAGGAATAGATCGCGGCCCGGTCGCTGGTGGGGATGCAGTGTAGTACGTCGCGGATAGATGTGGATAATGGCATGGTTCTTACATACATTACGCTTGTTTCTGTGTTTGGTGATCTGGTGGATTTCGAAATAATAGTTATAATAGTATAGAAAGATAAACAGCAATAATATACTAACAACTTCTGAGGGAAGTAGACGATGTAAGTAATTTCTATCCGGCGAGACACAGAACAATACAAGCAGTCCCCATGGAACACTTATTGTCTAGCTAGAAGCCTGAGTCTCAGATATAAAAAGACCTTAGGAGCGTACACGTACTATAAGTATCTTGGCTGGATTTTATTTCTACTCCGTATAAGCGTCATTATCTTGTTAGGTGGTGAATCTCAGTTGACGGTGACAGACGTTAGAAGCCGACATTCTAATTCGATTCAGTGAAAAGAACAAACGATAGACAACGATGTGGTGTTTAAGTCTTAGTATTTTCAGATATCCGATAAAAAGTTATACAGGAAATAAATATTTTGAAATACTTTAAAAACTTTGAGTACATAGAGAAAAATAGTTATTATACTATAAGAATATGTAGTTAGTTCCATTTCATACGTAAGCCTTTATTTTATGATGCTGAAAGTCCGATATAGTCATCAGTTTTGACAGTCGGAAGTTGCTGAGCAGCCCGAACTTTGTAACCCGACTTCACTGTGCCGGGAGATCATTACTTAGATCCAAATCATTGATTAGTTCTACCCAAAAATCCAATCCAAAGCCAATTTGAAGATAGTATAAAGCCAAGTATTGAATGCCAAACCAATCCAATAGGCACGGCAAAACCATTCTGATGTGTAGTAGTTTGAAGTCAAGTATCCAACGCCGACCACCAAGGCACGGCAATCATCCCAGCAACAATGGTGCATCTCCCCACATGCCCCATTCACTATTAGTATCAGCGCTCTCAAACTTCGCCGCACACTTCTTCTGCTCAGCGCTGTTTTGATGTTTATGGTATTCACACTAGTTTTTGACGCCGAAGAAACTCTGTCTGATCTCAACCTTGCGTGTCCTGCCGAGTTCCTTGCGCAGGACGGCCGCGCTCCGTACGACCAGGTTCATGAGGTCGCTGTTGCAGGTGCTGAAATCGGGTTGAGGTTGTTCTTCGTCGAGATAGACTTGCTTTATTGGCTTGCAGTCAGAGAAGTGGATGTCAATGGCGGTGTTGAAAGCATTGAGGACGTCCCACAGGAAGTGAAGCGAGTATGATTTGAGATCGTTGGCCCGGAGTTCTGGGACCAACTGAAGGTGAGAGAAGGCGAATTGGTGCACCAGGTACTTATGAAGCTTCGTCTTAGTATCCAGATCTCTGGGGATCTGCGGAAGGAGATCAAGCACCTCCTGCTGCTCCAGAATAGGTTTCTTCTTCCTGTTGTTCGTTGGCTTCTTAGATTCCTGCTCGTCGTCGTCAACATGAAGCCCTATCCTTTTGCCGATGTTTTCCAACTGCATCCGTCGACGTCTATGAAAGTGTATGATGATATCGTTGGAAAGAGCGTGGATCGCATACACTTCAGAAAAGTGATTTAGCTTCACGAGGGTCACCCATTTGAGGTCTGTCAAGTTTTTGCAGAGTCGACCCTGAAGCATCCATTGTTGGAAGATTGCCCAAACCGTTGTATTGCCACGTGGAACGGGGACGGACCCTTGGTTGTCCTTGATCTTTCTGTGAATCACGGGAGAGCGATCAAAGAGCGCTTCGGTGAAGAATGTAAACGGCTTGCGCTGAGGACCAACCTCAAAGATCAAAGTTGTCCTGTGCTTCTCACTATTTGGAAGGTTAGACTAGTGATAGAGGAAGTGGTTGTGGGAATACGTACTGGAAGCTCTGGTCAACTTCGTCCTCACTGAGCAAGTCCACCGTGACAGGTATCTTTGGCTTCTGGTCTGTCATGATCTCCCAGCGCCTTGGTAATGTGAGATCAAGCTGGCCCACAGTGGGGGTGGGTTGAACCTCTTCTGTGTAAAGTGAGATTGAGGTTGAAGGTGGCGTGTCCTTGTGGATATCTATCGGATGTCGAAGGGTATGGGTGGGTCCACTTCTCCCTGGTGTTGAAGGTAAAGAGTATGAATGGTTGAGCCTTTCGTTGGTGTTAGTGTTGAAGGAGGGTTGCTCTTGTTTGTGAATTGGAATTCGAAGAAAGTGGGTTGAACTTCATGTCAAGAGGTTGATGTTGGATGTTGGTTGGTCAGAGGCAGAGCGCTGCAAAAGAGGCAAGAGCTGCAACTCCATAGACATGAGACCTAACCACCTGCGTTGTAGTATCTGCGTTTACGCACCAATCCGTCTCGAATCACGTTTGCCTGGCTCTAGCCTATATGTAGGATAATTGACGACATATCTTCTGAAAGCATCTATCCATCCACCGAGACCATTTACTATTCCCCGAGAGACGCAATTGCCTGTGGTCACGGGCTGGAAAAAACCAATGGACGTTACTGGCGTCGGCTATACCACCACCGTAGTCTTGAAAGTGACATTGCTCCTTGAAAATAATACGACATTGAATTAGGAATAGCACAGTTATGAAATATTAGCCAGAACGTCAAAGATGCTTGCAATCTTTGACATGAAAGTTTATGATGGTAAGACATTGGTCCATATTAACGGAAATTTCCTCGGGTATATGTGAAATGGTAGCTCGAACGATAGATAGCAGGCAGGTCCTGAGCGCATACAGCCACCACAGCATTTGGGTGTAGGTTATGGTGCACCTAGGACGTCTGGAGCTCCGTGAAGAGAAGTGAGGAACACCAACCGAAGGCGGTAAAGGGCCGTGACAAAGCATACCACGCGTCTCCACGACAGCAGCACTCCTTTCGCGATCTCCTAGCTTGCTGGCCTCCACCTCGAGCCACCGTGTCCTGTAGGATCCCCGGTAGCACAGGCCTTCCCCTGCCATGTTTGGCCGAGTAAGCGTCTATCAAGAGGCGCGATAATTTCGAGAACGACGACGTACGACGACGCGATGCACAAGTATTGTACTATCAAATACGAGTAGAAGAGGCCGGGCAGGAAGAGGCGTTTCAGATTGCCAAAGGGGGAAGGTGTCTGTCTGGACATAGTTGTCTATGAAAATTCTTTGTCGAGGCGGGCGGTAGTCTCTCGGTAGGGTACCAGTACGGCGATGGTTACAGTAGGGATTGGATGGCAAATGGAAGAATTCCTACGGGTAGCCTACCCTAGCATGTGTTGCGGTGAGCTTACTCGTACTCGAGAAGGGGGAGCCTGAGGGTTGGCTAGGCCAGGAGCTGTCAATGATTTGTTAGTTGTTCGGGAGCGCCGTCTGAGGAGAGATCGCCTGCACGTGCTGCCCCTCGTTTCCGCCCGCCGTCATAATATTGCGACTCCTCGACCTCCATTAGCGTTGACGCCCACTCCCTCCCTTTCACCTAATACTCTCTTCGAGTCTTCTGCCTCCTCCGCCAAATACCTCCGCTCCTTACCTTCTTCTCTTCTCACCACCAGATACCCCTAATCCACCATGTCCGCCGAAAAGGAGTTGAAGCTTGACCCCAAGTACGACGACTATGACTTCCCCTACATCAGTCCCACCGACTTGAGCGGCCACCCAGGCCACACCACTCCCGAGCAGGACGCCCAGGTCGTCCAGCTCCGCGAGGCCCTCACCAAGGATGGCTTCACCGACAGGCTGGATACCCTGACTATGGTAAGTCTGCTGCCCGCCCGCCCCTTACGCCATCGCCGCTCACAAGGGGAAACAGCTGCGCTTCCTGCGCGCGCGCAAGTTCAACATCGACAATGCCAAGGCCATGTACGTTCATATCCATATCCTATCCGTCGCCACCCCTCTAACGTCGCCACAGGTTCGTCGACTGCGAGAAGTGGAGGAAAGAGTTCGGCGGCGGTGTCGACCAGCTCGTCAACAACTTCGAGTACCCCGAGAAGGCCCAGGTCTTCGAGTATTACCCGCAATACTACCACAAGACGGACAAGGTACGGATCGTGTCGGCGTGCTGCTCAAGGCCAATTTACTGACAGAACAATAGGATGGCCGTCCCGTCTACATTGAGCAGCTCGGCAAGATCGACCTGAACGCCCTCTACAAGATCACGAGCGCCGACCGCATGCTTCAGAACCTTGTCGTCGAGTACGAGAAGCTCGCTGACCCCCGTCTGCCCGCCTGCTCTCGCAAGGCCGGCAAGCTCATGGAGACCTGCTGCACCATCATGGACCTGAAGGGCGTCGGTATCTCCAAGGCCAGCTCCGTCTACGGCTACGTCCAGCAGGCGTCTGCCATCTCCCAGAACTACTACCCCGAGCGTCTGGGCAAGCTCTACATCATCAACGCCCCCTGGGGTTTCTCGGGTATCTTCAGCGTCATCAAGCGCTTCCTCGACCCCGTTACCGTCAGCAAGATCCACGTTCTCGGCTCCGGCTACGAGAAGGAGCTGCTCGCCCAGGTCCCCAAGGAGAACCTGCCCAAGCTGTTCGGTGGCTCTTGCGACTGCGCTGGTGGCTGCGCCTTCAGCGACCAGGGCCCGTGGCAGGAGGCCGAGTGGTCCAAGACCCCCAAGTGGGCGCAGAAGAAGGACAACTCTGCCGCCATCCAGGACAACCCCACTCTCACCCAGGCCGGTGCCACGACTGAGGGTGCCGCTGTTCCCGCGGGCAGTGCCCCCGGTGTTGAGGCGGAGGCTGCTGCTGCGGCCGCTCCTGCTCCGCAGTAAGCTAGTTTTTCAACCTAGTCTCATGCATCGGTGTTTCGGGGGTCGGGTGGTCATAGACAGAGGAGCGTGCTTATCGAGGATTATTACATTATTCATGCACACATTGCCGCGTAGATGGATGGGATGAGCGCGGCCGGGTCTTGGATTGCTGAAATGTGCTAGCAAAACTACATACAAATTATCGGTCTAGTGCAGGTGAAGATACCTGCGACCAAATGGACTCTTTTACAATATTCCTGTGTACATCGGGACAAATGCCCGCATCAAAATCGCTTTTAATGTCAAGTATTTCGTACAAAGCTTCGCGAATATCCTCACATACCTTGCTGTCGACGCTCCGAAGTACATGACTTCATCGATAGCTCCGGGTACCCGACCAGTATAGCGAGCGAAGACGAATATACGCAAAACCACGTAAAATGTGGAGGTGGGTCATGATGTACATAGCCTAAAACCTGGACGGAAGACACTGACTTTCATCAAGCTCTCAATTTTTTGACTCAAAAAATTCTGCAGGCGTCTGCAAAACTGTGTCACCACCGCTGCCGCTACTGCTGCCGCCGCCGCCGTTGTGGCTTCTGCGGTCTCAACTCCTCCACGTGGATGCCACTTACGTACTGTCTCTCCTATTCTCGAACGCTTTGCTCTTCAATTTTCAACGTGCTATGGCTAGACGATGTACAGATTTAGGAGAAATAGTGATTACTGTTTGTCGTAGGATTGTTGCACTCCCGAGAAATCTGGGAGAGCATCGGAATGTGTGGTCAGGAACTGTTAAAACACTCAATTTTACGTCCGGGAAGATTCGAATTCGAATCCAGAGGTCTTCATGTACAAGAAGCTCACTGCGTCACTTGTTCTATAATTCAACTGTGATCTCGTTTTAACGAAGGAGCCGTGACGGCAGTCAGTGTGATGAGGTAAGGTGGACGGGAGTTATCAGAAAGGTTCCTATACTGGCGCTCTGGGGGTTTAAGAAGTAGATTTTAGAGACAGTAGGTTGGGCTGCACCCAGCATCAATTCATTCTTGGGAGCTCTTTTGTCTGCCTGCTCTGGCTGCGATGCTGAATCACTGCTGCTACTAACCGGAACTACTGAAACTTCCAGACTTCACTGAACTTGGAATTCTCTTGCTCCTAGACTTCACTGAAGGGAAGCACGCCGACCCAGGAAAGATAACGGCCGGGGACCTGTTCTCTACTTCCGTCTCCGATACGGCTTTGTGCGTAGATTTATAGAGATTTCTTTTACTACCCTCTTCTCACACTTCTGATTCTCACATGAAGAGAGTCAACATGTACAGCAAGGAACATGAATTGTAATCAACCTAGACGAGCGCATAAGGCGGTTGTTTGATTAAATAAAATTAGGCATCACCATAAAGTTGTGGGTCTACCCGGTGGGTACATCTTGCTTTGTATAAGGCGAGTACGTCCTTTACAGACAGTGTTTTTTAAATCTGCACTGCTAAACCTTGACATTTGTCTTTGTAAACGCGCACAATATCTAATCAATGGTGTGAAAGCATTCACTCTACAAGAGTTGCATCCTGTTGCCAGCTTGGCTGTCCGGTTTCTAGCATTATCAACAGTGCTATCATTGAACGCAGTGATCGTCTACAACTACGTACTACAGCGTTTATAGAGACCCACATGATCCCCTTAATCAAACGCCCATCCTGGTCTGAACATAGACTGTGCCGCACGAATGCGGGGCTCCTGCAAATATAGTCCGTGCTGCGCGGATGCGGGACGGCTGTAGCCTCCCGTCGCTAACAGGCATGATGTCGTTTAACGTCCGTCACCGTGGAGCAAGATTCACCGTCTTGCGAGATGGAGGTGCTTGTATGGAGTGGAAGAAGAGACCCAGTTAAGATATATAGAGTCTGTATATACTCTAAGACGTTTTTACTTATACCCGGGACTCGGGCTGGGAGCTAGGCAAGGAGGACTCTGTAGGGACTGTTTGTATCGTCCCCTGTCTTGATAGACGGTAGGTCTCGGTTCGCGGTGACGGAAATTACGAGATTCTAATGATAATGGCCAGGGATGAAAAAGTGACTGCAGAATGCCTCTTACAAACAAACAGAAGCCATCGCAACCTAGGGCTGTTGCTTTTACGATGTTTTACTAGGCATCTGGTACAGTACAAAGCCATGTCATAGATTCGGTGAATTGCAAGACGATTTCAGTATGCCTCACTTCAGTCTTTGTCACCTTTTGAGTTAGACTGACTCGAAGCCACTCCTGAGGAGGTTACAGTCGGCTACGTTTTAGCCCCCATGTAGGTACCTTGCGTACCAATGGAGCGGATAGCCGCTTACACTAAAAGAAATTACTTGGAAGGTGCGTCGACCAAAAATGCATAAATAGAGGGCTGTCCCTACCATCACACTGACATCTATCAATTCCTCACAAGCACCGTGTTCTCCTCGTTTAACTTGTCCAACACTATGGAACCTCTCTGCACTTTACAAACTACCGAAGATCTCCGGAATATCGGGAACATTAAATAGAAGACTACGAGACGTCACCAGAGTATCAATGTCATTAACGAGAAGTTAGGCTTGAGCGAGTCTGGGAAGGCTGCTAATAAGCATAGCTATCCGAATGTTCATAACTTTCTTGTGGACATTAAAAAGCTCATCACTAAAAATCTCGCCAAACACGACTCACTAGTGTCGATGCAAGACGGCGTCGAGAATCTTTGCAACGAACACGGCTGGAAAGTGTGGCCTGACGACAATGTTACAAGCCAAAGCTACTTGGACGTCAATCAGGAGAAGTACCCAAAACTCCAATGGTCTAATTTAGACCATCAATTAAGGTATGCAAATCCAGTCCAATCGCTCTATATACCGTTGTAACCAAAACTGATTGGTTATAGAATTAAAGAGCTAGTGCATGACTTGGTCATTGCTAGGAGAAATTATTACCAGCAAAACGAAAAGCAACGATTGAGAAAGAGAGAAAGAACTTTCAACTTGCCAATCGAAAATTCCGGTGTACCATGCACCGCACTCAACCTCCTCCAACCGGATGGCGAAGGCAGACCCAGTTTGCCCCCAGGGGCTGCCAATGAGAACAACTGCGCAGCCCCAGTGGCACCGATGTACAACACATTGCATTACGATCCTATTCGCCACCGAAAAGTGCCCCCAGCCACCTCGACGAACGGCCTAAAGCGTAAAGCGGATGGCCCACACGAGGACGGCTCCCGGAGAGCACAAATTAACACAGCCGGAAAGCCCGAAAAGGTTCGGCTACGTTTTAACTTATATGGAGAAAGCCATGTCTCGACACTCGCCGAATGCAACGCTATAAAGGAGTTGTTCGACGAGGTCGACCGCGAGTGTGACGAATACGGTGTGGTTATCCCAAGCCGATTAAAATTTTATGTCCGGGATGATTCGAATCCAAAGGTCTTTGCGCAGATAGTCCGGCGAGGACGAAACCTGGACTTCGAAGCGGTATATGAGGCGATCATGTCACAAGGGAACCTTGAAGACGTGATAGTCGATGCCATCCCACCAGCTAACTTTTAAATATTAGAAATTTCCTTTTAGTATCAATTGTTTTCTTATTAACTGTTTTCCTCTTAACTGCTTTCGTATAAGTTTTCCTTTAAGCTGTTTTCCTTTAAGTTGGTTCCGTTATAACTGCTTCCCTGTTAACTATTTTCCTTAACCTCTACTATGTTTACATCTCATACCTAGCTGTTGTCGAGCGCTTGTTGCTCACGAGGGTTTCAACACACCTCACTTCCTGCTACGTTCTCTAAGCAAGCACCCGACTGCTTCGTTCCTCTTGTACATAAAAGCTCGCTGCGAGTCAGTCTGCAATTTAGCTGCGTTCTCATTTCCCAAAGGAAAAGCGAACTGTGAAAGCGGCAAAAAGTGCCTGTCCATACATCCACGACCCCATGCCAAAACCCTCAACAGCCACCATAGCAGCAACGGGCTACTGCAGTGACTACTACCAATACTGAGTTACTCATGAGGACAACCCCGGAACGAACATAGGCGAACACCTGCTTGATTCTTTCCTGTCAGTCAGTGCCGAAAGCGCCGGAGGTCTTACTTTATATATGGGTTGGTCAAAGTGAGCTTGAGAGACAAGACGGAAATGAAATCTTGGCTTGGACTTACACTATGAGTGAACATTTTCAGAGATATATAATGGAGGACAATAGGAAGTGCTGACATGAACCGGATTTTTATTTATACACATAAGGGAAAGATACTTGTGATACACCATCTAATACAGATATCTTTTGCCACCATAATCGATCAATGCAATTCTGGAATTCATTAGTATGGAGAAACCGGTCTTCAAGCCAGGAATACTAACAATTTCCCCTCATATGCTCGGCGTCGTTTTCCCGATTACTCTCTCTTGCCTCCTCGAGCATGGTGTCGATGCCGCGGTCTTTCAATGCTTTCTATGAAATCTCAGCAAAACGTCATCCACACAGAGAACATAACTCACGCTGATGCATTGCTTGTACTGCTTGAAGAGCGGTTCGCATTCGTCTGTCGTGGCGTTACCACGGAGGAACTCTAGGCCCCGGTCAGCTGGGGCGGCAAGATGAGTATGTAGCCAGACTCACTCTCGCTGTACCATTTCAGGAAACAGCTATCGTAGCGCCTAGAACGGGTTAGATGAAGCCGGGGGAGAGCAGCAGCAGCAGCACACGTACTCCTTCACATCGTTGCACTCTGGGGCTAATGACGCTGACATTTTGATGGTGTCGTAACAATACAAAGCGATGATCGGCCAGTCGGGCGGGAGTGACGAGTGAAAGCCGTGCGTTATCGATAACAGAAGTTTCCGCGAGAGTTGCGCCTTCTTTGACTTTGCGCTGCTCGACGCGTCGTTCACTCATGTTCTAGGATGCGCTAGGAATCTCTCCATCGCCACCCACTCAGAACCCTTCGCTCCGTCATGGACGATTTCCAGGCTTTCCAGAAGACCCTCTCCACCGCTCTCGTATCCACCACGCGCACCGCGACCCAGCTCTGCGCCGAAGATCTGGGCTTCCACCGCTCGCTCGACCCTTCTGTCGCCGTCTCGCTCGACCAGCAAAATGCGCGCCTTCTTTCGCTGGCGGAACGCCTTCTTGGGAATGCGGCTTCGGGTTCGGAAGTTGTAGGTCCCAAGCTGGAGGATGCCGATGCCGTTGAGGGCAACTGGAGGGGGGTTGTTGATGTTGTCGACAGCTTGCTGGAGAGGGCCGATACCAGTCTGGACGAGTACACGGGCATTGTCAAGCGCTTGACGCCCAGCAAGGAGCAGGTACGTTTTCGCGAGAAGTAAAGAGAGGCGCGCCTCACTAACCCTCCCGCCAGTCTCCAGTCCCTGTGAGGGAGACCCGGAACAAATTCAAGACGCAAGATCTTCCCAAGCCACAAGCATTATTCGAGAGTGCTCCAGATAACTATGCGGTCGACATCTGGAAGCCGCTCCTCACTTCAAAGCCACACGCGTCAGTCCCGCTCGAGAAGAGCTTGAACAAGTACAAAGACGAGGACGGAGTTGAGCATGTCCAGCATCCTTACCAATCCGAAATCGAAAACTACCAGTATCCACCCTCGGTATACACCAAGGCCGATCCTATCCCGTATACGCCATTTGAGAGCACCACTGCCACGTTAGTCGACACTCCGGAAGCATTGGAGGCTATGCTTAAAGAGTTGAAGAGCGCCAAAGAGATTGCAATTGATCTGGAACACCACGACACTCGAACCTACATTGGTATCGTATCCTTAATGCAGATCAGTACTCGGAACAAGGATTGGATCGTAGACACGTTGGTACCGTGGAGGAGAAGGCTGGAGTGCCTCAACGAAGTCTTTACGGACCCCAACATCATCAAAGTACTCCACGGCGCATACATGGACATCATTTGGCTGCAGCGCGATCTTGGTCTTTACCTCGTTGGACTCTTCGACACGCACCATGCGTCGCGAGCTCTGGGTTATGCAGGTGGTAGCCTGGCTTTCCTTTTGCAGAAGTTTATCAATTTCACCGCGCAAAAACAGTACCAAACTGCCGACTGGAGGATACGGCCGCTTCCCACCGAACTGTTCGACTATGCACGATCGGATACCCATTTCCTTCTTTACATCTACGACAACATGCGGAACGAGCTCATTGACAGATCCGACTTTTCGAATCCGGAAGAGGACCGGGTGAAGAGGGTTTTGGATAAATCGAAAGAGACCGCATTGCAGACTTACGAAAACCCCGTCTATGACGAAGCCGAAGGCAGCGGCCCCATGGGCTGGTACAGGGCTCTTTACCGTAATCCCAACATGTTCAACAAGGAGCAATTTGCAGTTTTCAAGGCTGTCCACCAGTGGCGCGACAGCGTCGCCCGTCAAGAGGATGAAAGCACACACTACGTCATGGCCAACCACGCTCTGTTCAGCGTGGCGCGCGAGATGCCTCTGGAAAAGCCCAAGCTGCTCAGCGTCGCGCAGCCCATCTCACCGCTAGTACGTCTGCGCGCCGACGAGCTGGTCGGCACCATTGCTCGCGCCAAGGAAGCCGGTGCAAACGGCCCTGAAATGTGGCAATTCTTCTCCAAGGCCGCTGGCGGCGCTCACGCACAGCCACTCGTGGCACCGCCATCCAGCTCAGTAGGCTTGAGCACGGCTTTTGAAAGCCTAAAGAAACCTCAGGCCAACGTCGTATCCGCACGCAGTGAAACGTCAAGCTTTTGGGGTAAGATCTTCCCTAGCAGCCTGTGGCAGCAACGCCGGCCTGTCACGACCGACACGATTCGCCTCGCGCTCCCGCTACCGCCGCTCACGGCTGAAATATTTGCCGACCCGGCTGATGCTGCCGACGCGAAGCAGAAGCAGCAAGAAGAGAAGAAGGAGGTTGACCCCGGTGCGCGGGCTGAGCATGCGTATGTCAGGCCCGAGGACCGCAAGACCAAGAAGCAACAGGAGGACATTTTCATCGTGAAGCAGCTTGGCGGGCGCAAGCGCAAGCTTGAGGAGCTGGCGCGCGGCGGTCGCGGCAGTGGTGATGCTGAGCCGGCGGAGGAACAGCAGGCGAAGAAGCAGGCCGCCGCGGGCGAGGAGCTGGACCACACGGCCAACAAGGTCGCGTTCCCGGAGGAGGCGCTCCGCGAGGGGAGCGAGGGCATTCCATTGGACGAGAGCAACCACACCAACAAGGATGCGGCGAAGCGAGAGCGAAAGAAGGCAAAAAGGGCAGAGAAGAGAAGGCTGGCAGCGGAGGCGAGGAAGGCAGCCTCGAGCGGGGAAGCAATGGAAGAAGACAACGACGAAAGCGTCGAGGAGGGTGAGGACGGCGGCGTGTCATTGGAAGAAGAAGAAGAAGAAGAAGAAGAAGAAGAAGAAGAAGAAGAAGAAGAAGAAGAAGAAGAAGAAGAGCAGCCCTTTGATTACGCGGCAGCGCCGAATATGCTCCAAGGGCAGCAGCAGCAGGGCAGGGACAGGAAGAAGGACAAGAAGGGCCGCAAGAAGGCGTTTAATCCGTATGCGAAGGGCATGGATGCGCCGAAGGGGCTGCCGCGCGCGCAGAAGGAGCGGTCGGGCAGGAGCGCGACGTTTAGGCAGTGAGTGGGTGGTGGTGGTGGTAGTGGTGTAGAAGTCTTACCTATCAACGGGACGGAGAGTCCTCTCTGGAGTGTTAGTGCAAAGGAGCCGTGATGGCTCTGCTCCTAGATTGCGACCTACGACCTAAGTAGTCGGCGGCGAGAATCGATTGAGAATTGGCTACTTGATTGAGCGATTTGATTGATGGAGCTGCTTCCTCATGCGTGCGTGCTCTTTTTGACCATTAACGCTTTCCACCCCTCACCATATTCACAGCCACTCACTCACTCACTCAGTCAACCATGCCCATGCGTATACCCGTCCATATGCCATAGGTGTGCGTGTATATCATCGTGTGTACCTATGTATGCAAATGCCCAGCGAGCTCGCGTACCATACCAAACCAAACCCAATCCAAAAACAGCAAAGAAACGCATTTGATATCTCAATCTCCGCGCCCGTTGCGTTGCGCCCGCCCGCCCGCTCGCTCGCTCGCTCGCAGGCGCCTGCGCCTACGATGACGACGACGCCGACAACATATCTACCCCTTCCATCATCTTCCGCGCGTGCTAGCGCTTACGTGCTCCTCGGCGCTCGCCAACACTCGCTCGCTCACTCACTCGCTCACTCCCTCACCGCTGCGCAGCCCACATGCCCGCCTGGGTATCCCTAATCCGCTGCTCCTGGGCCCTGATCATCTCGTCCGTCTGGCCGTGGCCATCTGCCCGGCCATCAACCTGCATGGCATCGCCGTCGCCCTCGTCGACAGGCCCCAGCGCCCTAACATCCGGGCCAGGCCCCTGGTCGCGGCCAGGCTCATGGCTGCGCGCGCCGTCCATGGCCGCCGCGCCCCCGCCAGCGCGCAGCTGGTTGATCGCGCGGATCGTGTCGATGGCGGCGTGCAGCGTGCGCCGCGCATTGAAGTTCTTCTTGACGGTGGGGAGGAGGTCTTCTTTCCCGCCTGTGGAGGGGTCCTTGACGTTCGTGGATGGGTCCGCGATCCATGGGTGCGAGAGCGCTTCGTGCGATGTCATGCGCGCGCGGGGGTCGATGGTGAGGCAGCGCTTGATGAATTCGCGCGCCGTGGGGGTTACGCCCCGCCAGTATTCGAGCGGCGTGAAGCTGTAGTCGGCCACGAGGATCGCTTGCATTTCTTCAAGGTTGGAGTCGCGGTCGAAGGGCGTGTAGCCGCAGAGTAGGAAGTACGTTATTACGCCTATGGCCCAGATGTCGCTGCGCCGGGGGGTTAGTGCGTGGTTATGGCAAGTTGTTGTGTGGGGAAGTATTTTTTTGGGGAAGGGATTGGGGGAGCAGAGAGGCGGCGCGCAGACTCACACAGGCTTGCCGTGACCCGTCTTCTTGAAAATCTCAGGCGCCATGTAGCCCGGGGTGCCGCAGGTGGTGGTAAGGACGTGGAACTGCTCCTCGTCCATGATGCGGCTGAGGCCAAAGTCGGCGATGAGCAGGTCGGCGTTGTCCTCGGGCGTGCGGAACAGCAGGTTCTCGGGCTTGAGGTCGCGGTGCACGATGCCGTGGTCGTGCAGGTACGCGACGGCCGACAGCGTCGCCCGGATCAGGTCTGCCGCGTCCGACTCGTAGTAGCTGCCTTTGCGGCAGATGCGGTCGAACAGCTCGCCGCCGAGCGCGAGGTCCGTCACTAGGTAGACTGTAGCGTGCGCGCGACGAGGGTCAGCGAGGCGTCGAGGGCTGGCGGGGTAGGGTGGGGTAGTGTAGGTAGGTATGTAGGTAGGCTGCGCCAAACTCGACTCCGACTCCGACTATAACCACCTACACCGAAAGTGGGGCGGGGCAAGGCTCACGGTTGTTCATCGTCTCAAAGTAGTCGACGAGCGTCAGGATGTTCTGGTGGCCCATGGAGACGCGCTTCAGCACGGCGATTTCATTGCGGACCTGCGCACCAATATCAGCAACCAAGCAAACAACAAAACCACCACACAACCGTACATACCATATGTTCGCGCCCGGCCATCAGTCTCTTATTAATAACCTTCGCAGCATAGTACCGGCCGGTATCAATGTGCACGCACTCCTTGACGACCGAGTAGCTGCCCGCGCCCAGCGTCTTGCCCGTCTTGTACCGGCAGGGCTGGATCTGCGCTTGTGCGCGTTGTGCTGCCGCTGCTGCGCCGTTGGCGGAGGAGGGGGCTGTTGTCGCCATAGTGGCTGAGAGAGAGAGAGAGAGAGAGGGTGCAGGGCGAGGAAGATTGTTTGCGTGTGTGCGTGTGTGTGTGTCACGGTCGGTCGGTCGTCGAGCGTCGAACGTGCGTGCGGTGGGCGGAGGGCGGTGAGGCTGAGTCTTAAAGCGTTTGAGCGTTGAGCGGGCGTGAGGTGATAGGTACATACAGTACAGTAGCGCGACGGGAGCGGGGCGTTACAGTCCAGCAAAACGCCCGCAGCCAACAGAAAACCCGTATATATATATGCCTACCCAAATACCGAGACGCGACCGTAAGTAGCGATGACGAAAATGACGGCAGCAGAGGCGGGTGACGACGCCCGAGGCTTCCACTTCAGGTAGATTGCCGTCGGGCTGAAACTCGTCGACAATCAAGCAATCAATCGGCGAGAGGAGTCGATTGCCTTGCGTGCGTGCGTGCGTGCGTGCGCTTTGGCGGGGCGGGCACCAGCCAGCGGGCGCGCGGGGGCCAAGCGGGGGCCAACACCCGTGATCGGTTGTCAGGTCGGTCGGGAGCCCAAAGTGAGAGAGGGAGAAAGAGAGAGAGAGAGCTGCTCTCCTCATGTCATTCGCCTTTGTGATGACTACCATTGAACCCAACCACCCACAAATGAAAACCTGCTGAGACAACCACAACAACAAAAGGAAAGATATTGAGACGCTGTCGCGCTCATATACAAAACAAAAAAAGAAGAGGTTTCGCCGAGGGGTCGTGCCCTTGATCCCCATCTGCCCAGAAAAGTAAAAGAAAAAACAATAATGTCCCCGTTGAACTCCCCTCGTTGCCTGTGCCTCCTGCTCCGCTGCGACTTTTACACCGAGCTCGTAGGCGCCTCGCCCTCGGCCACTACGGCCACGTTGAGGCCGCGGTTCGAGCTCTGCAACACCAGTTGCTCGTGCCGCCGCGCGCGCAAAAAGTCCGAAATCGACCGGATCAGAATGAACCACCCCACAATCATCATTATGTACGCCAGCCACTCGTTTGTGCTGATGCTGCCGGAGCTGCCAGCGCTTCCGCTCACATCGTCTGGGTCGAAATCGACGTTGTTGGGGTCGCTGGGTGCGTCGCCGAAGCCCGAATCGGGCGTTCCTCCCACCACGTCGTTGCTGATCGCACCCTTCATCGTGAATCCGTACTGAACAAGCGTGATGCCAAGGCCGGCACGCGCGCCATTCTTCGCGGCGTGCGTCGTGTGGAGCAGGTAGGTGAGGAGGAAGCCGACGAGCTGGAATGCCATGGAAATGATTGCATTCCACACAAACGAGAAGACGGTGCCGACCGGTAGGCCGTCAACAAATACTTCGTCGGTATGGAGGCCGGGCGCAAGGATGGTCGTCTCCCAGTAGGGCGGAGTGGCGTCTGCGGCAGCTTGCTCGTAGGTCTGTGATGTAAACCGTCAGCGGGTCCGATCGCAATATCCGCGCCTAGCTCCTTCCCAAAGTGAGACTTACAGGAGGCTTCTCCTCAGCCTCTTCTTCCCTGGTCGGCTTCGCGCTCAAGTTCGCAAAGACGCCGTCATTTCCCGATCCACCGCCGACAACGCCCCTTGGCGCAAAGGCCGGCAGCTGCGTGACCCTCCTTACGATGGGCGGAGGCCTAGCATCGACCTGGCGCGAGCTGGAGTCGGTAGTCTGGGGGAGGTTGGAATCCGGGTGCCCCCGCATCAGGCGCTGGCGGTCGTCCATGCCTTGGTTCTCGTCGTCGGACTCATCGTCGGAGCCGCCAAAGGTGTCTTCGAGCTCGCGCTCGGCTTCGGTGGCGAGCGGCTCATGCTCGGCCAGCAGGTGGCGCGCGGAAGGTGAGGAAGTGCGAGAGCGGAAGGACGGGGGTGGTGAGGAGGGGATGGCGTTGGCGGGCTGGAGGGTATCGTTGGAGAGAGACGAGTCCTCGTCGTGTGCCGATACCTGAGTCGAGGTTAGTGCAAGGGGCGGGCGCATGTGGGGGAGCTCTTTAGGCGTACCCGCTCGTAGCGTTGCTGAGGCATGACGGCGGCTGGCGAACCCGAAAGACGGGCTTGGTCGGAGGATACGGGGCTCAGACAAAGAAGAGCAAAAAAAGAAGGGAGACGGACGGGTCGGTGCCTTGGGGAGCGGGGAGAGTAAAAAGGAAGGGAAGGGGAGAGTGGGACGGAGAGAGGCTGGTGCGAGACGAACGAGCGAGTGTTTGGGTCACCCGCGGTGCCGTAAGGCGCTGGGCATGGGCGCTTCCAGTCGAAGGTCGAAGGCGCGAGCTGCGCTGCGCCCCCGGGCACTAGTCCACTTGCGGCGCCAACGCTTGTCATGATATTCCTATATGCATTTCCTCCACCTATTCTTGTAACCAAATAATCCTTCACAACATGTCCGCAACTGTACGTCCTCACTCCCACCCCCACCTTACCTACCCCTACCTCCTGACCCACTCCTCCCAGACCATCGCCAAACACTACGCGCGCATCACCCGCACCTGGCCCAAGGACGCCCTGCGGCCCACGGTGCAGTTCCAAGCCGCCCTGCAGCAGCGCGCCGCCAATCCGCTCCCCAAGTCCGACGACGACCTCCGCGACATCAACGCCCTCTACTCGCTGCTCGGCGACCGCTACGCCAAGCGCTATCCCGCCAACCCCGCCGTCTTCAAGCCCGCCAGCAACCCGGCCTACTACGACGACCTCATCGCTGAGCTGTCCCAGGCCCCTAGTCGCAGCTGGTTTCAGCGCTGGCTCAATAGCTGGAAGGGCTCTTTGAGGCTGCAGTAGTGGTGCACGCGGGCGTCGGGCGTAATGTATATGAATCTGTATAAAAAAAAAAGTATTACATCGTTGAGGTCTTGTAGGAATAGCAGAGCTTGCCAGATATTCTGTTTCTCTGGAGCTCAAACGCGAAGCTGGGAACACTCTCTGTCGTTGTTACCGTGGTTCGGAAAGAATCTGATTTGAAGATCTGACAGTGGCTTGACAGCTCGCGCGTACCATGGTAGACATCATTGATTGGAGTGACGTCTCTCACTGTTGCTCAAGACGATCTCGCACATCATGAAACACATCAAGAAGAAACCTTGAACACAGATAATCGTCACTCAGAAATCGTCATAATCAATGCTATATCTCTAACAGACTTGCGAGCTGTGTAAAGCAGCTATAGTACAAGCCATGCAAGCCATGCAAGCTATGCAGGTGTAGACGCAGAAGCCTCAACACATCATGAAGAAGCTGCCGACGTATAGGAAAGAAAACCCCCAAGTGACAGAACCTCATGTCGGCAAAGATGCATAGAAAAGAAGCAAAGCAACCGACCTTCCAATAAACCATATCCGTACAACTCCAGGCCCCCCAAGCAAACGCCTCCGCCTGCGCAACCGAGATCGACCCAAATTAGCAATGGTGAAACCGGGCCGAAGAACCTTTGCTTTTCCAGCTAGCATTTCAAAGCCAGTGTGACGCGGCCTTGAACTTTGACCCTTTCAGTCACATTAAGAGGCCACTCCCTGGTAGGGCGTCATGGGCTTTGCGGCGAGTGTTTGCGCCATTTTTTCGCGCTCGAGCTTCTCCTGCTCCATCATGGCGCGGTCAGCTTTGGTAACGCGAGGCTTTCTGACGGTGTTACCGCCGCGAGCTCTTCCGCCGCCGCCACCGCCGCCCCGATTGCCTCTGCCTGAAGCTTCACCACGGCTCGTGCCGCCTCTACCGCGACCGCGGCCGCGACGCACCGTACCGTCGGCCCTGTAATTGTCGTCAGTCAATAGCTTTGTCTAGTGGGGAACACCACGTACCTCTCAACTGCAGGCTTCTCTCCCTCGGTGACGAGCGGGCCGCTGTAAACGAAGAAACCATCTTTAGCCATTAGCGCGCTCTGTTCCCATGCGAGCTCCGTGTCGTCGATAAAGTCGTCGTCTTTGTCGTAATCTTCGACCTTCTTCTTTCTCTTCCGCACCGTACCACTCTGGGTAAGCTCTTCATCCATGCCGCCCATCTCGACGTTACTCTCAGGCTCCGACAAGTCTACCGACATGTCATCTGCGGAAGCAGCACCTGATCCTTTCTCTAGTGCGGCGGTCGCAGCGGCCATCTGGCGTCGGCGTTCTTTGGCAGCGGCGATGCGCGGATGCATGGCGGCGAAGCCATACTTCTTCTCCACCTCTCGTGCAAAGTTGATGGTGACGTTAGTCTGTCCCTTGAGGGGGAAGGTCAACCAAATGTTGGTGCCTTCGGTCTCGGGCTTGGTGTTCATCATTGCACCGGCAAATGGCATTCCCGACAAGAGGCCACTACCAGTGGGCATGGGCGCCGGGGCCTCTTTCTTCTTTTCGGGCTTTTGGGCGGGAGCCGGCGGGGTGATGACAGAGGTTGACGATGCAGTGCTTGCGGTATCAGTCTTCTTGGGCGGGGTCGGTTTCTGCACTTCTAGGGCGACTTCTACAGGTGAAGTTTGCACCGGGCTTGCCTGGGGAACATGAACGGACTGAGTCGGCGGCCCAAAGGGGTTTTGGCTTGCTTGCAGAGGTGCGGGTGATGCAGGTGCAGAGGTGACGGACAGAGGAGCTTGGAACCTCGCTTGCTGGCTGAGGTGAGGTTGACTGGGCACGGAAGGAGGATCTATCAAGCTGTTGATTGAGGGTGAGGCACTGGCGCGGTTGATTACGCGACTGGACGGCGAGACCGGTGGCACGGCAGTCGCATGTTGATGCTGAGTGACCGGGACCGTCGACGAGCGAATGGGGTCGTAGAGCTGACCGCTAGACGCGGGCCGCGGCGTGGATGGGCCGGGGGTGGCAGCAGCGACTTGGGACAGACTAGGATTCGGGATGGGCTGTTCGGGTGCAGGCTGCGCGGGAACGGAGCCGACGAGATCGGTTATTTTAGGCTGTCGGGACGATGCGGCGTGCTGCTGTTGCAGTTGCTGAGACTGCTGCGGCTGGGGAACGGGCTTCTCTTCGACTGCAGCAGGTGCTGATGTTTCTGCAGCCGCCGCCGCCGCAGTAGCAGCAGCAGTCTTGCGCTTTTTGCCGCGCTGCGTTGGCGGGGCATTTGGGTCTTTTGGCTGGCGGGGACGCCTGGTGGGTTTTGGCTTTTCCTCGCCGGTCGCAGGAGGTGCAGGTTCCTTTTTCTTGCGCGGACGCTTGGTGCCCGTCGTGGTGGTGGTAGTGGATGTGTTAGTGGTGGTGGTGGGCGGGCTGGCGGCCGTGTTATATTTAGCGGAGGTGGGTGCAACATTATTCGGGAGTGCACCACCAAGAACGTTGATGGTCGAGGCGTGATGGGAGCCGTTGGCCGCGCTCGTCGCTGAGTCGGCCAAATCGGGCGAGCCCGGGGGCGTCGACAGCTCGGGCGAACTTGACGAAGCGCCGGCCGCGTTCATGCTGGACAGGGCTCGACAAGCCACGACCAAATATATGAGAGACGTGTATAGGTCGCGCACTTCCCGCAACGACCTGAGCGAAAGGCAGCGGGCGGGCGACGGCAAGCAGGCTGGGGCGCGAGGATGCCGGCACGAGCTGCAGCAAAGCCAGCTCAAGGCGGCTTCAGGGGACTGGTGATGGAAGAAAAGGCGGCGGGCGCACGATTGATGAAGTAGAAGGCGAGGTAAAGGGTAAAGGGAGTTGGAGAAAGGGAGAAGCGGGCGGTGGGAAGGCAGGGCATATAATGGGCGGGCGCTCGCGGGCGACACAGACATGCGACTTTCTCAATCTTTGGACTGCGCAGCTGGCTAGTCGTTGGCAGCTTGATAGATGGCGCGCGCGCACTGCGGGCCCGCGCCGTGCGAGGGCGGGGGGCGTAGCCGATACAAGTTGAAAGTGGAGAGAAAGAGAGAGATAGAGAGAAGAAACACGCATTGTTGTTGGATTTATTTACTGGTGGTGGTGGTGGTGGACGAGGGCATTCTACTGCTGGTGCCCCCGTCTCATGGACCTGGGTCGGGGCTTGGGGCGGGCAGCGTGTTCAAGAGTTCGTCTCTTCGCTCGCATGCATCCGACGACGTGGGTGCGCCACACTCGATCGCGCACCGCCACCCGATCGCCCGCTAGTCGAAATAATCCGCTCCTGCCCTACGCAACTACGCCATCCTGAAACCTCAATCATGGCCAACGTCGGAGATCGCTTCTACGTCAATTTCGACGATCCCGAGAGGGGCATTATCGGCGATAAGATTGAGAACGACTCGAAGAATGTTCCGGCCTTTGACTTTGTCGCCGACATCCACGAGCGCCAGCCCGGCGACGTGAAACCTCCGTCTGCCCCGACCCGAAAGGCCACCTCCACCACCGGCTTTCCCGCCCACAAGAAGCGCACTCGTCCGTCTGCCTTTAAGCGCCAGCGCGACGCCGCTGCCACTACCAATACAAACGTGCCGACTGTGCCGCTACCTCAGCCCAAGCCCTCGACTGCACCACAGCATGGCGAAAGCTTCGACGAGGTCGAGCGTAGGCGCATCGACGCCGAAAACAATGAGAGACTGGCTGCCATGTCGCCAGAGGAGATTGAACAAGAGCGTCAAGAACTCTTCTCCGGCTTGAATCCTGCGCTAATCGAGAGGCTCCTCAAGAGAGCCAACCTCGACCATGGCAGCAATGAGACCTCTTTTGAGACCTCTTTCCCTACAACGACTGATCCTCCACAGAAAGCCGAGACAGAAGACAACGAAACTAAGCCACCAAAACCAAAGAAGACTGTCGCTTTTGCAGAACCCGAAGAACCTTCTACAGAGCCTTCACCAACTGCACCCAAAGATGCGCCAGATGCCGACACCCCGCCCTCGCTCGCAGACCAACTGCCTCCCGCGCCGTCAGTCCACTGGCCGCGCCCACCATCTCTCCCCGACCTCGACCCCTCCTCCCCCAACTTCCTCGCCGACCTGCACGACAAATACTTCCCCGAGCTCGACGCCGACCCCAGCACCCTCGCCTGGGCAGCACCGCTCCCCACCCCCAACTCCACCGCAGACCGACAATCGCCATACCACCCATCGCTGCGGGCCCTCGCGGCCAGCGACCTTCGCTTCGCCTTCAGCGGGGCGCTCATCCCGCCTAGCGCCGCGCGCGACCTGCCCGTCACGCTGGGCCTGCACCACCACGGCGAGGCGCCCGAGGCCGCGGGCTACACGATACCGGAGCTGGCGCTGCTGGCGCGCAGCAAGGTGCCCGCGCAGCGGTGCATGGCGTACCAGACGCTGGGGCGGATACTGTTCCGGCTGGGGCGCGGCGAGTTTGGCGTCGAGGGCACGATCGAGGTCGAGGGCCCCGATGCGATCGAGGAGGGCCATGCCGAGCGCGTCGCTGCTGCTGCTGAGGGCGATGCGGCGGAGCTGGCACGCGGGCTGTGGGATTGCGTCGAGGCGAATCGCGTCGTCGATACGCTTTCCGAGGAGGTTAATCGCATCAATGGCCATTTGACTGCCAAGGCGTTTGCGGAGGAGGCGCTGTGGAATTGGCGCAAGGGCGGTGGGCGCAGGAGGAAGGCCGTGTAGGGTGGGTGAGTGCGTGGAGCGAGTCTTCTGTGGCGACGGATCGTGGCTTTTCGTGTCCGTATGGACATGTTCACGCGTGGATGCGCGCGCGCGTTGGAGAGTCGAGACTGCAAACTCCCGCTTTCCCCCGCCTGTCATGTACCAACATAGCACGAAAAACGAATTAAGAATACGATATCCCACTACATTCACTCCCTACCACCTACCTACTAACCGTGCAACACAAAAAAACAACAAGAACCACCGCAGTGCACATCAGTGCGATATCTACCTACAACAAACTCCAAACCCCAAACCTGAACCACCCACCACCCAGCAAACCACACCTACCTATACCCAAACCCCATCCCACCCCACAAGAAAGAAAGAAAGAAAGAAAATAAACACGGAACCACACCCTCCGTCCTAGAAACAGCTCCTCCCGCGCTCTCTCCACTATCACCTGAGACTAGACAGACCAGCACCCCAGACCGATGGCCCCGCCCCCGCCCCCACTGCGCTGCACTACGCTACGGCACGGATCGGAGGCCCGGCACCTACGTAGTACGTTTAGGTGGTAGGAGCGGCTTGGTGCTTTGCTTGCTTGTTTGTTTGCTTGTTTTTGTGATTGATTGATTGATTGATTGTTTGTTTGTTCATAGCTATATGGTTGTGTGGATTAACCTCACATAACGGCCTCGCTTCCTTAAGTTTGTACCGAAATCGCAATCATGCACCCTATCCCATCCCACCCTACACCTCCCCTCCCCCGCCCAGCCCCCAAACCACCCAACACTACACCCCCCCTGAAACGCCCCCAACTAAGCGCCCTCGACGCCCTTGGCCGCCGCACCCACGCCCACGGCCGCCAGGATGGCGTCGAGGCCCAGCCCGGGGCCGCCGGGCACCATGTCCCGCCACACGGGGTCGGGGACGCGCGACGCGGGCGCGAGCGCGCTCCAGTGCGGGCTCGGCTCCGCGCGCAGCCACTTGAAGTCGTCGACTTGGTCCCAGAGGTTGGGCTCTTCGGAGGAGGAGGGCGGGTGCTGCTGGGGGGTTAGCTTGGTGTGTGGTGTATGGGGGTTTATGGAAGTGCGGACGTACGTAGACGGCGGGGATAGGCGCGAAGCGAATGTTCTTGCAGTCCTCGATGATGGGGCGGCTGGCGCAGTGGAGGTAGACGTCGACGTTGGCGCACTCATGCATGCGGAACTGGCGGCAGGCGACGACGAGGACGGCGTTGCGGACGCCGGTGATGTGGATGGGCCCGGCGACGCGGCCGCACACGACAAGGCTGTCCTTGACGTGCTTGACCGTCAGGCCGGCAAACGGGCCACCGTGCGCGGCCGGCAGCGACAGGTCGACGACGCAGTGTCGCAGGTTGCCCACCGAGCCCGAGCTGGTGGCGTGCGACGCCGCCGCCGGCACCAGGATGTGCAGGTTGCTGTGCCCCGCGATGGCCACGCTCGTCGTCCCCGAGAACGACGGCTGCCGCATGATCGACTCGGCCCGCTGCGCGCTCGTCAGGTTGCGGTTCACAAACGCATCCTCCTCGCCCGTCTCATCCTCGGCCGGCGTGGCGGGCGCGGGGCTCGCAAACGCGCTCGACTCCGTCGTCGACGCCCCCTCGGACCCGCCGCCGCCGCCGCCGCCGCCACTGCCTGCCTTGGGCTTCTGCTGTGCTGCTAGCTCCGCGGCATCGGTGATGGAAATGGCAGACGGATTCTTGTGGTGCGAGATGGCGCTGGTGGCGCGGCCCTTGAACTGGAATTTTGTACGCGGCGCAAACGACGCGCGCGTCGTGTTCAGCTTCTCCGTGAGCGCCTTGATGGCCTAGCTCGCCCGCCGTGTCTGGTCAGCAGCCGCGTCCCGTGTGTGCTTGCGTGCGCTGTCTCGGGGCGGGGGCGTACCTCCGCGTATGTCCGCTGATCGTATGCGGGGATGTAGCTCGATGCGTCCTTGACCTCGTGCGACAGGCGCGCTATGCCTGCGAGGCAGTGGTCCACGCCGTCGGTCCGCTCGCCGCCCGTCGCTGATTTCTCCGCCAGCTGCTCAATCTGCTCCTGTAGCGCTGGAGCGCGCCCTCGTCAGTCTGCTTGTCGTCGTTGTCGTCGGCGTGGTGGGAGTGCTCTCGCTCACCAATTACTTCGTGCTGGAAATAACGAAAAAAGCGCTCCTTGAGGCCGGCGTCCGACTGCTCTTGCTTCAGGTCGGCCATGATGCTGCGTGGGGTGGTCTGGCTAGCGGTGGGTGTAGGCGGAAGAGAAGACCGAGGCGGCGCGCATGGCCGTCGTGAGCTTTTATCAGGAGGCACAGGCAATCCCGCGGTGGTGGAGTCGATGAATGTAAGCGTCAATAATAGGCGGCACGGGCGGTCGATCCCGTCATATTCATTTTTTGCCGCCTGAGGACGAGGGACACGAAGAGGGGCAAAATATCTCAGGGATGACGATGATTCGGAAGGCCGTCTGCTCCCAAAGCGGGATGCCGTCACGTCGATCCTAGCGCTTCTCCACGCACCGCGGCCCGCTGCTGTCATCGTTCTTGCGGGGTTCGCCATGCGTAACACCGCTATGTGGCGCTCTGGGCGCACCTAGTCTCCGCGCCCACCCTTACCCCTTGCGCACTGTTCTTCTGGCACATCGTGACACGGTCAGATGCCAATGTTGCGGAGCGGATGGCTGCTGCCATGCCCTCTTTTCCGCTTTCGTCCGGCACTGACTTCATCCTTGAGTTACAGGGCCGTCCTTTGCCCTACGCCCGAGGCTCTGGCCCGCGTATCACAAAGGTCGAGTCAATCCACTCGCTCTCTTGGGGCAACGTAATAAACTGCATTTGTACATGTTTGCCATTTGTAATCGGCACGTCCCTCTCAAGCTACCTGGGCCTGAAGCTGCGAGGGTGATATAAATGGCTTCCAATCACCGGTACCAATCCGCCGCGGATTGCTGCTATAGCAACGATTTTGATTCAACCCCTCCCCCTTACTGAACTCGAAACTCTTTCGTTGTTCAGTGGGCCGAGGGCGCGGTGATCTCGTAACCGTACTTCTCCTTCAGCAGCTGGCGCCTCCTCTCCTCGTAGCCAGGGCCACGGATGCCTGTAAATTCGTCAGTAGTTGCTCATTTCGCCTCAAACGTTTCAACGCACCGCGGCCTTCGCCCAGCTCGGCAACGGTCTGCTCGAACGGCCTCCTCCTGTTCGTCCTCAGGTACTCCTTCCTCTCGTACTCATCCACGTTGGGGTCCCTGGTGTAGCCGGTCAAAGCGTGACCGCAGAAGTCAAACGTGCCCAGGATAGTGGCAAGACCCGCACCGTATCCGAGGAACGCGGGCACAGTCCGGACTAAAGAGCTAGTCAGCCACAAAGCTCCTTGCCCATAAGCGCCTCCACCGTACCTCTCAATCCAACCATGGCTCCACCAAAGAAACCACCAATGATCTCGTTCCAGGTGTCGTCCTTCTGGCGCAGGTTCGCGGTCGCGCAACGGACGAATTCATAGGAGAAACCCATGGCGGCTGGATCGCATTAGCTTAGCCATAGCTGGCCCGCCGACTGGGGAGCTTCGTACTGAAAGTCGCGATGGTGCCGCCCGTCTGCCTGAAGATGCCCATGGGTCCATAGTTCTGCTTGGTCAAGGTGTTCTGGATGGCCGAGACGAAGGTACCAGCGCCGGCCAGCCAGGCCGTCGACTTGATGGTACGGCCAATGGTGTCCTTGGGGTGGTATGCATGGTCAGAGGCCATTGTGGGCGGCGAGTGTGGACAGCAATGCGGTGGAATAGGTCGTGGTGCCGGAGGATAATCAAGTGTCGTGAGGTTCCAATTGGCTCTTGACGTCGGCATGGGCGGTAGGCGGCTCTGGGGGCGGTGAAGGGAGCTTGAATTCTGCCGGTCTTGCCAAGCCCGCCGGGGGCTTGTCGTGGCCAGCCACGATTCCGTTCAGAGCTCAGCAAACGCTTTTTCTGGTTAGTAAAGGCGACCCATGGTAAGCCAAGCCTGCGCTGGGAGCCGCTATTGGTGCCGGTTTGTCTGGCGAAACCATGTGTTTGCTGCGCGCTTACAAACCCCTACCAGTTTACCCCAGAGTGGACACGACTAAAATGCCGGCCCGCGTCGTCATGGAGCTTCCCGTCCAGACACGCCTCACTCCCGACACCCACAGCTTCTAGAACTAAGGATCTGTCTTTTCCACTACTGCTGCCCTCCTTTCACAGTCCTACTCTTTCACCAGTTTTTCCAACACATCCCCCAACTGTGCGCCGCATCCCACACAGCCGATTTTACGCGCCTCGTCACCTCCGTTCTCACTCCGATTCAGCTTCCCCGCGGAGTCATACGTCCTTCTCAGGAGCACTTCAGCGTCCCCGCGCTGCGCCACGCGACCGCGTCGAGCTCTCACCTCACTCCGGGCGTAGGCTTGCTTCAGCCGATCGCTGAGCTTCTACGCCCCAATGGCCGGCCGACCAGGTACTTGCTCGACTCGTCATCCAAGAAGCTGTGACAGTAATTAATCGCAAGTACAGGAAAGACCGCCCCGCGCTTGGTCGAAGACTTGTTCAACTATGATCCCCGTCAGCGCGTCCGCTCGGGGCGCAACATCCTCACGGATGCGCCGCCGCAATTCGACGAAAAGAAGCCGCCCATGTCGGCTGTTCCCGGAGGAAGCTGTCGCCACAAGCACAGGATGTACGACAAGATGTTCATGAAACCGGACCAGTGCCTGAATCCTCTGGCGGATGAGTCCCCAGATCACACTTCTGCCTACAAGGTCGCTTCGTACTGCGCGATCTGCCGCTACCATTTCACGGTTATAACGGACTTCCGCGAAGGACCCTGCTTTAGACCTTGCCCAAATGATGAGTTCAAGCAGCATCATTTCATCCACATTTCCAGCAACGTCCGGGGCGCTCGCGCGCAAGACTATGGTCCAACCGAGCTACACCAGTTCAAGTGTACAAGTGAACAATGCGGTGCGGTGGTCAAGATAAGCGTCACACCTCCGCGGATTACCAGGGAGCATGAACGTCTTCTATCAGACTACAACGTCCTACAGGCGCGCTTAAGGGCCGCTCGAAAGATTGGTCCAGATCGTCCTGATCTTGAAGCGGCGCGTCCCGTAGATCCACTCTACAATCTATATGCTTACATTCGCGATTCCTTGGCTGGCAAGCCTGGAAAGATTCCTGCTTTGAACAGGAAATTCCTTGTTTCTTTTGGCCAAGAGTGCGATGAGTTGCTAGAGGATGTAGGCTTCAGGAAAGAGGTGGATGAGAATACCAAGACTCTATCCTGGCATGCGCCGCACGTTTCAAGTAATGAGAACATCTTGGAAGGGGATCCCGTATGGGAGCGCCTGGACGATATTCGCCTGGAACTGATGGTACTGATCGACAAGCAACCTGGACCTGTAAAGCAGACATTGAAGAAATTTGCGTACCAACCTCAACCTTCAAGGGAGATGGTGGCAAAAGCGCTTGGGTCCTTCAATTGTGAGTATATATGGATCGTTGGTTCGCATCGCGCTAACTGAGTGGCAGATGATCGAAAGCCGAACTCCAGGAGAGAAGAGGGCGAGGAAGATCACCCGTAGGCTAACAAACTTCGCAAAATCAGAATCGTAGCTAACCTATCAAACAGGTACTATGCTGGCCTTGGTGCTGTTGGAGATTTTTCCGATAGCCTGCTGGAGTTTGCATACAAACGCCAAGTTGCGACGGATCCCCTGAACCTTCCTTACTACTTCGAATGCCTCCAGGATCTCGCCACAGGCCGGAATAGCCCAGATCTCGATATGCTACGGGCCATAGAAGAGTCGAAAGGATACGTCAGTCGCAAAGACGCATCACAAGCATGCTCTTATTTTGGGTTTGACATTGCAAACATTAACGAACTAGACGATGACTACATCATCTCCTGTTTCAAATCTCGCATGCAGGACACAAGCCCAACGCTTGAACAAGATGTACGGCAACAATTGCTCAAGATAGGCCAATACAAGCAAAGTCAGACGATCAAGGATGCTGCATCCGATACTCTCGAGACTTACGACCAGGCTTTGTCTTGGATCGGTGGTACAGCAGACATGGCAGACGATTCAATTGTCGCTCTTGCCGGCGCAAAGAGGTCTGAATCTGGCGACGAAGCAAAGGTAACACAAGCCATCAAGATCATCGCTGAGTATAGGAAGAGCGACGAACTTATGGGTTGGTTGACAACCGGCGAGATCAACACTCAAGATATGGAGATACAGAAGGCTTGGAGCCTTCTTGGGATGAGCTATCCCAATGACAAGCCTGATCTCGAAAACCTTGACTTCCATATCGATCAGTTCAAGCAAATCAACCCGGCACAAGCTACTGAAATCGACCGCGCAGCGGCAATTGTGAGGAAGTATGCTGGAAATCCCTCAGCAAGCGCACATGTTGCACCAGCCCATCCGCCTGCCGAGTGGCCAGTGGGCATTCAAAACCTTGGAAACACTTGCTACCTGAATGCTATCCTCCAGTTTTTGTTTACCATTAAGCCCCTTCGTCAATGGGTGCTGAACATAGACCAGCATCTGATGGAAATAACACCGGAAAACATGAGGAAGAAGAAAGTAGGGAATTTACCTGTCACCGAAGAGGTGGTGAAGAGATCTCAAGACTGTATGTTTTATTTGATTATTCTTGGACAACACTAACATCACACAGTCGTGCGCGAGTTGCAACAACTGTTCAAGGACATGATATCTGCGCCCGGGTCTATCGCCCATCCCCGGAGCCAGTTGGTCGAACTCGCACTGCATGCTCCGACCGAGGCCATTCGCCCCTCGGGTACTGATGCGGATGTCCCCTCCGCTTCGGAAGTGGTTAGTGACAGCAAAAGTGACGAAACACTTGTTGGCGACATGGATGGTAATGACAGTATGCTCCAGGAGAATCCTGTTGTTGTTAAAGATGCCGAGATTGGTCCAACGCAACCCGACCAAGAAGTCCTTCCTGATGCGCCGTCGGGTTCAGACACGAAAGATTGCCAAGCAACTCCGGAACAAGAAGTCTCGGCTACGACGCAAGAACCTGCCGGGCCAACGAATGCAAACGCCGCAATACCTCCTCCGGATCATCCACCGCCAGTTCCTCCTCGGCCGAATACTTTACCGCAGAAGACTGAGCCTCCCAAGAACCAGCGTAACTTGCAGCAAGATGCTTCGGAGATTCTGAGCAACATTTTGTATCAACTGAGCTGCGCTATCCCTGCCGAAGGCCATACGAAGGATGGTGAACAGCTCGATATAATCAAAGAGTAAGCAAATAACACCACACTGATGCTCAAGCTAACATTTTTAGTCTTTTCTTCGGGCAAGAACGTGTTACGAATCTGAAAAAAGATGGCACTGTGGCCTATGAAACGACAATGTTCGAGAGCGAAAGCGTTACTGTCGTCGAAAAGCCCAAGGGAATCTATGAAGCTATCGATGACTCTCTCGACAAAGCAGCAGTGGAAGGCGACAGCGAGGTGGCAGAGAGATACACGACACTCCTGCATGTCCCTCCCATCCTCAAGTTCGACGTCAAAAGACTGGGTTTCGACAGAGTGAAGCAGACTGCTGTACGCTCAGAACATCACCTAGGCTTGGAGGAGATCATCTACATTGATCGTTACCTCGATAAAGAAGAAGTGTTCAAGAGAAGAGAGAAGGCTTGGCATCTGAAGAAGACTCTCGCATCCTACAAAGAGCGGAGGAATAAGCTTGTCTCGACGCCCGTTGAGCTTGCGGTTCCTGATGCACTCCAGGCTGCATCTGAGCTAATCTCTAACATCCAAGAGCTGGACAGCGGAGATGAGAAATCGTTGGAAACCCCAGTCTCTGACGAACCATCGCAAAAGCCACTTGTTGAGAAACCACTTTTGGATGAGCTGGCCACCAAGGCGTCTTCCGCTCGAGGCGAGATCAAGCAATTGGAAGATGCTATAAAGAAGACCGAGGACGAAATTGTCCCACTTTTCGAAGACATGACATCCGAACCGTACATGCTACACTCTCTCTTTATTCACCGCGGCGGTGCCAGCAGTGGTCATTACCTTGTATCGATCCGCGATTTCGAGCGCAACATGTGGCGCAACTACAATGACGAGACCGTCACTGAAGTGACCGACGTTGAGAAGAACATCTTCGGAATAGGCGAGCCGTACGCTAAAATTCTCCCGACTTGCGTCGTATACGTGCGTGCAGACCTCAAGCATAAAGGCCAAGACCTCATCGAGGCACTCTGTCGAGCTCCGAACGAGGACGTCACGATGGGAGAGAACGAGAAAGTAGACGAGCTGCTAGTGACGGAGGGAATGGATCCAGGAGCAGAGGCTGGGTATGCAACCACGAACGCAAACCCAGCGCCGAGCCACTGAACGCGGTGACTCTTGCAGTTTGAAATGAACAGCTTTCGCTGGTCCCAGCAATGTGTTGTTGAAACCACTGAAGCTGACACAAAGGCGCAACAGTGTGCAGGCGGATAATTATGAAGCGGCTGCTGTGTCGCCGACGCATTCTGATCTAATCACGGCAGTCGACACACCAGCCCAGCGCAGCGACGCGGCTGACCGCGCTAATTCTCCCTCCTTCCGTTCGTCGGCTAGCAACAGCCCGACCAAGCGGCCTAGCAGGCCTTGCACGCCGTCGTCTACCGATTACAATACCAACAACGCCGTCGATGAGGGGTCGCCGCCGAAGCGGAGGCGGCTGTCTTAGGTGGATACTTTGTTCGGACATAAGCGACTTTTGTTTCTTCTTCTTTCTTACATGGAGCTCGACATGGCATAGTCTGCATAGCGGTCACCTCTTCACATCACATCACCTGAACATGCTTGCTCGCGGCACCAAGTCTTTCTTACTTTTTCTTTTTTTTGTTGTTAATCCATTCCATTCATCTACCCAACCCTCCATCTCATCATCCGACCTGCTGTTTTCCGCAAGTCGGTCCGTTAGCGATGCAATAACCTGCTTTTCACTGCTGTTTTTCGTAGCCAGTGTGGTGGCCAGTGACAAGACAAGACAAGATGAACCGAGACGAGACGAGATGAGATGCGCGGCATAGCGGAGCCACGTGTGCGATGGTGCTAGCCTTTTATTCAGTGAAGAAACATGGCCACGGCGGGCTTTAGCGGGGGCCGGCGCTGGCCGTGGGTTCGCTGTTGTGTTGTGTTGTGTGAGTGGGCTGGTTGGGTGGGCTGCTGCTTCTTCTGCGGCTGCGTGGCCTGTGTGCACGCGGGTGGTTTGGCTGGCTTCGCGTAGATAGAATGGCGAGAGGCGTGTCTGTTTGCGTGTTTGTTGGCGTGGTTCTGGGCGCTGTGTCTGGTTGGTAGGTAGATATATAATATAGGTAGAATGGCATATTCAGGGGTTCTGGATGAGATGGATATTGTTTCGATGAAGTCACTGTGTGCTTGTGACGGTTGTTTGTATAGGTCTCCATGGTAGACGGCATTTTGGAGGAGCGAATATATGTTAAGTCGCTTTGGTTTTGGATAGTGCGGGTGTTGCGGCCTTGCTTGTGTGCTCCTGTGAGTAGAGCAGTATGTGTCGTATGGACTATTTCTAAGGTAGATGTAGAGCTTATGCCCATGGCTGGATGTTTTGTAGCTAACAGGGCGTTGAAATCGTAACATTATCTCCTCCAACGACCGTGGTATATGTTTTCGTAAGCATATTAGAACCCCCTATGTATAGCTTGAGTTTGTAGTTGGATATGCCGCCCATGAAAGACATGTAAATTATAATAATATCCACTCCTTCGAAACCGTACTCCTAGTAGGCTAATAGGACCAATTTTTGATCAATAACAATACCAATCTCTGCCACAGAAAGAGATTCAATTAATCAACACTTTCAATCCCAGAATCACCTCCGAAAAGTTCCTCCTCGTCGTCCTCATCTTCGCCCTCGTCTTCGTCCTCCCCATCCTCGTCCTCATCGTCCAGATCCGACATGTCGCCAAAGATCCACGGCAAGCCTCTCGGCCTGTGTTCAAACTCAAAGAAATAATCGCCCTCATCGGAGTCATCCGGAATGCTTTCAGCATAAGGGCCCCAGCCCTCATGCTCCCAGTCCTGCGCGAAGCAGTCAATGTCCGGACCATTAGCCTCCATGTGCGGACACCTCGGCATCTGATCGAGATAGCGCTGGAACGTCGACTTGCGCCGCGTAGACTCGTATTTGGAGGTGCCGGTGTTCCAGCGCGTGAGGATGTACGGCTCGGCCAGCCAGGACAGAAGCGTTGGGACCGGCGGCTTCGCGCACTGGCTGCGCTCCATGTACGCGATTCCCATGTCCTTGAGCTGCGTGACCATCATCCCGTAGCCTGGTGCCTCGCGCCGCGTGAAGTCGAGCTCGAACATGGTGATGTCTATCGAGCTGAGGTTCGGGTACTCCTTGCGCGGTGTGCTGCCGAATTGGAGCAGGTTCACCACGATTACGGGTGGTGCCCAGAGGATATTAAGCACTTTCAGGGACTTGGGGAGTAGTTCAGGCAGCGGTGGTTCGGTGTTTAGTCGATGCATCTCGTCGCTGTTGTAGTCTGCTTCATCGAGTCCGAGATCCGGGTGCCAGCGTAACGTCCCATAGTCCATGGTGAGTCGTTCGAGCACTTCGAATTCCATGAGGGATCCAAATGTACCGTAGTCATGACGGAAGCACCAGTCGGACATGTCCACTGTAAGCTCTTTGAGCGAACCCTTCTGTGCCAAAAGGGCTTTTTTGAGCTGTGGCGCTGTAAACTGCGGTAAACTCCCATTAAATTCGTCGTCCTCGAGACCGTTCCCTGCGACAGTGAAGGCGAAGGATTCGAGACCTTTGCAGCCTTTAAGGAGGTTTTCTATGGTGTCGGTGTCGATGGTGCAGCGCTCCAAGTGGATATGGGTAAGGAATAGAGATTTTGGCTGGAAGTCAAACATCTCTGCAAAAGCCACCTCGCCACTGGACGTGGAAAGGTAGGCCTTCAACTCGCGCATAGATGGAAGAGAAAGTAACGGCTTTAGATACCGCAGATCCCACGGGATCTCGCCGTCAACACCGCTAGCGCGGATCTCCCTGAGAACAGGAAATTTGTGTACGGAACTCAGTTTGTCCCAGGATAGCCGGACGCCATCAGGGACCTCTTTCAACGATAGCTTCTCGAGCCGTGGGAGCAAAGATAGCAACAAGATCACTTGGGCATCTTCTATGCCATATCTCAGGCACCTGAGGAGCTGTACATCGCTGTAATCGCCACCGTCGGCCTCGTCGGGGTGGACGGCGTACTGTCCTTCGGTTTCACTGTCATACGCGTCGGTGTCATAGCCCGAGCCGTAGTCATAATATGTACCCTCATTCTTGACAATCGGTCGCAGGCTGTCAGGGTCCGAGTTCTGGGTTGCGTCGACGAGCCCTGTCTGCTTCGCTGCATCCACAAGACGGCGAAACTCGTCGTTTGTGATTTTTTCGAGATGGTAGTCATAATTAGGACTGATAACTCGACGCTTGGTATTCCAATGTCCGATTTCGACATTTTTCATGAGCTGCGCAAGATTTGGCTCATCGATGAGTCTGTGGACCATTGCTACGAGGGAGTGGGTTTCAAGAGTCAAATTCCGGTATGAACTGTAAAGGAAACGTTCGACACATTTTTTGATGAATTTGCTGGAGAGGGTTAGGTTTAGCAGGTCCTCAGGATCCTCAATGAAAGAGAGTATCCAGTTGACCAGCTCAACGGGAATGCCGCCGTCTAGACCGGCGGTCATGGTCGGATTCGTACTCGTAAAGCGTAATTCAGGGAAGGTTTGTTTCACGCAGCGCGAGTGCTTCTTGTCCTCTGGAAGTACAGCCTCAGAAATAGTGAGCAACGCGATGGAACGATGCAATTTCGATCGGGCTTGCCTTCGCGAGTGGTTCCCGCACTCTGGACGCGTGAGGCGTGTCGGGTAGAGGCGTAGCGCGTAGAAGCGTGACGCGTAGGCGCGTGACAACAAATCCCTTTTCTCTTCCGAAAAAGACTAACCTTGCTTGAGATTGGTGCTGTTGTGTCTTGCAACTCTCAAACACGAGGTTCGAGGCGAGCGGTGGTGGAGGTGACTAGTAAATGCAGCAAACTGTGACGGCCGTGGAGTCTAATTAGGCTCTAGCGGCTGGTGGCGCTAACTAAAAACAGAAATGCCGACCAACCAACACTTACATACCTCTATATAGGTTTTGTGGAACTTCGTCCTTACTTTTTTGCATTTCCAAGTGGCCCGAACAACTTACATACATCAGTGGTAAAATCGCTATAAACTCAACGCTGCCGCGGCATTGCCGTCACAGTGCCGGTGTTGCCGTCATGGAGTCGGCACTGCCGGCACCGTCAACAATCACTATCCGCCCTTTATCGTCGACAACCATTATTTTATCACCGGCTTATCAATCAACTTTGACTATATAGTCCAATTTGACCAATCTCTTTACTCTTCCATCCAGCAAATTCCGCAACTATCTTCACGCCATGACTCAAGAGCACCCCGACATCTACCCGGAAGCCACCGGCCTTGCGAAAGCAACAGTGCAAGTACATCAAGCGGAAACACCTCTCAAACTCTATGGGGGGTGGTTCTGCCCGTTTGTTCAACGCATATGGCTCATATTGGAAGAAAAGGGCATTCCTTACCAATTTATAGAGGTGAATCCATATAACAGGCCAGAAAGCCTCTTGAGACTCAACCCGCGCGGCCTTACTCCTGCTCTGGAGTACAACAAGAAGCCTCTGTACGAGAGCACAGTTATCGCGGAATTCCTTGACGAGGCATACCTGGAGCATATGCCACGCCTGTATCCTGAAGATCTCTACGAAAAGGCGCGCTCGAAGATTTGGATCGACTACGTTACGAGCAGGATCGTTCCCGCCTGGTTCCGGTTCTTGCAGTATCAGCCAACCCAGGGCGAGGATGGCTTAGAGGGCCTCAAGAAAGTACAGCAGGAGTTTCTTGGTTATCTCCGCGAGTGGACCAAGGAGATGGACCAGGAGGGACCGTATTTCCTAGGAGCAGAGCCGACGATGGCTGATCTTACCCTGGGGCCTTTTGTGGTGAGTTGGATTGCGATGCTAGATCTGTACAATTACTAACTCTTTTGACAGGTCCGGTGTTGGCTCCTTGACCATTTCAAGGGCGGCTCGGGTATTCCGAAGGAAGGCGAAGCTGGTGATGACGAGCTCTGGAGAAGATGGCGGAAGTATGCAGAGGCGCTCGCGACTCGTAAGAGCGTCAAGGAAACGACCAGTGAGCCTGACAAGTATTTGTCGTTTTACAAATGGTACGCCGGCGGTGCAGCTCACTCTGAGTTGGCAAAGGCGACTCGGGCCGGTCGTGGCTTGCCTTGAGCAGTACCAGGGGATGTACTCCTAATAGCAGGAGGGACTGACATAGTTTCAATAAAAAATTATTCCTCGAAATACTTCACCTAATAGTACGAAATTTTCTCCTTGTACTTGATCGAAATACTCACTGAAACACATTTTGATCAGTGAGCTCTCTATGCGGCGTCAAAAGTATAGCACACCTTTAGAAGTACATGACTTACTCCTTACCCTTATATACTCCCGTACCTTATAAATAATGATTATTTCTTTGCCTTCATGTTCTGTTTGCCCTCATACCTTCTTAAGTTACTGTAGCACTTATATAGTTATATTTTTGTATATCTTTTTAAGCAATATCATACCCTATCACATACAAATCTACGCAACAACTACCGACCGCACTGTTATAGCTGATCAGAACTACCCCGGGATCACTAGGTGGGTATATAGAGTTCTCAACATATAGTTGGAAAATTCCATACGTATAGACAAATTATACAGGACTTTGTGTGAATAGACGAGACAAAGCGTATGCATGCTGTTCGTCATCTGCAGCACAAGCCCACGCACGCCAACACCGTCACCCAGCGACGACGACCATCAACACAACACACTGTTCGCACCCTTCGTTGCGGCAGTAGTATAACTTGCTAGTGCGAAGCTCGCACAACTCGGCCCAAAGTCTTCTCATCTGAGAATTCCAGTACCTCGAGGCAGATGAGTTCCGTTCTGTGGAGGTGGTTTGTTTGTAAGTGTCGCACCTTGCCTCAGTCTGATCCCATTCACTGTCGGATTTGTCTTCGGCCTGCCGCGTTGGCTGGGTTAGGTTTGTTTTATACGGCCAAGACACTGCGCAGAGGCGTGCGATGTCACTGGGGAGAGGGACGACGGGACGAAGGGGCGAAGTGCTGTCACTGTTTCATCTAGACTATTCCTTATAGACGGCATACATATAATTCCCGGTTTTTCTTCTCCCACACAACCGTGATTCCATTGCTATCGTCTCGCGTTATCCATATTCATCCGGGCTATATAACCAAGCCTCTATAAGGCCACAGATACTCAACTCCTTCTCCATTCTCATAGCTTTCCAAGCGTCTTCCCATCCAGTCAACCAACAATTAGTACACTCACCCATCAACCCATCAGCGAAACCAGTTCGCCGACCAACATTCCGACATCTCCATACTTCCCCTACCGACCCACCCCCACCCCCCCCCCCCCCCCCCCCCCGCAGCATCCCCCTCCTCTCCCGACGCATTCCCACTCCCACGCCCCGCGCCCATACCCGCATAGCTCGAAATAATACTATCAGACAAACTCCTCTCCGTCTCGACCCTCAGCGGCGGGGGCAGCGGAATCGGGGACAACTGCTCCGCCTGCTCCCGTTCCAGCTGCTCTTGCTCGCGCTTCGCCGCCTCCATACGCGCCTGGACCTTTGTCACCGACCCCCCACGCTCACAAACAGCCGTTACCGGCGTCGGCATCGGCGTCGCTGGCGCGGCACTGTCCACAGTGGTAGCGGTCGTCCCCGCCGAGGCCCTAGCAGCCACAGCCACGGTGACCGCCGTCGCGGTGTGGATAGTCGAGCGCCCCGGCGCGAGAGGCGAAGGGACCGCCGAGTTTGAGGAGGGCGAGGGCGAGGGCGAGGGCGTAGACGCTGATGACGAGGCAGAGGAGGCGGAGGAGGAGGCTGGCGGCGTGGTGGTGCTTGGGCTAGTGGTGCCGAGACCAGATGCTGTCGACGAGGACGCCCTGCTGCTGCCTGTGGCCGCGATGCCCAGCCCGAGTGCCCGCTCATCGCGTTTTGGCGGTGGTGCTGGAAGTCTGGGCCTTGGTGTAGCGTCAGCGGCTGCAACAGCGGCGTGCAGGCGCTCGATCACCGCGTTCGCGTGCTTGACCTCCTTCCTGTAGCCGCGGGCATCGCGCTTCAAGCCAATGATGCTGGAGACATGCAGCGCGATCTCCTTCTCCAGGCTCCGTACACGCTCTCTTAAATCCACCTCCTGCATCTCCTTCGCCTGGCCATCCCCGCCCTCCTCCCTCTGAATCAGCGCCTTCACGCGCCGTCTCGCCTCCGCAGCCACGATCTGCGCATTCTTGCTCGCAGCGGGCACCGAGCCGCTCGCCAGCACGTCCTGCGCCTGTTTCCGCATCTCCGCGTGCAGCAGCTTGCGCAAGCGCTCGTACTCTGCCTGGCACGCGCGCAGGTCGCGCTGCTGCGCCGCGATGTGCGTTTTCAGCGCGCTGGACTCGTGCGCGGCTTTCTCGGTCAGCTTTCTGCGTTTGCGCGCTTCCAGCGTGAGGGCTTCTTCGTGCTCGGCGGCGAGGACGACGCTGCGGTGGTCGAGGTCGTAGACTTCGAGCTGGAGGACTTCGTTTGTGTGCCGGAGCTCGTAGAGCTGTGTGTCTTTTTCTTTGGCTTGCGCTTGGAGGGTCTTGATCTGGGATGTGAGCGCTGCGATGGGTTCGACTTGTTGCTCTTTGGTGGAATTGAGCTGCGCTGTTAATGATTGTATGCGTTGCTTGGCTTCATTCAATTCCGCGTGAAGCTTGGAAGCTCCAGAGTCCAGCTTTGAGCGCATGGCTTCAAGCTCCTTCTTGAGCATACTCTCATAGTCCAGAGTCCTCCTTCTTTGCGCTTCCAGCCTGTACTCAGCCTCCCGCAGGTCAACAACCTGCTCTTGGCTACTGAGAAGGCGCGTTTCGAGGTCTACAGCTCTGTCCTTGTAGGCATTTTTCTTCGCCGACAGTGCTTCCAGCTGTTGATTCATGGTTTCTTGCTGACGGTTTGCATTTTCCAACTCTTTCCGCAGTTCCCTGATTTCAATTTGAGCATCTACAGATGGCGCTCTGGACTGGATTGTCCCACGCTTCCTCAATTCTTCACCAGAGTAGCGCGAGTGCCGAGAAGATGTTTCGAATGATGTCGGGGCAGAGCGAGTGGTCGTCGCTGATGCAGTGGCTGTGTTTGGGTTTGGACTTGGTGCCAAGAGGGTACTCGTGTCGATTGTGAGAGGTATGCTCATAGCTGTAAGCACGTTAGTTTAACAAGACATGGCATCAGAAACCCAAGCACTTACAGCGGTTATTACGTGTATCTTCAAGCACTTTCATGTAAGTATTACAGGCGTCAATCTCTTTGCGATGACTCTCCGTCAAGCTGGTCACATGCGCCTCGTAAGATTGCCGCAGGTCGACGAATTGCTGCCTCATCGTGACTATCATCGTTTTCTGAGTAATGATGGTAGTCTCCAATTGTTCGATCATGGATGACTGCGACGACTGCCTTATCTACGTTCATTAGTAAATACTTGATACATTCAAGATTGGTTATAACGTTCGAGCTGATCAGCATAGTCCAACCCTTAGAAAGGCAATCATCGATATGCCCGGCTAAGCTAGGCGAAAGACTACGCACGCATACTCTTACAACGTTTCTCTCGTTATAACGTAAACAGTCGGAAGCTGCTGAACAGCTCAAGCGTTGTAACCAATCTTGACGGTAGTAAAAAGGAACACTTACCTGAGGGATTGGAAAGGCATTATCCGCATTGGTTCCTGAGCTGTGGTCTTCCGGGATAGGCGTAGGCATGATGAAACTCTGGTTACTGTGCTCAGAAAGCTCTTCTCGTGACCTGTTGCTTCTAGCGCTAGTACACCAAGATCCCACGCTTCCGCTTGCGCTATGACCTTTTGATCTTGCAATGCCTGGCGCCAATTGATGAGCGTTACTATTGAAAGCCGTACTGTTGAGGCTGATACTCTTCCGGTGATTTGCTACACCGGGAGCCGTACGCATGCGCTGAACTTTCGAGCTTAGAGCCAGATTTCCAGATATCACCAACCTAGGCTCTACCGGAGATGCCTGTGGAGTATCTGGAAAACCCTGGTTCTCTTGCAGAAGCGAACCGGGCAGTTCTGCGATTGGTGTGGTCGGTGCAGTATACGATCGTCGTCTTCCAGGCACTGGTTTTCTCGGAGCTGACGGGAGGAACGGGGAATTGAAGCCAGGAGAATGCAACATATCATTGAAGGAGGTAACGAGATTCGATCCGAACGGGATAGAAGTGACTGCGGCGTTGTGGATGGTGGAAGGAGGAACAAAACAGTCTAATTTTGCAAGCTGTAGCGGGTGCGGTTTCTATTGAACGGTCAGCAAAAGTCGAAGACTCTTTGCCAAAGCTGCGCCACTTAACACTCTGCAGCTATGGGTTCAGGATGGCTTACCCTTGTGCTCCGTTTGCTGGCGTTGCCCAAATCCGATGCGTTGTCACATGCATTAACTGGCACCAGGCCGTCGACACGGTAGAGATCGGTGGCCGGCCGGCGGTCACCTTTCGTCCAAGTAAAGAGTTTCGAAGCCATTACGTGTGCAATTGATGATACCAGCTCAATCAATGGAAGAAAAGAATGTCATATCGGGGATACACAGGCGACAAGACTTTGCGAGAGCGAGAATAGAAGAATGCAGCAATCAGGGCGCAGAGACCATCTGCTATTACCGAGAGAAAGCAACTATAGAGGTAAAGTACGCCCTCGCATATACGGGTGCTAGGCGCCGGAGTGGCGCAAATCTCCAAACATTATTTGAAGACGCGCGCGCTGCAGCAGCTCACTGGGCAGCCGTCTCCGACGGAAAGGACCCGCGGGGCTCGCGCTGAAACGGGGGCGCTGAAACGGGGGCGCTGAAACGGTCAGTGTGCTCAGTCGCTGTGCCGCGATGTGTCGGCGGCGGCTAATTGACGCTTTGTGGTAGGTACGCGCTGTCTTGAAGGATCTACGTGCGGCGGCACGCTTTGGCAAGCGAGCTATTTTGGCCCAGGACTCACCCGACATGCTGTCCCGATTCGGGGGTACAGCGCTCAATCAAGACATGTCCGTGCCTGTGTGTTTGATGCGGGAGGGACGGGTAGGTGCATGGTGACGTCGGCTTGGCGTGTTCAATTCGCATCTTGACAACCACCACACCAATCCCATCCACAACCATCCCAATTGCAATACAGCTCCACCCACGCATCCGCAAACATCCACAGGCAGCATGAGCTCGGCCTCTCCGCCGTCCCGCACGCGGCAGCGCTCCCTCGACGCCGACGACCGATCGCGCTCGCACCTCAGCAGCAGCAACAACAACAACAAAGACCGCGCCAGCCCGCCCTCGTCATCCCGCCAGCGCAGCCCCGACCCGCGGAGCAAGCACACGCATTCGCGGCGGTCGGTGAGCCCCGACGATAAAGAGCGATCATGGCGGCGGCGGGAGCATCGGCACCGGCGCGAGCGCAGCAGAGACCACGACCGCGACCGCGACCGGCGGAGGCGGCACCGCAGTCGCAGCCGCAGCAGGGACGAGGACTCCCGCCGACGGCAGCGCGACGAGCGGCATTCCCGGCGCAGTCAGCAGGGACGGTCGCGGGAGCGCGAGCGCGAGCGCGACACCAAGCGCCGCAAGCCCGCCCTCTCCCCCCCTCCTCCCGCGTCCGCTGCGCGCTCCAAAGCGCCCCTCCCCTCGCAAGACGCCGCCTACCGCAGTACCGACAACGCAGACAGCAGCGGCGCACTCGACAAGCCGATCGAGAAGCAAGCGCCCAACTACGCGCAAACAGGGCTGCTAGCCAAAGAGACAAACACCGTAGCCGGCACGTCCATCGTGCTAAAATACCACGAGCCGCCCGACGCGCGCAAGCCCCCCGCCAAAGATGCGTGGCGGCTCTACGTGTTCAAGGCCTCCGACGTGCTCGCGACGCACGAGCTCAGCGGCCGCAGCTGCTGGCTCTTTGGCCGCGAATCGCTGATCGCGGACGTCTTGCTCGAGCATCCCAGCGCCAGCAAGCAGCATGCTGCGCTGCAGTTCCGGCACACGGTGCGCGTGAGCGAGTTTGGCGATCGTGTCCAGAAGGTCCGCCCGTACCTTATTGATCTCGAGAGCAGTAATGGCAGCTTCTTAAATGGCGAGAGGGTCGAGGGTGGACGCTATGTCGAGGTTAGGACGGGTGATGTGCTGAAGTTTGGCGATAGTACGAGGGAGTATGTCGTTATGCTGCCGCCGCCGGGGTAGGGCGTGCTGTGTAAGAGAGGGACGGCTTGTCTGATGTGAGTGTGAGGAGATGGTGATTGGAAAAGTTATGCTTTGAAGAAGAACTGGTGCGGATGGGCAGGGTCATATCGCACGCCATCCAGGGCACCGGTCGTTGAAGTCTATCCGCTGAAACCCAGCCGTTCATGGGAGTTTCCATCGTATCCGTAGGAGTCCCTCCGTCCGCTTGTACTGCATAGCACAGCTAGGTAGGCCGCCACCAATTCAGGAACTCCGTCGTCGCACGCTCCGCATCTCGTTCCCGTCGCACTCAATGTCCCAAGCCCCACCCGCTTTCGTCCGCAAACCGGCATACCAACACACCACACAACCGCAGCCCCAAAATCCAGCGAGAAAAGAATATTTTTCATCCGCACAAAGCGGGCACGCGACGGCCAAGAACCTCGGCACGCGCAAGTCATCTACATTACAATCAACACAACCAGGTATATGCACGCCGCGCAGCCATGCGGCCCCACAACAAACGGGACAAAAAAAACCACGCCCGCAAAGACATTAAAACACCAGCCACCCAGGCCCCGACCAAGCCGTTATCACACCGCCTTCTCGCCCTTCAACTCCTCGCTCACGCCCCCGTCGCTGCTCGTCGACCTCACCTGTCCCACCGACTCCGGATCGTACTCGGGCGTGCCGGGCACCTCGCCTGCCAGCTGCTCCAGCGTCTTGCGCTTCGTCTCGGGGATAAGCAGTGTTGTGAAGATGCCACAGAACATGAAGAGCGCGTAAATCTCCATGACGTGGTTGAGCCAGGGCGAAGAGTTTTGCTTTGTGGGGTGGCCGCGCGTGCGCAGCGGTCCAATGAGAACCTGAGCGATGATGGCACCGATCTTGCCGGCGGCGGCCGAGATACCGTGAGAGGAAGAGCGGTAGCGCGTGGGGAAGCACTCGCCGGGGACGATGAAGGTGGTTGCGTTGGGGCCTGTGGAAGAGAAGTGTTAGTAAGTGTGGGTGTTGTGGAGAAAGAGCTTGGACATACCGAAGTTGAAGAAGAACTGCGACAAGACATAGAGGGCGAGAAGGCCGCTGTCGCCGATCTTGTGGTAGGCAAAACCGATGATGCAGAAGAGGATGGTGAGCAGGATGAAGCCCATCAGCTGGATCGGCTTCCTGCCAATGGTATCGCAAGTTGCGACGGTCACCCAGTAGCCGGGTATGGCACCCGCGCATACAAGGATCAGGTTGCCGACAGCTGTGTTGTAGAGCGTCTTGTACATGGTGTCGCCCTTAGCGTAGCCAATCTGCTTCAGGATGACCGAGTTGTTAAGGCCCAGGCCGTAGAACGCGACATCGAGGAAGAACCACGAGCCCGCCGTGCCGATCAGCACCTTGGCGTACCTCCACTGGCCGTAGTGGCGACAGAAGTCGCGCCAGCCGGCCTGGGGTACTTCCAGTTTGGGCGCCTGCTCCTCCATCGCCTGAACTCTGGTAATTTCATCTGGGACACCCTGGTGATCACCCGCCTTGTAGGCCTTGACATCGGAGCCAGCCTTGACAATGTCGCGCGCGACGTCGAACGTGAAACGAGGCGTCTCGGGAATGGTGAGGCGGTAGTAGAGGGCAATGCAGCCGGGCACGGCGCCGAAACCGATAACGATTCTCCAGATCTTGTCCACCGCCAGCGAGCACACACCGGTACACGTGTCGGCACCGGCGGCTGTGATCAGCGACCCCTTGAAGCCGGCGACAGCAATGAGGCAGATCATGGCGGCAGCGAACTGGCCGAAGCCCTGCATGGCGAAGACAGACCCCATCATGGCACCACGCCACTTGGTCGTCGCGAACTCGGATGTGATGATGGAGCTGAGGGGGTAATCGCCACCGATACCGATTCCCATAAGGACACGCCAGAAGACAAGGAGCCCGACGACGGAGACAGCTTGTGAGTCGGAGGAGAGGGCCTGCGCCAGCGTTGCGAAGATGATGAGGATCAGTTCGAGACCATACATTTTCTTGCGGCCGATAATATCAGCTGCAATACCGAAGCCGACCTGGCCGATGACAGTGCCGGCGCTCGTTGAGACCTTGATGGCCGTGTCGGCGTGCTCGGGGATGGAGCCCGAGTTCGCGGCGTGCCAGTACACAATGCCCAACATGGGTGTTACCAAGTTGATGGCGAAGATGTCGTAGCTGGAAGCACAGCGTTTGTCAATAAAGAAATCATTGGCAAACATTCAAAGGACCGGAAAGACTAACGCGTCGGTGAAGAAGCCAATGCCTGCGACTACGATCGCCCGCACGTGGTACCATCCGAATGGTGCTTTGTCGATCTCGGCCAGCGCCAGGCGCCGCCGCTCGTTCGGGTCCGCGATGTGCGCTGCGGGCCGCCGAAGCGTGTTAGCTAACGTGGACAATGCAAGGGATGCGAGCGACGATCACGTACCGTAGTCGTTGTGGAAGTTGTGGAATGCTGCATTGCCGCCTGCGGTCTTGTGGACCACTGGAGCTGCCATTGCTGCTTGGGAAGAGGAGGAGGGTGAGATGGAGAGAGAGAGAGAGAGAGGGCCTAGGGAGGGGCAGAGGGAGGAAAGGTGATGCTTGCTCGGGGAGAGAAAGTAGCAGTGTGTTACCCGGGGACAGCTTAAGTAGGGAAGCTTGGAAGCATTCTCACTCATTTCGCGGCGAGGCGTTTCGCGGGGCTTGTGCTAGAAAAGGGCGGCAAGACCGGGGGGACCAATGGCTCGCAGGCATACTTACACGAGTTAGCTACGACTGAGTCTCGGTCTTGCCAAGTTGTGGCCGGGAAGGCAGCCAAGACCTGGGCGCTGGTTGCGGCGTGCGACTATCTCGGCCAATCAGAGGCCGACCCTCGACCACGGGCCCAAAGCTGGAAGCTTATGGCGACTTCACAAATGCCACCCTTCAGCTCGGCAAACACGGTCAAGCATCCCAAGCTGCTGCAAGAAATCCGCAAGAATTGTGGCTGGCCTTGTCGATGCGATTTGGGCTTTTTTCTTTTCTTTTTTCGCCTTGCGTCTGTCGAACGAGCTGTTTCCCTTCCCGTCTCCAACCGTAGACGGGAGTACCTAGCTCGCTCCTTCCATACGTACCCTCCGTCATCACTTCACATAGAAACATGAGAGAGAAGGATGAATTACGTCTCATCACCTCGGCGTTCCCCGGCCATCTAGACAAGGCAGACAAGTCCATCGCCCCATCCATGATTCAATACATACCACCCTACGCATCGCCATTATTGCCATATTCCGTGCCCGCCACTCACACTTTGCCGCTCACGCGATCATACAGCTTGTTGGTCGTACCAGGTAGAGCATTGGGTACCCTACTCCGCCCCGTTGCCCATTGACGATCAAATGGCGGGACCAAATCGAATTGATCGGCCAGACCCCCTACCCTTACCACCACTCCCTACCGCATGCACACACCGGGCGGACCCTCCGACCACTCGCTCCCACTCGCCTGCCCCTGCACTCCTCGTGGCGTACCACGCCGGCTCCCGCGTCCCCCGCGCTAGCTGCCTAATTCCGACGCTGCGGTTCGATCGAGCATTCTCCTGCTTCAGCGGCCATGCCGTAGACGCATAGAATATGTACATAGCCGCACTGCGCTGCACACCCCACGCTCCCCTCAAACCCTTATGTACGTACTCACCCCCTCCGTCCTCGCGAGACGCTCCGTCGTGGGCATTGGCACTGTCTCGTGCCAAAGTGACCGTCCTATAAGCCGTCAGCGTCCTCGATCTCGCCCTTGCTTCACCCTTGCTCCTCGCTTCGCCGCTCGTATCCCGGCGCCCGGTCTGCGCCGATGCTGATATGCGATGCGATGCGATGCGGGCGGCGCCGCTTCCGTCTCAGCGAGGAAGGCAGTGTCTCCGGTGCACCTGATGCGCGGCAGGACGGGGTCGGTAGATGAAGCTGGGCGATGGCGAGGCTGACACCCTGCGTATGGGTTTGGGTGGGTGGGTCTGCCTCGTGGTGGCCTTGCTGGCCGCGTGCTTGTTTCGTGTGTGTATGCATGCAGCTGGGAGGATTGGTGGTTGGCTGCTTGGGTGCGTCGTGTGTCTGCCTTGGGTGGGGTTCATGGGCACGAAAAGGCTTGTACGCCTGGGCAGGAACTAATGGTCGGTGTTATCTATGGTGGCTTATTTGGTGGTGGGGGTTGTGGTCCTGGCTGTGGCGTTGCGCGTCTGGTGCTGGCGTGCGCTAGGTGGTGAGTCTGGATAGACACGTGCGTGGGGCTGGCACGCTGGGTGGGAGGTTTCATGGCGTTTTGGTATACGAATAGATGGGTGGCTTGGTTGGTGACCGGTGTCTGGAAGAAGAAATTGCTGAGGATCCTTAATCTGGCCTCAGAGATGGCGTGGTCTTCACATATGGTGAGTTACTATCAACCCCCTGGCCGCTTGCCAATGCTGCTCTACTGTGCACTCCGAGTACCCCTTGGGTAGTGAAAGGTAGCTACAATACTATGCTCATTAGTCGCCAGGTAGGTACTAGAACAAAAAGAAGGCAAGTGTGCTAGGGTACTTACAGTTATGCAAGAAAGGGTAAGTAAGTCATTTACTTTTGTAAAAGTATTGTTATTGCGTGGAAGCATCGCTTGCACACGTTGCAGTACTCTTCATCGTCGTATTCCCAGGTGTCCTGTCCCGCGTTATGTTGGTGTAGGTCGCGAACTGAAGTGAGGCTGGCCTCTCCTAATCAGGAAGAGTCGCAGCGTCGGTCGTCGTGCCTGCCGCGCACACTGTCTACCTAGATCACCAAAACTTTCTCTCTCCTGCCTCTTCTCTCCTACAACCACACGCGCAAACACACATACCCACATAAAAACGTCTACTTCCAACGACATCACCATATCCTTCACCAAGGACTTCAACTGGTATGAAATAGCGCGTGGCACTGTCGCCATTGATGGCCCCGGCAGTCTCGCTCCAGGTTCTGTC